ATGTCAATACACTTTCAAATATTTACATATTGATTTGACGGTCTAGACGAGATCCAGTCTTGCTGACTTCGCGCCGAGTTTTGATATCCTAAACAAATTAACATGATTGAATGGAAGAAGATTTCGTTGGACAACGGCCTGGCACTCAGCCAGGATACGATAAAGCTAGAGGAAGTAATATTAGATTACTACTAACCGCAGCTTAATTTAATATACAGACACTTACTTTGTTTATAGGCCGGATAGTCATTGTTTTTACAGCGATTCATTACCACTCGTTAAAGATGATCAACACTGCTAAAATACGAATAATTTTAACTAACACATACTTATACTTCAACAATAATGGAGTCAGAACGTAATATTAAAAGACAAATGTAACAAACTGAGAAGGTGCCACATCAGGATAAGGTCGTAATCAGAATTATGGGGTTTCCCCATCAAAACTACGCTTCTAATGATATTGTAAGTTTTCCTTGCTGGAAACTGTCCTGTTTAGGGAAACACCGCTCTGTGTCTATTGTACTACAATACATTATGTTTAAAACCTCAATGAATACCGTATCATGCGAATCAATGAATAAATACTACCTAGTTGCGTTAAGTGGCACGGCCGCTATTGCAATCATCATATATTATATGTATGAGGTCGACATCTAGAATTCATGATCACACATTCTATAAGTTGTAGCCTTGTAATCTCTTCCGGAAAAGTTTTATGCAGAGGTTAGAAATCTATTTGTTTTTACTTAGATATTAACATTATTCAGTATCGGATATCGTAGTTTCTCGTTGTATATTTTATACTTGCGTATTACAGAAGAATTCTATGACTAGAGATTAAGAAAAAGGGCTATGTTATGCCTTTTTAAAATTAAATAGTAATATCTGAAGCCTGTGAATATTCACTGCTGGTTTTGTTCCTCCTCTAAGTACATAAAGCTCCCTAACGTGACTTGAAACTGGTCGAGTTATGTGAGTAAGTCTTTAAGCTTAATTTGGTTAGTGACGGTGTCAAAGGTTCATTACCGTCATCACACGATCATAGGTTTATCAGGTGTATCTATCTGGATATGGATAAAGCAAATAAATCGTGATCAACAAGTTATTTCAAAGCATACACATACAAAAGTGGAAATCCCATGGGGCGATGACCAGACTATCCGACTTTCACACTTGCGTGACGTATTCTTTAATTCTTAGAACAAGTAAACATAAAGATATGGCGTTACTCCAGCCGTTTGTACTGTGGTTTCATTGTTAACCTTTACCGTTGATCGTGCTTTATTTGTGTATCTACGCATTTATCTTTTTTATAGTGTAACTAGCGGCTCGCCCCCGCTTCGCACGGGTCCAACTATCTCGCTATCAAAGGATCACTTTTTCCTAATCTTCTCCTCTACTTGTCTAATATTTTCTTTTATAAGAACCTTTTCACACAACAAAAAAGGAATTAGCAAAATTGGTCCAGGTGTTGTTGAGTTATGCGCTTACCAACACAATTTTGCGATCCATTTTTTATATATAAGATTTGTTGGTCTTGCACTTCAACCTACACGAAACTCATGTAATAAATTAAAATCATGTAATAAATTAGCGACTTCAAGACTCAAAGTTTGACGGAGGGAGCATAGCTATTTAATAATCGGATATAAAGATGAAAGAGGATATAAAGAAGTGTGACAGTATAAACATACTCAAAGCAAATCTGAAAAGACATGTAAGTATGTACAATATAACGTCGCCAACACCCTAGTTGCGGGGTAATGCCGGGTTTGCGGGGTAAGCGCAATGAGGCACCGCGACCTCGGCACAGAGCAGGAGAAGGAACAGGGGGGTTTTTAGTCAGTAAGAGTCTGACACTCCCTCCTGCCCGGCCCTGGGCGGGAGAAGTCATTTGATGATTTTCCCCTCACAAAAAAAAAAACACCCTAGAGGCAAACATTACAAATAACATTTAGATGTAAGCCATAATATGTATCTTATTTTAAGTGAATTGTTATTTAAGTTATGAGAATTAAGTTCTATAAACCGAAGTATGTTTGTAATAGAAAAATCAAAATAAGAGGATCTTTTTTGTTTTAGTCCAACCAGCGACTAACAGTCCCTTTTGTCTTCCCTAGTTGAATGAACTGAGTTTTTTCAACCTTAAAGTCATAAAATAGCTAGTTTCTTATGCTTATATTAAGTTATACAGAGTTAAATGTTATTAAATATTACCGTAGCTAATAATGTTGCTTAAACGTTAAACTTAGGTAACTTTAATAACGTAAGTCGCGGTAAAATCGTTACAGAATTTCAATCAACAGTATCTCAAGGTAGCAATCTAATATTGTGCAGTGCAATTTGCTTGGTTTCTACTTAGTCTTGAACTGTTATAGACAATATGACTATTTTGTCTTCACTACATAGAAAATATAAATATAAACTAAGTTGCTTTCTCTGTTCCCGTATCCCTTTATATGCTTAAATCTTTAAACCTAACCACCCGTTTTGATGTTGTTCTATTTAATAGATAGAGTGATTTAAGAGGAAGATTTATTCGTATAATAAAATCTATTAAATAGTAAAGAAGTTCAGTATTCAGCATTGCACCCAGGCAAAGCGGTGGGCGGGCCACTAGTTTATAATTAATAATGTCATGGAAAATTCTTTGTAAGTGTCCAAAACTTTCATAAGGCTTAATTATCTAATACAAGTATAACTAACAATGCTTCTGAAGCATCGAAAACCAGTAACTAGCTTTATTTTTAAGTCTATTGTTGTGTATTAAGTAACTTTCGAAATCGTGTCAACCAAAAACACTTTGGTACATAAATAACCACCCAAACTAGCGCGTCTGCCCAATATTAGAAAAACATAATTATTCTTTGATCAATTACATTAAGCTTAAGGCGCAACACTACCATAATTTTAGGATCTGTACGACCAGTTTTCTCTTTCCAACTTGCGATAGTGAATGCCTATATTTGTTTTACCAATCACTTTCACAAGGTGATAAAAGGTGACACCGCAGGATAATGCAATGTGTAATACTGAAATGATAGATTAGAGATATCTTCTCAGATTAGCAGCACGTTGTTTGAATTTTGATAAGCATGTTTTGTATACTTCCTTACGTTTATAGCTACAAAGTTGCTAAAATACTATAATACTCATGTTTCATTAAACATTCTGAGAAGTTGAAAAGCCAGACACTGCGTTTACCAAAGATACGTTCACCTTAGATACAATGAGGACACCGTCATACGTCTGTTAAAATAATCAAAAAGAATTAGTTTTTAAATAATAACAATATCTAAGGACCTAAGTCAATATCACGTGAAGTCAGGTGTTTAAATAATTCCGCAGACGGAACGCAACCGGTGCATCCATAACTGATATAAACATCCAGTTATACTTTCATTGGATGTCTCGCCGCGCTCAAGGTCACGTCCTCCATTTTTTTGCTTATAATTTGCACGTAAAAACGTTATGTTTTTTCACCAAACAATTATACTCGTGCCCAATCGTGACTGAAAGGCTCTTACCATTTGTTTTCTAATACAAGTAAAAGAAAATTTAATGTTAATTTCAAGTGACCCACTTAACTTTGAAAAATTTTTGTTGATATTATAAAGAAATGGTTGACGAAACACTTCAAGTTTTAAGTGACTGCTAGTTTATTTTTTGAGTCTCGTGTTCAAATTTTAAACTTAAAACGAATGTGTTTAGTGTTTACAAGTGTCTAATAATCTATTAAATTCAGTATCCACAAAAAAGTGTAGTGAACAAAACAAGAATGAAGTTGGTTCATTTAAAAAAATAAACATCATTTTCGAGTTCAATGACCTACCTGTCTGGTTTGAATTAGATATGAGCAAAAAATAATCTACCAAATATCTTACACAAGTGACCAGGTATAAACTATTTTCAGTTAGTTATACTAACAGTTTGCTCACCTAGAATCATCTGACTATAAACAGCAATTTTATCTCTGCAGTCATGAAACGTCCTTGCAATTACATTTTGGAGATATGAAACCCCCAATAAATCTCAAACAATGGAGACTGAACAATGTGTTTAGAAGTCTTAGTGTTTTTCGAGAGAAGTTTAATATAAACAAACGCTTCAAACTTTATTCTGTGAATAATAGTTTATCAGTAATGTAGTTTGGTAGAATACTTTAGTTATTTGACTAGACTAGCCCTGCTTTTGCCATGATTATAGAAATAAATATATGAATTTCATTACTCATATCCGTTGGGAAGCGAGCAACGACAAGGTCAAGATATTACATCGATATAAGTCCGCATTCTTTTGTTTTAAAAACCTACAACGACAGTTCTGTTCCCAGAAAATAACATACAGACACCAGCTGGTTATAGATAACACCGATAATGTAATCCCATTTCAAAATGTATCATAATCGAAACGTCATTAATATTGTTTGCAGTATATTAACACGTCATTACTTACAATAGTATTAAAGTCAAAAATACAGTAATTAGTAATGATTTAATTATAGCCATGGCAAGTTTATAAATGTTGTTTTCACTCCTATTTTAAATCACAATTGATTAGGAAGGCACACACTTCTTGTCTCTTTTTATCCGTTTGGTTTTTGTTTTATTTCGATCAAATGCACTTAAGTAGAAGGCAACGTTCTTCAAAGAATAAAAAATCTCGACGAAAGGTATTTCAATAATCATTACTATATCTTTTCAACGTTGTGCTCTACTCCAGAATTTTCTGTGTGTCGTTGGTGCGTTTACAAACATATCACATACACATTACACCTAGATACAGAGCAAATAATTTGTAGATCACTTTAATCTTAAGTTCGAATCTGATTCATAAGTCATGTTTTGTCCCTAGGACGCGCCGGTTTATTGTGTCTATGTTTTTAAGGTTGTTATTACCGTAGCTCCTGGCTACAAGGTTTTCTACAACCTTGTATTCAGGCTCTAGGTTGGCAGAGCTAGAATGTAATATTAATCGTACCTTTTCTCCTTTTCCAGGTTGTATTAGAAGTGGCTCATCGCGTGGATCAAGAAGGCGTGGTGGCGGTTGACTCAGTAGTTGAGAAGCTCATTTTCAAACCCCAGGATGTTGTGTCCATTAGGGCTAAGGATTCCGACCTCGAATACGCCACGCATGACGTTTTCCAAACAGATAGTGCTATATCTAGCAAGTTTAATGGTGAGTTACTAGACTATAAGTTTATAAGATTAGCAATTCGACGGCTAAAATCCGAAATCAACTATCGACCTTAATCGATAGATTCCGGATCGATCTAAGTCTTGGAGAATGACTAAAATAAATCTCTATGAAGATTTTGAAATAAGATCTGCTATCGAATTTACTATCTTAGCAGTAAGTCATTGTAAGAATGAATTTCTAACAGCACTCGGGTTCGGCTCAGCTTCCCAAATATTTTGACGACAATCATGCATATTGAAAATTAAACGGTTATTATTGGATTTTTCTTCTAGCCTGGTTTCTGCCAGCGCCTTGGCTTGCATAGTAAAAAGTAGCATAAATGTTATTCTAGACTATATTCTATTTGTATGCCAAACTACATTCAGATTCTTTCTTAGTTTCAGCGTGAAATAGTAACCAATATCTATGCACAATTACAAACTTTCGCGTTTATTACTAGCAATCATTAAAACAGCACGTAGTGGAAATTTTGCCTGGTTTTTCTATGTTCATGTTCTTGTTTAAAAATAAAACTTATCATTTTTTAACCTTTGACCGTTAAGTTGTCAATACTCAAAAGTTTATTTAATGACTCAAAATCAAGTGCTGGGTAAATCCACTTGAGATAAACAGCTTTGGCAAAAGCAAGTTACTAATGATCTACAAATATATAGAAAGTTACTTGTAAACTAAGTTTTATATGGGTATAGTTACATTTCCGTCAACAAGTGTGATAGAGCCATACTTTGGCACGAATGGGCTCAACCGTGCGTCTGGTTACTAAAAACACAAGTATTGAAAAAAATATGTAAGACTTAGCTAGTCTCGCGCAGTTTCACCCTCTGCTCGGCTGTATTTTATAGTATCGTAATGTTTTAAAGCCTATATATAGCACTCAGGAACCTTATAGTTATCAATCAGGAATTTTTAATTTGGAAATCCGACCTTCGGTTCCGAAGATTACCCCTACATACAAACTTACAAATTGTGTAATTTGTAATCTACCTCTTTATAATATTGTTGATGAATGTGTACAAAGCGGTCTTTGTCTTTGGGTATATCTATTAATTCTGTCAATAGACTGTCTTTTAAACTAAGGCCGTGACTTACCCGCGAAAAAAACTGTTATTTTTATTCGCGAGAACGCACCACGTCTCCTAAAGAAAATTAAGGATACTATGAGTATAACATTTTCATATTCCGATTTTGTATATCTCTTAGACTCACGTAAATTAATTGAATGCGCTAATGGTTTCAAGCCATTATGGGACTCTAATTCATGAGTGATAAAGTCGTTATTTACAAGAAATAAATGCATTCTATTCCACCCTCACCAAACGATTACAAGTTTATTTGGAGACATTAAAATAATTCATAAAATTTATTCCTATATCAGTTATATTGCGAAATTAATTTAGCACATACTTGATAGTTATTTAAGGCAGTTTATTTTATAGCAACGGTTGAGTGGTTAGCCCGAAGGAGTGGAGCGGTAGCGTAATATGATTATGATTAAAGTGTTATGGGAAATCCAATTCATATAAGTAGGGCTCAAGTGTTAACATGAAATGTGCTGTTACTTAGCTAACTTGCTTGTAAAGCTAAATTATGTTAGTATGGTTGTAGGATGCATGTCCACCACACATGGTGGCTACTAAGGCACCCTACAGGGTGTTTAGGGAACGTGAAATGTCATACCGTGGTCTTCTTTAGAGCTGGAGGTATAACAGGGTTCGTTTTTGTGAATGATAGTCTGAAATTCCCCCTCGCCTCTGTGATAGAAGAGATTGTATAGTTTTCCCCTCTCAAAAAAGGCAGGCAGCGTAGAGCGCTGCCTGCCTTTTTCAGTTTTTTTCAGTTTCTGCTCATGGAATAAACATGACAGAAACCCTGCCTAGAACAAAGCCAGATATGATTTAGTAGTATGAAGTAGAATTAGGTTATTTGTATCAGCTCGAATGATTGCTTGAATTTAACACAAGGATTATCCGGATTTGATTTCTTCTGCAACATAACAATACTGATATTTCCAACCCTTTCACAGGTGTCGCCGCTGGTAACGGCAGAACTGGTGAAGAACGATATTTGGAACCTTGGGACGGCTGCGATACAGAAGTAGGCGAGACTCCTCAGCTAAACGGAGACGCTCTCCTGGAAGACTTGGAGTTAGACCACCGCGCTAACGGCTGGGACGCCAACGACATGTTCCGTAAAAACGAAGAGGTCTATGGGGTGCACAGCACGTACGATCACTCTTTAGCTGGGTACACACTCCCGCTGCAGCGGAAGGATACACAGGATTATCGGTGAGATTTTTTTCATACTATCTACAATCAATAGCAATATTTGCGGTACGGTCAGTAAGCCTTATAAGGGTACAGGAAATTATTTCCTCGTGCTCTTTTATTATTAATTTTTCTTTCTATCTATAGTGTAAATAGATAGAGGTATAAGATGATAAGATGAATTAGATTATATATAAGATGATTCCTCACTAATGTGTATGATCCAACCTTCTCACCTACCTTTCCACCTTCCTTTTAGAATCCCGACCGTATAGAAGAATCTTCTTTAGTAATGATCCCAGTGGTACTTTATGGCTAAGTCAAAAAGACAAAAAGGTGGCCTATGTAGACACTTTCATTTTAAACTGAAAAATGTGTGCCCTTACATCATGGACTAGTATCATATAAACATAAATATTTTTTTACTGACCATCTTCTACATCACATTGTAGGGACGCTGAAGCGAAAGCAGAAGAAATAGCGGCAGAGATTGAGAACGCCGCGTCATCAAAGGCTCGCATCGAGCTGGAGAACGGAGACGAAGAGGAGAGGTTCGCGGCTGTCGTGCGCCCGCAGGACGGGGCCTCCAGCGCTGGCAAATACGTCATTCCCAACAGGAGGAAGAATATGCAAGTGAGTACCTATCATACAACTTGAATTTTATACCCGAGAAGCTTTGGCACCACTGGGTTGGCTCGACCGGAGTGATACCACGATCTTTCAGAATACCGGCGTGAAGCAATGACTAGTGAGGTTACCGGAGGCCCAATCCTTAAATATCCGCAACCCTTATCCCCAAAAGGCCAGTAACGCATTCGTAACTCCTTTTGTGTTGCGGGTGTCCATAGGTGGCGCCGATTGCTTACCAATCACGTTATCCGTCTGCTCGTTTGCCGACTTATTTCATTAATAAAAAAGAATGGTATATGAAAGTAATACTGGATAACTGGGAACCCACGTCATCAAGACCCGTTTACATTAAATCATAGGTATTGTTTGGAATATGCAGAGATTATCTCTATAATTAATTCTTGCAATAGGCAAGAAAATTGAATCTTATATTGTGGCTTTGTCGAGGAGACTATTATTAAGATTTTAAGTAACTACACCTAATACTAAGCCCGACTTTAAAATCGATGCCTTTGCTAAATCAAAATGTCACGTTTGCTACTAATGCTATGGAGTACCATTAAATTCCAAACGATTTATCATGACTGATATTCACTTTTTATAACTCGACTATACAAAAAAAAGTCGACTAAACAGTAACGAGCGTAATATTATTTATGAATGTTAATACATGCAAAGTATTCCGTTGCAGCGCTGCTGATATTTCCTTATTATTTACATAATCATAAAATTTTATCACATTTGCTTGCTAGTAGAATAAAATCGATTGATTTCTTCGTCGGTTTCATTGTACTTTGTTAATTTATGTTAATTCTGCCTCTTGTAATACATAAAACATTTAAATAGTAGGTCGAGACGGTCTTTGGCGATTGTCCATTCACATTTTTGTATGAAGAATGTTTTAATCATCTTAAAATCGTTTAAGATGTATTGACATTATTTTTTAATGCTCTTATGAAGTTTATGTGTGTTTTACAACCTCTTATATATGTATTACAGCAATCTTTAATAGTATTTGCATATTCAATGGTGTAAAGATCAGTTCTTAATTTGTATATGTCGCCAAGTTTTGAACATGGGCGATCAGTCATTGATAGATTTGTATCAGCATCGTATCAAAATTGATGATCTAACTGTTACCGATGCTAGCTGCAAAGTGATGACACCTCAAAAGAAAAATGTCTTTAAGAATATTATAATAATGTCACTTTTCTTTTGTTTTCCCCAGACTGGCAAGCTAGTAAAACCCACAACGACAAATAACGGCGGATCTCCCCCGATGGGCGCGGTACGGGCGGGCCCGGGCGCCGGACCGGGTGCCGCGGCGCCGCCGGCCGGCCCCGCGCCCCCTAAGGACAAAGAAACACGCGCACCGCGCCCACACCTCACTCCGCCAGCTGACCGCCGGCAGGAAGAAACGGTAACATACTCAAACATATAACATATACTTAAATAAAAAGATTTAAAAGTGTTAGAAATTCGTCATTTGGAGTTCCATTGTCTCCCTAATTACCCCAATGGGAAAGTCGTAAATATTTATATATGTTTTACGGCCTTTTTCCGCCACCTTTTGCCGAACGATATCAACGACGCTTAGTGAAATTACTTATTACTCAGAGTTGCCTAGATGGGGCATATGACTTCCACGGAAGTCCTCCATTGCATAGAGACAACTAAAGAATATAGTACGTATATATAATTAGTCGAATAAATGTAATGTAATAATTGTTGTTTGTACCCGACAGCCACTGAACGTGGCCAACAGTGCGGGCGGCAAGAGCTACGCGGCGCAGGCGGCACAAGGACCCTACCACGTGCCGCCATTCCCACATGCACCCCACCAGTATGTATACCTTATCTTTACTTAGTATGTATAAACTCTCATTACAAGTAATCATCAAAACGAATTTAAAAAGTAGACTGCCAATTTTCTTTAATTAAGTGGCATTACAAGTAGTATAACAAGAAGGATCATCATTATAATAATCATATTTTTTTACTATATTTATTGACCAATTTATTAATTTATACATTGAGCACACACTACACTACTTTCAATAGAATTTGACTTTTATATTTCTGGATTTTTAAGTTTTAGTTTGTGTATTAATGTAACGATTATTATGTTCCAGGCCTCCAAATAATGCAAATAAGGTGAACGGTGAGCCGCGGCCTCCGCATCCCAGGCAGGGATTCCCACCCCACCATCACCACGTACGTGTAAAAAAATATACAAATAAGTATGGAATTGTTTTCCATTGTCATAATTTGGCGAAGGAGTCAAGTATGATGCACGTTATTGGACAAAAACGGAATTTGTGATGAGCGTCATGGGTAGAATAGAGGGAAGTACGTTATTTTGGCATTCCTAATTAATTTGTCTTCTGTAGAACCCAGTGGGTGGCGGCGAGGCGCACGGTCGCCCCCCGCGGCACGAGCCCCGACATGAGCCCCGGCACGAGGCGCGGCGCCCCGACGACGGCGTGCAGGACCTGCGCAAGTTCTCGCAGGACTTCAAGCTCATGCCCGCTCCGCAGCCCCTGCATACACAGACACAACCACCCATCAATGCACAACCACCTGTATGATCATTTTTATTATAACTATGTTTACTATCAATATCAAAATAATGCTGATTTCGAGAAAACAAAATTAACAGATTCGACGATATATATCGTAAAATATACTAACTTGAAAAATGGTTTAGGCTCAATTTAAAGATCGGAATTAAGAAAGAAACTGAATTAATGATCTCAAGATCTAGACATCTTTCACCACATAACTTGAAATTATTTTAAAATTAGATAACTGCTTATATAAAAATAATGCGCCCTACTGCTATCCTACACACTGAACTTGAATCACATTCTTGACTGATGACAATGTAATATTATCCCAGAGCCAGCCCCCGCCGGCCCCCAGCCCCCCTGAAGTATCGGCCAACGCGTGCGCTGCCCCCGACCACAAGCGAGACAGACCCCCCAAGCAACACACACCGCCGGAACACCATAAGGTGACTTGAACTTATACTAATATTACAATGAAGTTTTTTTTGTATTGTGCTCTAAAAGACTTCTAAGCAACTGAAAGGAACAATTTTCACTAAAAGACGGTTCCATTTGGACTGAAACTCATAAACTTTTCGATGCTATCTTATTTATGATGCATCTACAACAATTAATTCATTAGAGAGATTAGTTTAGTAAGTGTAGGTTTGCGTAAATATGGATTGGAAGTCATAAATCTCGGAAATTCTTTGCGTAATATCAAATAATATTCATTTCATCCCTCTAAGGGGAAACAAAAATGATGTCTATATTAACATTTTGTCACCAGCACAGACTCAATATTAAGTTTTGTGCTGTTATTAAAAATGTTCCGAATTCCTACAAGTATTTAGGTACTTAGATACTGGTTTTGCCGAAAACTTAACTAACGAGGTGGTCAAATCAATCCACGAATCCAATCAACGCTAGACACAAAACCTTTCGAAAGTGTTAGTTTGCGCAATGTTAACACAATAGTCATTAGACAAATACTAGTTTAATTAGTGACATAACGAGGCTTGAACGATTTATATAATTTGCAGCAGAGTACACCAGCTCCAAAAGGCGAGTCGCCGGCAGTGCAGGAGGAGCGCTCGGCCCCGTCCGCGTCGCCGCCGTCGTCCGCGTCGCCCGGCATGGACCGCGTCGTCGCCATCAAGAAGTCCACACTCAACCCCAACGCTAAAGAGTTCAACCCAGCTGCTAAGCCATTCACTCCTAGAAGCCCCAGTACGCCTAATCCTAGCCGGTAAGTTATGTTTCTTTATTTTTTTACATTTTAATATTGGTCAATATAATGCTAAGGAATATAATGTTGAGCGTTGCTCCAAGATATCGCGTCTTTTGTATTACTAATTTCATATTCAACATTAACTTGAAAATTACTAAGTTGTAACTCCAATCTTAAGTTAGCTACTGTTTTCTACTACAGTTTATATGGTATTATCGGTGTTGATTAATTTCAAATCATACACCAAGCTATACAGTCCAAGAATCAGTTTTCGAAAAAACTCAATAATCCTTTTGTATGGTAGTAATATTTACAACACTTAACTAACAATACGATCACTAATTACATTCGTCTTTCTCAGACCACACACGCCAGGCACGCCTTCAGGCGTGGGTGTGGGCGTCGGAATGGGCGTGGGTGGTGTAGGCGTGAATCTGGGAGGCATGAGCGTGATGGGTCCGGGCGTGAGCTACGTGCCGGCGCCGGTGCCCCCGCCGGCCATGCAGTGCTACCCGCAGGTGGCGGCCATGCCCTACGCCATGATGGCCGCCGCCGCCGCCGCCGCGCAGCAGCCCCCCGCCTACCTGCCGCATCCACACCCTGCTGTAAGCTGACACTCCATTCTATTCTCCGCCTTATCATAAAGATATACTTCAAAATCTTTATGCTCCATATTCAGTCACTAGACATTGCTATGTAGATTGTTGAAGTTTAATGTACGATATACGTAACGAAAAGCTTTGTAAGCCGTACGTCGAGGTTACTCGACTATCGACTCGACGAAATTCAAGCTACAATATGGATCCATAATTATGCTGTAGAGTACAGACTACTTATTAAGACATCATTTTGACAAATGCCCATTATGGTGTCAAAATGTATCCTATAAATTGTCGAGTTGCCGATTTTAACGCCGAGAAAGTATGAATTAAAGAAGACTTTGCAAATACTCATAAAATGTTGGCGGACGGCAGATGGAGATGGGCTGCGATTGCCGGCAGTACGCGCCGCCTATATTCATGGTGCCCGACAAAAGGGACCGCCCTGACGCGGTGAGCACACGCGACACTTTACAACCTAACATTTGTGACAAAACCTTAATATCACAAACAAAATTAAATTCGACCTTATCATCATTAGTTTTTAAATTGATTATTCAAATTCAACCTTATATTCTTCTCTTATTGGTCACAAATTTTTTAAGTTGAGGTGTCGCCCTCGTGCAGTGTTCAGTTTTCCGCAGTGTGTCGTAATAATATTGTACCAATGGGTGCTTTGCCTCGCTAACCGCCTGGCTTACCCCACTACAGATTATGTTGTAAATGGATACTATACTCAGATTAAAGTATTAATAAGTATTTTACTCATGATTTTCTAGTCAATCTCGAAAAAATATCCTCTTAGTAAATTACCCTATAGGGCTGATGATCAGCTAGGGTTGCGGGGTAAGCGCAATGAGTTACCGCAACCTCAGCCCAGAGCAGGAGAAATAACGGGGGGGGGGGGGGTTAGTCAGTAAACGTCTGTCACTCCCTCCCTGGACGGGAGAATTCATATATGGCGTACGCCGTTTTTTAAGAAACAGAAAGCCTATTCAGAGTTTGCTTTGACAGTAATAATGCGATTGACATTTTTATGATGTTAAGTGCTCTGATTGGCTATCTTCAAGTTAGACAACCAATCTTAGGACTAAACACGGTAACGTTACTTACAAGACACTCCGCTTGTAATGTTACAAATTTTCAAGCAGTTTAAATGACACATGTTAAAATTCAAAAATAATGCGTCTCTGTTTTTTCTTGTCTAAACAAAACAGATATGTTAAAGGCTTCGCGTGGGTGTGATGCTGATACGAAATTTAAAAATTTAAGCGTATATCGACTTGGTTTTATACTATATAGTGAAGTATCCATTTCCTACACAATCTGTCACCACATTACACAATCATATGATTTTAACTCTCCTCCGTACCAAAGCTAATGCTTCGAGTGATTTCCTTTTTATTTAATAACCAATAATATGTGAGTGAGTGCAAAAAAGCGATTAATACGCGATTTCTGATAGTCAACACGTTTGATAGCACTTGTTCAGTGTTTCATGTGTGTTTTTAGGGAAGTAATGGTGGTAGAACGACTTTAAACAATCTAAACTAGTTTTAAAGCTGTATTTAGCACGTTCGCCAATAGCGGGATGGAGTATTCACATAAGTTATCATTTTAATGATTTTTCTGTTTTTTTTTTCGTGTTACCCGTTAAAGACTTCGCGCCGTGGCTTGGCAATTGGTTGTTGTGTCGCGGGTTCGATTCCCGCGCCGCATTTCGGTTCAGAGTGACTATTTATGTTTGCAAACGCACTCACGACACAAGATGAAGTAATAGTGAGGGGCAACGATTCTTTTTAAACGAAATACAACAAAACACTCTTTTCCCTTTTCACAATATTTATATAAACTGGGAAGAAAGAATCCTCCATGAGAGTAGAAAGCACATAAATATGTGAATTTTAGTGCACTATTCGCACTTGTTTTTATGCAATAATTAGGTATCTAATAGGAATAAGAGTTGGGAATTCCCAACTCTTTAAAACACGACTATAACAGCATCAGGGAAGTATGTGTGTCTATCCGTAAATGCACTTTAAAATGAGATAGCACTCAACGAAGCTAAGCAACTCTAGCGATAAGACTGCATAATTATATTATGACGTTCGTTATATCTCGCATAGGAATGTAAATATAAAACTAATTAGGAGATAAAAACAATTTATTCGTCTCAATATTACCTAGTACTTAAGTTTATAGTTTTAAATACTAACATTAATGTTGTTTGCAGTGGTTTTGTCTTAATACCGAATTTGTTTTGTGCACTAAACATTAATTTTATAACCAAACATCAGTCATTTATTACGATCTAAAGTAGAGGATCTTCCTAAATGTTTTCTTCAGGTTTCAACCCCACCATTTGTTCAGATAAGTCCCATAATTTAGCCGCCAAATCTTCGTTTCTTGCCTTCATACCCATGTATCCTGGTTTACAATCAACAAAGTACCCCCCACTGGTTTCGTCACAGTCATCCGATATCGCCAAATACAAACTAGTTTGTGCTCCTTCAACGGGGTTCTTGAAGAAAGTATAGAAGATCATAGTTCTTAATTTTTCTAGAATAGTCGCCTTATAAAAACTCGTGTTCACATGACCAGGGTGTAAGCTGTTCACGCTGACTCCAGTGTTCTCCAATCTCCTCGCTAGCTCATTACTGAATAGTATATTACAGAGCTTGCTATCACAATATGTTCGGATAAAAGAATGTGGGTTGTTCAAATCGCTGATAGTACCAAACCTGTGTAAAGTTGATGTCACTATGATAACTCGACTTGGAGCTGACTTCTTCAACAAAGGAGTCAAGAGCACGGTCAATAGAAACGGTCCGAAGTAATTGACCTGCATGTCTCTGATGAGGCCATCCTCAGTCCTGTCCCTATGCACGCCACTAGCGCCGGCGTTGTTAATCAAAATATCCAATTTAGCTTCTGAACTTTTGAAATCTTCTACGAACTTTCTGATTGAAGCGAATGAACTTAAGTCCAGGTGCATGTATCTTACGCTTCGGTTCTTCGTCTTCTTTACAATGGAATCTGCTGCCTTCTGTCCCCTCTTCTCGTCCCGGCAGCCCAGTATCACTTTAGCGCCTCTCCTAGCCAATTCCAAAGCGGTCTCATACCCAATCCCGCTGTTTCCACCCGTCACGATCACCACTTTACCGCTCATCACATTGTCCGCGTAACACTTGCCATTAGTTATTTTATTGTACGTTTTTATTACAACCAGAGCTATTAGCAACCAGAAGAACCACATTTTGACACAGTATTGAAGTCAGTACACTATTATAATTGCGAAGAATATATCTGCGAATATAAGTCGCGGATGTATTCGGTAATTATTTATGTGTTTGTGCTAGCATCGCCGTTCTCACAATGTCACTGAAAGATTTATCTGTACAAATGTCAAATCATGTGAACGGACTAATTATCAGCATTGGCCGCGTGGCCGTTATCAAATTTATCGTTATCCATTCTATATTATGAACTGTGTTCGATTGTCTGGTTGTCCGTCAACAACATTCTAATAGTTCGAAGTTGCGAGTAAGCGAGTATGATTCTTCAACCCTTCCTATTGATATTTCATTATATTTTATTAGACAATACCTAATTTATCAACAACACAATTTTCGCTTTCACCACAATATTTAATTCACAGTGATAATCCTTAGTATCAGACGATATCGAAGCCAGATATCCACATGTATCCACAATAACAAAACCGATTATTTGATAAAATGATCAAAAAACACGTGATCTCAAAGGTCTATAAAATGAATCGTGTAGATTTTATAACAGCGAACGTGATTTTTATTATTCTGAGTAAATCTTGATGACATTTTATTTCCTCGTGCTATATGTATATTAGTAAAACCAGTTTCTTAACAAATTAACATTGGAACAATCTAAGCCAGATTTAGGGCAAATAATATTTCTCTAATGGGTAAAGATCATAATTACGTAGGTCGCTGGAAACAGTTCCCTTTTAACGGACCAACCTGATAGTTGGACAACCCCGATTTCTCTATATAATTTAGATTCAGTTACTAGCGAAAAACCCCCTAAGTGTATCTACTATTTAATGGATGTATCATACTTCATACATGTAAACCTTCCTACTTAATCATTTTATCTATTTAAAAAAAAACCATCAAAATCCGTTGCGTAGTTTGAAAGATTTAAGCATAAATAGGAATATAGGGACAGAGAAAGCGACTTTGTTTTATACTATGTAGTGATTTAGTATTGATATGGTTTAAATATCGAAACACTACATTAAAAACTTTATTGAAATTAATAGACTTTGCCTTCATATATTCATTAATAGATACAAACACTACCCTCAACATTGCATCTGTACGTGTTAGACCAAAGTTCGTAATGTTTCCGCTATGATAACGAGTTCATCTCATAAATATAATAAATTAATTATACTTTTCTCTTCGACTTTACTCATCAATTTTATTACTAGATTATCTAGTGTTATTGTGGAAAATAAACAATCTGAAAATCGATAGATAGATACGGGTTTTTTGTTATTGGATAAAATTACAAAAAGTTCTTATTACATAAATGACCTACGTTTATCGTTAACATCGTTCTAAATTTCCAAAAGTTATTAAAATGAGTTTTTTTGTAGATCTTTTTCTGTGTATTAAAGTCATGAAACAACATACAGGATACGGTTATCTGTGTAATTTATTCGTAATCTAAGGTTATCGCTAGATATTGGAGAAAGAAATAATAATTACATACATCTGTTGATGTTCGACGATATACTTTAAGCCACTGTTTAACTAGCTGTACTAGCTTATTACCGTGACTATCGCGATATTTATAATCAATATTTTACACTTTTTAGTTTACTAAAATATATTAACAATTATGAACTGTTCAATTATGAAAAATATATAGTAAAGCCATATACACTGAACGATATTGTTTGTATCCATGCTGATTCAATTCTAGATTTCAAATCCTATGCCCTCCTATTTTCACTTCTTTATGGTCCAATATATTATAAAATCATTTCTATACATAACCAAATAAATAAAACCTAAGCAAAAATCAATGTATACCACACTCTTTTACATCCAAATCCAGACGAATGTACCTCATATTTATTACTTTAAATGCTTTCTTAACTAAATACGTTTATTATTGTAACATGTACAGTTGGCATATGGAGCGATGGGAGGCGGCGGCGGAGTCGCCGGCGTCACAGGTGGGGGCGGACAGCCCCCGATGCAATCACAACAGCCCAGAAATTTCCGAAAAGGTATTTCTATTTAACATACTTTTGCTTTTTCAAAAATTTCTATGTTTGTTTAGAAAAAAGAAATACATGTGAAGCAGGCTAATGTTAATAATGACATATTAAATTCCTTTAATGTTTAAATAGTTCAAAAAAGATGAACTTGATATTAATTTCTATTTTGACGAGGAATGCTAACACAAAATCTAAGTAGTAATTTAAAAAACACAGTGATCTAAGCATGATCACTTCAAGGTGTTTTGTAATGCCTTAATAGCCGGTAAGTGTCGGATAAATTTGGATTTAGAACTTATTTGGTATGAATTATGTTCCACATCCGTTTATCAGAAACTTCTGTTAAGGTGGTGAAATAGGACCTTAGACAATGCCTTCATCGACTCAATGATTAAAAAGAAATTTAATTCTAAAATCAGTAATACCATTTTTCTCCTTCACTTATTCGTATACCGTCAATGGTAGTGTAACATGTGTTTGAGTATACAGTGTGCGTAGGTTCGGGCATGCAGGTAGCGGCGGCGACGGGCCAGCCGCTGATGGCGCCGGCCCCCATGCAGCAGTTCGTGCCCTACCCACACCCACACCCCGCGCCGCACCCCGCGCAGTCGGCGCTGCAGTATCCACACATGGTGAGCGCAAACTAATAATAATTATTATGACAATTGTTTTAGACAAGCTACCGTCGTGCGTTTTCTGAATCTTTTGTTTTAGAGTGATAATTTATACGTTTATAAATGGAATATCCAGTCCCACTAAGTTTTTTTCGATTCCAATTGATAGTTGTGTCCACAACTATTTTCTATTTCGATTTCGATGCTTTACTTAAGTCCGAATTAATTTAAAATTTTAAGAGAAAATCAATCAGACATCGAATACCGATCAGATTTTGAACAGAAAATGGCTATTGATTTCAGCTACTATTCCATCAAGAAGCTTATGTTCTATTCAATTATAAAACTTAGCCTTTGCGGTGTATGTAGCAGTTTAATAGAGGCAATACTATAGTTGCTAATCTTGTTTCGTTCTTTTTGGTGTTTGTTTTTTCCTTGATTCATTTTTTAATAACCGTTCAAGAGCTTTAGATGGGTGTTAAGAAACAAGGTCTAGATTTTTTCCGAGTCATTCAGTGACACAAACGTTACCACAGGTGCGGATGTATCACAGCGGCGTAGGGGGGTCAGTGGGCGCCGTGTCGGGCGTGGGTGGCGTGGGTGCGGGCGGCGCGCTGGGAGGCGGCGAGGTGGGCGGCGTGGGCGCCGGGCAGGTGGGGTACGCGCCCCCGCCCGCGCCCTCCCCCGCCGCCGCCTCCCCCGCGCTCTACCCGCCGCCCTCCCCCGCGCACACGCCGCACCCCCACCCCCACCAGCACCCACACCCGCACCACCACTTTCAGCAACCACCTTTTCAGGTAAACCTACGTACTTATACTGCGCCCCCACATCCTCTACTGTTAAACTATACGGTTGTAGTTTCACAGGCTAGGGTAACTTGATATTTTAGCATCTCTACTGTGTTAAAATTTTATAAGGGCTGCTTTCTCAGTGTTTTTAACATCATTTTGCTAACAAAACTTGTCCATATGTTTGTCTTATTCGTAATGAAGTCTGTAACGGTGTGTTTGTCGTGTGTCCAGACGTATCACCAAGTGCTCTGTCCCATGATGGGTCCGGGAGGGTCTGGCGGTCACCACCATCACCACCACCACGTAGCCTACCTGAACGCACCACCCACCGCCTCGCCGCCGCAGCCACACCCACACTCAATCCAGGTACATAGTAACTTGAAACATTAGCTGGACGACGTGGTGTATGAGTGCGGGCGTGTAGTAATGCGTGGCGTATGTATGGCAGGGCGTCCTGCTGCCGCCGAGCCACGGGTCGGGCGCGGGCGCGGGCGCGGGCGGCGGGTCGACGACGCCGGGCGTGGGGTCGGGCGGCAGCCACGGGTAACGCGCGGGCGCGGGCGCGGCCGTGCTGCTGGCGGCGCGACTCACGCGGCTCACGCGCCTCACGCTGCTCACGCGCCTCACGCTGCGTCTGCAGCCGCCCCACCGCCCCGCCTGACTCTCGTTTCCTTGCCTCTACTCGCTTCATGTTATTACCAGTGTAATACCAACTGTCGGATTTACGTGTAAATATTCGACCTAAGCTATTCGTCGTCACACTTCGATTTCAGTCGTATCCGATATGTAACATCACAGTGTTGCGATTTACGGAGAGTGTTCCCTCACCACCAACTTAGTGCTGTAACAGTGTACGCTAGGACACGGCCTGGAGGTCTCGTTGTGAAAGTATTGCTGGACGGTAGTTTCCTCGTTTTGCTGCTGGCAGCATCACATTTTTTTGCGGTTTTGTAGACAAACATCATTCGCAGCTGCGATATACATATTAAATTATTTATAAATAAAAAATCTGACCTGAATCAACTTTTTTACAGCAACAAAATTGAAATTAAAATTTACAAAAGTGCACTTGTAAAGCTTTTTTGATGTAATATTTGTAACATATGTCCTTAGAGACTTGTTTGTGAAGGGAGAGGAGCGCATGAAACCTCCGATATAAGGGTATCATGACACAAGCGCCTCCATCCCCGCTGTATGTACTGTTACAGTGTGTAAGCAGAACATTGTTTATATTGTTTATATCAAAATTAGCACGTAGACTAGAGGCCTTCATTTTTTAAACGAGTGTCATAGTTTGTCGCGGGATTGCAGAATACTTTTAGCGCCATCAATAATATTTGGCGATATTCAAGTATTGCGTTTGTACACGTGACAGATGTTCCGTGGTCTTACGATCAGCTGGCTAGTCCCACTGGTGGTAAGGAAACGCGCGTAAAGTGTATTATCTAACTTTAATAATACAACGTAAAGTAATAACTTGTATGCCTTCTTCTTATCGATACGTTTATCGCAATAATTGATGTTTTAATGTTCTTTCGTAAAATTTTACTCGGTATTTTCACGTGGCAACATATTTTCGATTTCTTTTCAATCGTCGCTATTATAAGTGAGTCTCTAGCAATACGGAATTTTGTATAAAATGTCGATAGTTTACCCTCATTGTAATGTAAATGAAAGTTGAATATTGTGATATAAACCAAAGATATGTACACATCTTTAATAACATAGTTTCCAACTTAAACGAATAACAATCACAAATAACTGTTAAGACATTGGTTCGAATTTTGTATAAAAAATATAACATTGTCACGTGGAATCCCGAATTTGTGAGTTTACTACGAAATAATATGAATTCTGGCAACACTTTCAAATTACCTGAAGGTGTTGCCATTCAAATGAAAACTGTTTATATATTTTAATTAGTTTTAGCATGGCGAGGAAATAGAAATGATGTTGGATGGTGTGTGGTTGTTGATATGTTGTAAGTGTAGATAGATCGTCTTGTACGGACGGAGTGAGGGTCGGCGGCGGCCCTATGTATTATATAAAACTAGATAATTCACTCTCTATCATATTTACCGGCTAGAAACAAGAGGGAACTGGCGAAACTGTCCTCTTTATATATCTATCAAGACACCTCGCCTAGGTGCAAGTCAGTTTTTATATAAAAAAGTGTAAAAAATATATCGAACTAAATATCATAATAAAGTTTGATACAACTTAGCTTGTAACGTATTCATAGAATTTTATATTAAATATATATAATTATGTGAAGGCACGAACATCGTTTATCTAATAATGCAGTCAGGTTCCTGTTGTAGCCGGTCGGTAACGTTAGTTCCCTCGTTTGTGACGACTATCGCCATTCTGAGACAGCGGTCAGTTCGTTATGTATTTATTTAAGTTTAGGGTTATTATTGTGAAGGTACCCTCCGCGATTACATAACTAATTCCAAAGTGTCAATTGCACTTTAAATATTATTAATTTATAAATTGGCAAATAGTTTTAAATTTCTTAATGTGAATGGTGGGCGGTGTTGCACGCGCCCATCGATTTGATACTGTAACGACTTTCATTGGACAGTTGAAAGTGAGATCAAGTGTCGGGACCATCCTAGATGCTCAATGTTTGCTAAGGTATGAATTTACTGTCTCACAAGTCATTAGTTCTATTTTATTTTATACATTTGCAGCTTTTGAAAAGGCAACGTAAGTACTGTGTAGCTGGGCCGCGGTACGTGGCCGACTCCTTGAGAGTGCTCACCCCAGATTATGATTATAAAAGAATCGATTACTCGTTAAACATTTTTCTATTAGCATATTTAATATGAACGTAGTAACTACGCCTTTTCAGAAAGCACGTGTTAGTGAAACTCAGCCCCTTTGTTGTAGTGTCGTGAACAAACTCAGTGTGTTCCCTGTCTATAGTCTGTGGACTCCATCCCTGTAGAGGTCACGGGGTGGATTGCTAAACATTTCCCTCGCAAATCACATGTTAGGTACATTTCGTCTCAGCCTCATTAATTTTGCCACATAAAGGCCAGTCTTTAAATTCGCCAGCAGTTGTAAACTTATTGTTTTTATTTGAATCCCCTTTGTTCAAGCGTGACGGATACATTGTGCGAATCCGAATGTTCTTGTATATAAAAGCGAAGTTGTTCAAGTTTTATTTATTTACACCCTTCATTTAAACCGCCAGCAACTCGGTGCGCGACGATGAATGAGACGGACTATAATTTTAAACAGAATCTACATATTTTTCTTATGTAAAATTTGTATAATAGTATTATATAAAATTACAATTACAAATATATTATAATTTGAACTGAATAGTTTACCGTGATAAAGGTATTTTTGAAAGCCTACCTACCACCCGATTGTTGTGTATATCATTATAATATTGATGTTACGAACTGCCGAAACATCCGGGCTTTCAATCATGTCACTGTCACACGTAGTGTTTCAAGGAATTGTAAAAAATATGCGTTACAGACGCGAGTAGGTTTGACAATAAAAATATAAAACTTTGATAGGTAGGTGTAAGGATGTTAGGATTGCATATACATACATACATATATACGACGAAACTGACACTGTTCACGTAAATTAAAAGTCAGGTTTGTCAAGTATATACTTGTCATATTATGTATCGTACTCGGTTATATCGGTAAGGGTCACAAGATTTGCACAATCAGTACGTTTCCTCCCATAGTTGTAGTTATTTTTATCGATAAGTTTCTGCTTGAATGGAGGGTCGTTATACGCTTAATAAGTGTGGCATCAAGGGGAGCTAAGTCCATGACCTCCGCGCGGTGCTCCCTGGGTAGCGCCAAATGTGGACGATGACATTCACATTATTTTATAACAAATTGATCAACGGTAACCATGGAGTGCTGCAGGATTACTTTCAAACACAAATTCGAGTTCTTCCTATTCTTGTGTATAAGCATTCCTTTTGTAAAAATATAGACAAACCAACTGTATGTATCACTCCCAATGAGTTGCTCTGTTTCTATGTACACCGCAGTAAATGATTTGTAGATTTAACATAGACATATTTATATGAACAGACAGAATGAATATAACCTGTATATAGTGTAAATATATTGATATAGAGGGGTTACTAGTGACCTTTCCCACAAAACTTCATTCGTATTTATTTTGTGATGTATAAAGGTTTTTCGAACATGTTAACTTGAAAAAAATCACAAAAAAAATGTTTTCGGGAAGGGCCTACAAGATCCGTACCACGTTCGTGACTGTAGAATGTAAAATATTTCTTGAGAACATGGTATGGACTCTCGTCTACTGTTTTATTTTCTTTTTTTTTTCACATTTTTTTTTCTTGTTTTAATTTAAATTTTTATCGCGTGAGTGAATCCACCGCGTAAGTTTGTTGCTAAATGAGAGTTTGATAATTAATAAAAAGATGTATGTGCGTGTGTTGATTGTTGTGCGCCATATAAATATTATCGATATATTTTTGTGTGGAGTGCCACGCCTGGTGGCACAGACATGTTTATGTTTAGCTAGGAATATACCTTTTCTTATTTTCTCGTCAAATTTGTACGTGCTTACGAAAAGACGTTCGAGTTCCTTTGGCCACATAATATTATAATGGTTGTGGTGTAAATTTTTATAAGATTCTCATGTTAAGAGCAACGATATTCCAAGCGCCGATGCGATGGTAACGCACATTTATCTAAAACTATTGATTTCAGAGGTATGGACAATCAGAGATCTGATTGTGAATCGCCATCCTTAATGTAATTAAAATAAAACGATCGAGCCGTGAAGGCGGGCGTAATGTCGTTGAATCTAGGATAAAGGAGTAACTCCATTGTGCCTTTATCAATGGTGACATGTGACTATCACGACTTGTGTCTACTGAACTGTGACGTATCAAAGTAAACGGTACTGATATTTATAGATTGAGTAAATAGAAGTTGTTCAGACAACACTAGGTCACATTCCCAAGTCAGTTGAACTCAATCGGCACTCACTACATTCCACTAATATGCCATATCTACTTATGGAGGTAAACGTTCAATTATCCATTACAGTGTTCACAGTTCTAATAATACTAATGCACAGATTAGTCTATTATTACGATACCACTTCGCGTTCCGTTGCTGTCTGACGTCACGGGTCTGGACAACTTCTATTTACAAATGCTTTGAAGGCAAGTGGCAATGATAATGACGTACTTGTGTTAATTTCGCGTAAAATTGACTTTAGTTGGATATTCCCTGCTCGGAGGCTGCAGCTAGCCGGGGTCGCACTCGGCACCAACGATTGCCACTTGACAACTAGCACGACTGACTCATGGAATTATCACTTCAACATTACACAAATGATAATTTAACGATTCAGTCCATAATGAGAGCAGCTCATACATTTTTACCTCGTATAAGGCACTTTCCTTTGTGTAAATATTTGTTACCGACTCAATGTCGGCGCTGCTGATTCGTAAAACCATTGTATGTATAGATAAATTCTATGAAATTGCCTTATAAATGTGTGTGTTGGCCCCCAATGGGGGGATATTGTGAGGATGTTACCAACGTGTACGGACCTACTACTTGGAAGTTACAGAATGCTAATTTAATTATCTATTACAGATATATCCGAACACCGCGTTCATATTGAGGGTAGCATTTTGGTAACATTTCAGTATAGGAGGTGTAAATTATGTAAAGACTGAAGGGAAATAATGTGTGCGGAAGGGAGCAGACATAATTGTAAATTGGTTTTTATAGGAGTTATAAACAAAGCCTAAAACTCCTCGTATTGTATATTGTAATTTGTTTGATGCGGATCGGTAGAATTTGACGCTTACACTACGTGATTATGTAAAAGCTTTCGAGCTACACAAGGAATGAGCTGAACTTGATTAACCGCTAGAATTGTACTGATTCATGTCAAATTCGATATTGTATATTGCTGCTTATTTCCGCTTGGTGATGAAAGATTTGATTTATGGAAAAAGTGCTTTTTATTTGTCAGCCCCGCGAGGGGCGTGTAAGCAGGAATGTGCCAAAGTGGTATGGCATCGTTTATTGTTTGTTGGACACACTAACACCTGTGTCAACGAATATTTTTCAATAAAAAAGTTAAAAAAATGTGTTTCAAACACAACACTTCTGTGTTTTAATGGTTTCATTCCCTTTTGCCCTTAGATTACAGAGTATATGGTAAGTTTTTTAAGATTAATCTACGAAATTACATCACTTGCATATGGCACTCCGTTTGCAATGTAAAGAGAAATATACTTATGCAATGTAAGAATAAATTCGCCCACATTCATCGAGATTGCATCAAGGCTCACACAGTGTAGCACTTATCATAGTGTGAGTCACACTACGTTATGTGCTCCTGTGATGGAAAATCCTTCCAAATTAATTTCAGATCTAGTACTTTCGTGATCACATCGTATAAAAAAAATTGTAAAAACTACTCAACTAACAAGACTGCCTCGCTAAAGTGGTTGGAGGTGCGAGTGTTGACCAATGCTCTTTGATTCTCGGTCGGACAAGGCATGGTTGAGGGTTTCAATTCTATATTATTTCACAGCATTATGTCGTACGGAATTTTGCTGTGGGGTCGAGCTGCAGAAGTAGATTCAATATTTATTTTGCAAAAGCGGGCTATCCGAGCGATATATAACTTGCCCCCTCGTGAATCTCTGAGAGAACTATTTAAAACGATAAAATCCTAACGGTAAGGTACCGTCAGTTTATATATGAAAATATTATGTACGTAAGGAAAAATTTGCAATTATTTGAACAAAGAAGCGATAGACATAATTTTAATACTAGAGGCAAAGATAGGCTGGCTGTGCCACGGTTCCGTCTGTCCAAAGTACAGAAATCCTTTATAGGGTTCTGTGTAAATTGTTACAATAAAATTCCAAGAAGTGTATTAAATCTTAATGAACGAAAATTTAAAACATATTAAACGCGAATTATGTAGACAGGCATACTACAAACTTTCAGATTACATTGAGGATAAGAATGCCTGGCAGCATGTTGGTTCGGCTCCACTGGACAATTCTCAAATATGTAGTCAGTAGTTATTAAAATTCTCAAAATTAATGAAACCTGGAATGAGTTTATATAGAAGCATTCTTTTGGATTGTGAGTACGCATATGTGAGCGCCATGTACGAGACAACAAAGGATTAAAATTTTAATGATAGATTAGATAGACCATCATTTGTTCCTTTTTATTAACAACTTGACTCTGCATTGTTCTCACAAAGGGGTACAGTAATGTATAAAAAATGTATTATTGGTGAATTGTAAAACAAATATTTTTTTAAAAAGAGTAACGATGGAGTTTCTTGCTCGTTCTTCTCCATTCGAAACTACAATTAGGAACGAGCACCTAGCTTCACTGACGAACAGACTGACAGACTACTATTCTATTTTGACGTTTCAAAAGTACCTATTTATGGTTTAGTTGGAATAAATGATTTTGATTTGATTTGATATATATTCCATTAGTAGTGGATTCTGACTGCCAATAGCATAAGGGTACACTTGATCCCCTTTCGAGTTTCAGCTTTCTGTTTGAGTTTTATATTCTAAGATAGAAGATAATAACTACTTACAGAATTAAATATTGATGAACTGAAATAAATAATGCATGGTGAGTTTAAATTGTGAAATTTGCCCTTTTTTGAGGGGGAAAATCATCAGTTGCTTCGTCCATGGTGACTAAAAACGAGCCGTTTCCTTCTCCTGCTCCAGTCCGAGGCAAAAATTTGTAAATGACATAAAGAGTTGTTCCGTGCGGGAATCGAACACGCGACACGTTGCACGGCAGCCAGTTGCCCAGCCACTACATCAACCGTGCAGTCAAAGTAAAGTTAAAGGCTTTAAATATTGAACTTTGTTATTTTTCTGTGAGGCTGTAATATTACTACACTTTTTTGCTGTCAATTGATAATATATAGGAAAGCCAAACTCTTAATATTTTCCCTGTATGTGTATTTTGTTTTTTTTATCTCTTGTTCCGCTCTAGCGGAGGCAAGAGGAAGTACCAGACTCTTACTGAAGGAAATCGAAATCCGTTCCTCTTCCGGGTCTGGGCCGGGGCTAAAGGAGCATGTGGAACAGCTGTTATCGTGAATAATGTGCAATAGGTAATGTGGATGTCAAACCATTCACACAAAGTAAACAAAATAAATCTTGAACTGTGTCTCAAATAATAATTTATTCCTTTAAAGTATCCTATACTTTACACATAAAACTATAAAATAACTTAGAACAAAATAAAATATTTTCATTTCTTTTTAAATAAATTACATGACATTACAGGGGGGCAAATTCTGTCCAAGCGCTAATATAAATTAAACCAAAATACTTAAGGTATAGATGCCAAAATTGCAAAACTTAAAAACAAAAATAGTTATACATTTTTTTTAGAACAAGTAGGTAGTTCCCAATTAATCAAATTCAATACTTTTATTGAAATGTGAAAAACAATACTTTTCTATCAATTTTGTTATGAGATCGCAACATATGTTGTAACTAAAATTAAGTAGATATATCGTCAAATCAATAAAAGAAAGCATGATTATATTTTAATAAATCATTGTATTAAAAGGTAAATTTATTTTCGACCTAGGAAACTACCTACCCAATTCGACAACAAACATCGAAATAATTCAACAGGAATAGCTAATATGCAGTAAGTTCATATAGACACGAAATAATAATATTTTTATATCAATATGCAATTTCTGAATGGCGCATATTTACATAGAGCAACTGAAAACCTTACTGCATACAGACACAAACTAAATGCTTAAGGGCTGATTTTTCAATAGTTAGATAGAAGTTACCTGCGGATTAATAATGATGCTGTCGCGTCAGAATGTTTGTATAAGACAGTGACAGCAACAATTTAATTCCTCAGATATCATTTATCTGACTATTGAAGAATCAGCCCTAAGAAATCTTCAGGTACCGATAACTTTTCAAACCATTTATTTTAATGAAAACGTAATTCAAACGTTTCGAATATGCCTAGTATGTGTTCTATGGACGCCTTGCATAGCTGCCTTCACCTCCTCAAAGAACGAAGTGGAATTATGTATTGTAGTACCACCAAGGACTATCCTGACTCCCGGGTACGTCTGGTTGATCTGGTGGACGCATTGGGCCTCTTCGTAAGTGGCGCCCCCTACGATGAACACGAATATGTCTTGTGGTCTCCGACCGTATGCCCCATCGTCGCCGCCTAGCGTCGGGTATAGATTCTCTCGCAGCTTTCCCTTAATTAAATCTTCTAAAGTGTCTTTTAGTAAGGGTGTGTGCTGTGTGTAGATGTTTTCTACGCCGCTCAGACCCTGTAATGCAAGAAACTAGGTATGAGAGTGGTTGCAAGTGACTATGTCGAGGTGTCTTTAGTTTATCAAATATTTCTCAGTTCCAATTGTATGAGCTGCAAACATATTTGTCTTTGAAGAATTAAAATAAATACTATCTGCTTGGTTCCTCTTAGCCTTAGCACGGTATTTTAAAGCCTTTTTTTAGACCTAATGTTTAACTGCAATCCCTCCTGATGGTAAGCAGCGATGCAATCGTTGATGGTAAGGCGCACTAGTTTATCTAAGAGCCTATTCACTCTAGCCTTGACACCTAAATCATAACTGGACGGGAAAACCGTTGCAGGCCAGCTTTACCAATCCTTAGATGTGCGTGGTGTAAACGACGAAGCTAAACGCGTAAACCAGGTTGTAGAGGTCTCAACAATATAAGGAAGGAAACTCGCCGAACTGTCCGGTTGTTAAAAATTACATCTTTCCTCAGTAAACGAACTATCTAACAAAAGGATATTAAGCGCTTTCATACAAACTGTCTATTAAATTATGCTAAATATAATAGACGCATACATTTGAGAGCAGAATGGCACATAAGCTACTTTAGGTTTTATCCAAGCAATGCAAGTAGGTTTTTTGTATGTGATAGGTCAGCAAACGAAAATACGAATTACCTGATGGTAAGCAATCAGCGCCGCCTTTGGACATCCGCAACAACAGAGGAGTTCCGATTGCGTTGCCGACTTTTGGTTATTAGGGATTTTGAGATTTAGGGATTGGGGGAGGGGAAGGAATGGGCCTCCGGTAACCTCGCTTACACGGTGAAACACAATGCTGTAGTTGTTTCACGCCGGTTTTCTATGAGGCCGTGGTATTACTCCGGTCGAGCCGACCCATTCGTGCCGAAGCATGGCTCTCCCTATTGATAATCTTAAAAAAACAAATTACCTTGAAAAGCCTCTTGGTAATCTTAACAGCATCTTGCAGTCCAAACAGATCGCTCTGCCTTGCATGGGCACCTCCGTACTCCAGCAGGTTAACAACTGCCTTCACGAGGTTTTCAGGCACTCCTCTGGTCTTCAGAGCCTCTATGAGGGAGGGTAATGCGTTGCTCGCGTGTTTCTCATATCGCAGGGCGTATAATGCGACTAGTTTCGCCGCATCATGGTGACGCACCGCTTCATTTGATATTAGGTTCTTAAGGCGCTGTGGGTAAAAAATATGTGTTAATATTTATTATAGGAGTTATAAGGGATATTATTATGGAAACATTAAGTATATTTTGTCCTATTTATCTATACTAATATTATAAAGAGGTAAAGTTTGTATGTCGGGGGTAATCTTTGGAACCGCTGGTCGGATTGCCAAAATTATTTTACTGGTAGATAGCTACAATGTTCCTGAGTGGTATAGGCTATAAAACATCACGCTACGATCAATAGAGCAGCGGGTGAAACCGCGCGAGAGTAGCTAGTGTGAGTATATTAATACATGGTAGCGCTGTCTAATTTAAGTAAAATTTTGTGATTTAAAAGGCAAAGAACTTTTTATGAGATATAAAGCAATCGACAAGCCATAAATCTTATATTATTGTAATTATAACATAATTTTCTGTGTAGTTGCTTGTTAAATCAGCGCCGTCCATGGACACCCGCAACAACAGAATAGTTAAGTGAGTAACATTTAAAAAAAAGTAGGTACATATAAACTGTCTTTTTTATACGTATAAAGTTTGTTCTATTAGTGAGACTTGTAGATTGCTAACTATCAATTTTATCTATTAACATTTCATTTAGTAACTAAATGAAATGTTAGTTTATCTTTCAAAAGTTCTTATTTGCCTAAAGTACGACAAGTTATGTTTAGACAACTCCGTCGTTAGCAATTTAAGCAAGTTTTATAATAAAATCGTTACTAAGTTATACTTTAGGTAATCATTAAATATGTCTATGTACGGCGAGTATCAAATCTATATTTTAGATAGCTCCTTTTTAAAAAAAAAAGTTGCCCCACACTTGGATTTTCTCCTGTGTCGTGGGTGCGTTTACAAACATTCAATTTCACATACATATCACACCCAAACCCGAAACAACAATTTGTGGATCACATAAAGTGTTGCCAGTTGCCCAGCCACCGCACCAACCGTGCAGTCGAAAGCTTTCATTTTAAAACTTTCCTATAGTTTCATTCTTGGTCTTACAAAGATCCTGTGAAGTGTAAAGGTACTTGGTACAAACCTGCAGATGCTTGGAGTGGTCGCTCTGGCAGGAGATCTCCTGCTCCAGCTCGGAGACTTCGAGCAGGTTGTGGCGCGTCACGCACGATGACAGCTCGCCCACTACTGTCACGTGTTTGGTCACTGTACCTGACATTTTCTGGAAAAACAAACAAACAAAATAATAATGTACCTAGCTATATACCGCATACAATATTAATTTTAACTTCCTTTATAACTACATAGAATAAAACAAAGTCGCTTTCTCTGTCACTATATCCCTGTCTATGCTAATTCTTTAAAACTACGCAACGGATTTGGTGATGCGGTTTTTTATTAGATAGAGTGATTGAAGAGGAGGATGTCTCATCTCATCTACTAAATAATGAAGAAATTTAGTATCAGAATTGCATCCCAGCGAAGCCGGGCGGGTAGGAGGTCGGAAGTCTGTCGCATTATAAAATGAATCAAATAAAAAAATTCATGGAAATATTATTATCAATCCCATTTATCAAGCTAACATTTGTTAATGAACATAGTTCTCTTGAAATTCCTCAAATTGCCTCGCAATCGTAACGGTTGGTCGAAAAAAGTTCTATTGGGTTTTGTGAAAATCCTCGCATAAGCACGGAGTCAACAATTTAACAATAAAATTATGTAGGGTGACTAGTACATGTACCTAATTGGACTCAAAATAATTAACAACTTTTCAACCAGAGAAACGTTTTTCTATAGTCATTAGTTATATTTTTATTACTTTCTGTCTCTGGCCCGTTTGCCGAAAAGCTGTTTGTATGATCCACAAATTGTTGTTCCGGGTCTGGGTGTGATGTGTAAGTGAAATTGTATATTTGTAAACGCACCACGTCACAGGAAATAATTTTAGTGTGGGGCAAATTTAAAGGAAAAACCTCTGACTCCCTCTACTCAGCAAAATGCGTCTATTTTCCAACCATTCGTCTATATTCCATTTTGTCTAATTAATACCTAAGTGACTTTGTATGTTACGATTTTTAGATAAGAATAACAAGATAACAATGTGAGTCATTAGATAATGGTCGATGTATTGAAGGCATAACTGATTATCGTTTCTAACTAAAACATCTAGTTATAAACATCATCAACGGCGTATAAGTGCGCACTGTTGAACAAAATACTCTTCTCACATGGAGATGGTTTGACCATTAATCAGTATGCTTGACCTTGCCCCGTAACCCCGGGTGAACATCAGCCCTGTTGGACCCAATCTGTGGTGGTCTATTGGCTCTTCGAGGCGCCCGCGGAAAGCTACACGCCGTACGGTCCGGTCTGGATCTGTTCGGCCGGCGAGCTACCGTTACCTCGCCGAGCCAGACGAGGCTTATAACCTAACAGTAAACTAGCTACTGTCCTGATCATGTTTTTTTTTTTGTGAGAGGAAAATCATCACATGACTTATCCCTCCCGGAGACGCGATGCCTCATTGAGCTTAAACCGCAACCCTGGCTAAACATCAGCCTTATAGGGGCCGTCTGTGGTGGTCTATAGGCTCTTTGAGGCGCGCGGATCGCTACGGGCTCGGATCTGGATCTGTTCGGGCGGCGAGCTACCCTAATCGTTCGCAGACCCGCGCTTATGGTGGCCGAAGATCGTCTATCGCTGATGATGATGATGATGATGACATAACTACAGACTACATCATCAACTGACCTTGAACAAAGGATAGGTTTCCACAAAGTTCTTCATGTCAGCGATGCTCTCAACTTTCTGATGACTCTTGGCTTTCTTCTGAAACTCGTCCATTAGTGATTTCATCGTTTGACCGATTTCACCGAAGTTCGAGTACAGGTTCTGTAACGTTGATAATATTTGGATAAAAAAGAAAAGAAGGCTTTGATAGGTACATAGGTATTGAGATTTTTTTTTCTGTTGTAACAAACGGGATACATACTAAATGTATTGAACAAAACTACTAACTGAAATAAAAGCTCAAAGAAAACTAATTTCAAGTCAGTAATATTAATGGGTCTACCACTTGGTAACTATAAAATATAAAATAGCTTTTTGCGACATTTTTTCTGTTATTCGTATGTTTCTTGTCTTGTATATTCATCATCTATACTAATATTATAAAGAGGTAAAATTTGTAAGTTTGTATGTGGGGGAAATCTTTGTAACCGCTGGTCGGATTGTCAAAATTCTTTCACTGAGCTACAATGTTCCTGAGTGCTATAGGCTATAACATCACGCTGGGATTAAATGGAACCGAGCAGCGGGTAAAATCGCGCGAGAGTAGCTAGTAACATAATAAAACCTTTCTTTCTTCCATTCGTTGTGCTAATAGAATATTTCTAAGCTTTCAAAAATCATCTTCAACAATACCTTCTAGGATATTGTGTATACCTTGGCATAGAACTCGTCCTGTTCCGAGGAGAGTACGACCTCCTTGAAGTCCTTGTGCACGTCGGGAAGGTGTGCCAGACTGACACGGTTGTTGTTGATCGTCAGCAGCTCATGAACCATCGCCTGGTACGTCCACTGGGAACAAGAAAAGTGTGTAAGATGAATGATTTTAAAGAAATTCTTTTTTTTTGTAATTTACAGCTCGATTTTGGATAGTACGATGATAAAGCATAAATTATTATGTTTATTAGAAGTAATGACATTATGTATTTACACAAATAAAGCTGCTAATTAGTTTATGGGCGTCGCGAATTGCTTACCATCAGGTAATCAGTCTGCCAGTCTGCCGTTGCTGTCTCTGCTGACTTTTGAATGCACTATTGGTACAGTTACCAATAGTGCATTCAACAGAGTGCTGTGCAACATGTCGCGGGTTCGATTCCCGCACGGAACAACAATTTGTGTGTTAACCACAGAAATATAAAAACTCTTTTCTTATATTTATGGTATTAACAAATTGTTGTTTCGGGTCTGGTTGGCTTGTGAATGTGTGAATTAGAATTTTCACTTAGAAAATCTTAGTGTGATTACTAATTAATGATAAAAAAGAACAAAATTTGGCATTCCAGTTTTATTCCAAGTTATAACTTCGATAAATTTCCATCTTGAATATAACAATAAAATGTTGTTCAATTGTCTCTAATTCTAAGCTAAAACTCGAGGAAGGCTGGTCTGATTTGGCCCATTTTCTTAAAATATTCATGGAGGTCCAGGGAAGGTTCCAAAGGGTCAGAAAAAATAGAAAAAATAGTTATTTTTAAGGCGGTACGGAGTTTGCATATGCATATATTGTACATATAATTAAATAAAAATTACCTGATTCAACAATGGCGTAACGGGATCATCTCTTCTATCAATAATCAACAGCTGGGGAGTTGGTATCTCTCCGTTGAACGGTATATTGTTATCGATGAGTACTGCCTCCCTACGAAGGAGGTCCCTTACTCTCTCAGCAAGGCGGGCGCAGGGCTCCGAAGCAGCCTCATAGCGGACCACGGCGCGTCTCTTCACTGATAGCAGCAAGGCAAGCAAGCCTTGAGCACAGCGCTGCAAGTGGTGCGGGTTCCAAGAACGACCTGATGATGAAAATATATATTTTTTTTAATACAGTTATTTTTGTCTTTTGACTTCACGGTTGGCGCGGTGGTTGGGCAACTGGCGCTTTCGCTTCGCGCACGGAACAACTCTTTGTGTGATCCACAATTTGTGAATTGTTTGTGTGTAAACGCACCTACGACACAGGAAAAAATCCTAACGTGGGGCAACGTTTTTTTTAAAACAAAACAAAAAATATTTAACTATAGGAGAACGATGCTTCGGCACACTAGTCCGAAGTGATTCAAAAACCGGCGTGAAACATCGATGCATTGCGGCGTTGCGTTATTTCCCCCATTCAATCCCTAACCCTTAAAAAGGAAGGTAACGGAACTTGTGTTTCCCTGGTGTTGCTGACAACCCAAGAGATGCCGATTGATCACCATTAAGACAATCATCTATGAATCGACATATTCCATATAAAAAACTACCTACATATACATAATATGATAGTGAGTTTAGTACTCATACATAAAAGAGAACTCAGGAAGAGATTGATGTTAAGTATTTTTTGGTATGTTATATAATTATTTGTAAAGTCAGATATGTTGACATAATTGGAGAGAAACTGCTCAAATTATCGCCTAAATTACAGACAGAGTACATGATTCAATTTATTTTTTAAACCTTATGTTTACTTACAGTATAGGATTTGCCTTCCATTATTTTCTGTCTGCAGTCAAACACTAACCCCAGGTTTCCGTAAGGCCGATCAATGATAAAATCAATTTAATCTCTTGTCAAGTCATTTCATTGGTTGACTGAATTATCAACAACCAATCAGATGCCTTGACAAGAGATTTAACAGGAGATTAGTTAATTTTAGCGTTGACAAGCCTTTCAGAAACCGGGTGTAAGACTATGACGCTATATTGAAACCTATTTACAGTAATAAATGAAAATTATAATAAATCATTCACCTTGCAAGCATCCAACAATATTGAATGAGAAAAGGTGTCGATCTACAGCAAGGTAGTCAGCAAACACTTCCTGGACCTCTCTCACCGTCTCCTGCTCGTCACACTCCGCCAATGTCTTTATGTCAGCTTTAGATATTACATTGCTGAAATCTAAAAAATAAAAAACAAAACCCATAGTTACATTAAAGTACCTCATTGGTGGAATAGTTTAGCATATAATATACAGTGTCAGTCTAAGAAATTTTAAAGAATTCTGAGAATAAGATGTTTAAAATACGAATTGTGTGATCTTGTACAACTACAGAAAATTAGGTGTGTCTTCTGTCTTAGAAGTAAGAGTAAAAAACTAAAATATTACACTAAAACTTACATATAAAATACACTCCATACTTTGGGTACCTTAGTTCCCGAGACAATAGTGAAATATTTTCAGATGTAGGTCTCACAAAAACAATGCATTTCATATGTTTCATATTGTCCCATTTTGAATGGCTATCAATCCTCTCAAATAGATAAACCTCTTTTTGCAATATTTCAGACTGGCTGAATACCATGCTGACAATGCTTGTCTGAAAAAAACAAAATTTAAAAGAATAATAAACAAAATTGACATTTAAAATTTTATAAAAACTGTAAACTGTCAATGTAAATAAAAATTAAAAAACCACAAAAAAATACAATATTTTGGTGTTTCTGAAAAATTATGATTGAATCTACACTCTAATAGCATGGTACTTCCATAAACTTAAATAATAAATAATTATTATTAAAATTAAAAAAAATGGGATTCGCCTGTGCAAAATTTTGTGTGAGTATATGTTGGTTGTTGTTGTTATTTAAATAATATAGAACTAGGATACAAATGTTTAGTTTTACATGAGAAATAATTACTAGAATTAAGTAGATTTAGTCGTTATTTTTTATTGTATGTAGCTAAGTAGAGTTTAGACCGTAATTGAACGCTTATGTTACTTTTTAACGAAAAAATAACATTTCCCTTTTTAGTAGAAGCGCAATGAGCTTGTCTTTATTAAAATCGATGGGGCGTACAACTCACCGTTTCCTTGTCCATAAGAATCACTTTCATTCCTGGACCACTCTCCTCCGTCATCCTAGTAATGTATAGTTTAACAGCTTGTATCACATTCATTTTGAATTAATAAATTCTCAATTATTTAAATAAACACTAGTTTATTAATTAAAGAAGATTATTGTGGAATTTGTGGAAATATCTGCAATGTTTTCATCATAACGCTAAACTGTCACTTTATTTAGTCAGTGTCAATTTTTGACGTTTGCTGAACTGGCAAAGTCAAAAGATTTGAATGCAAAGACCTTGTACTTAAAACTAGACTGTGCACCAAATTTTTTTGTTTAGCTAAAATGTGCTTTATCCCGTTACGTATAGGGTAGCTATTTTCTTAAAAGCGTTAACAAACTAAAACCGGTCCAGGCGAGAGGGCTCCTCACGGTAGTGTGTCCTTGTCTCACATCTTGCCAGCTCAACTAACCTTAGGGGTTGGTAGAAATGGTAGAAAATTAAATATAATTATGTTTTATGTTTTAACAAAACAAACAATTCATAAACTACAAAACGTATATAAATGTCTTTATAGTCCTTATAATTAATAGTCAATTTGCGGTATTATACGAAAAATCATTAATACAGAGTAAACAGTAGTACGTGAATGTTTGTGTTTGGTAACAATTAATGCAAGATGGCGGTTTGCTGATTTCGGGTTAGGGTAACAATGAATTTTCTCGATCAAAGATTTTCTTACTAATTAATTACAATTATAAATACTTACTTACTTACTTACTTACTTTACTTACAGGTTCTGTAGATTTAAAAAAGTAATTTTTAACAAAAAAAACCGACTTCCAAAATTTATTTTTTGCTTTTTAGTTTAGTTATTTTGGAAGTCGGTTTTTTTGTTAAACAATATTTTATTTTACCATTTTAAGTGATAGGCAGTAAAAGCTAGCATGCTTCTCGAAAGAGAAGACGACGGCTATTTGAGACCGAAAATCACGGTAATAACAGTCCTGAGCTAGTCAGCTTTGAATGCTGTAAATCGTTGAGGAATTCCCTCAAATGTCAATGACTTCCATCATCAGGTATACTGCAGACCTTCATTATACACAATCCATATAGGTGCAAAGTTCTCATCAATATAAATGAATTAAGTCCAATCAGGAGGTAGTTACTGAAAACCGTTCTGGAGTTCCCTGAGTTGTCTTTCATTCTCATCATCAGACCCTTAATGACAGTCATGACCAATCTTGGTGAAAAGTGCTCATCAATACGAATCATCCAAGCCCAAACACAAGGCAACTACTCCAAATAGTCAAGGAGATCCCACGACGGTCTTCCGCCTTCATCATAACGATTTACTGTATAACTTTATTGTAATTCATAAAGGTGCAAAGCTTCCATCGATATAAATAAATTAGGTCCAAACACGATGTAGTTACTGTAAAACGGTCAGGAGTTTCCTGAGCTGTCTTTCGTTTTCATCATCAGACCCTTACTGACAGTCACTACCAATCTTTGTGCAAAGTGCTCATCAATACGAATCATTCAAGCCCAAACACAAGGCAACTACTTCAAATAGTCAAGGAGATCCCACGATTGTCTTCCGGCTCCATCATCAGGTCGAGTTCGAACATCGGCAAGTTGTAGCGTTGTCAAAAGCCTACTAAAACCACATGCAAAAGCACCACTCGTACCTTCAATTTTTGAAAGTTCTCAATTTCTCTGGTCTTCCATCATCAGATCCTGATTTCCTTATCATGGGACCATTCTAAAACTATCTCCTTGCCAACAAAAAAAGAATTATCAAAATCGGTTCATTAATAACGGAGATATCGGCGAACAAACATAAAAAAGCATATATATATGGTCGAATTGAGAACCATCCTCCTTTTTGGAAGTCGAGTAAAAATATACACACGTTTTGGATTGTTGGTTTTTTCTTACAAAACATTAGGTTGGTGAAGTTACGCTAGTTTGGTAGTATCAATATATCATGATACTTAAATAATCGTTTTTACAAACAATTTGTCCCGTATTCTGTTTGGTCATGGTCACTACATTAGAAAGGGACACACTACCATCGGGAGCTGTCTCGCACCGGCTCGGTTTTTGCGCCTTAGTGCACAGTCTAGTTTAGAGTATAAGGTCTTTGTTTGAATGTCAAACACGTATAGTTGTTAAAAAAATGGATTTTTGGAGGGTAGATATAGAAGACGAACTGCAATGATATGAATATACGAAAGGGTCCGCTGAAATAAATAAAATTTTAAAATACAGTCGCAACAGTGTCTATTTTTAAGCAAGCGTGATAATTTATTAGACTAGGATAAAGATTTGCGTCCACTTAGACAACTTGTTGACACTACACATTCTTCTTTCTGCTTAATTATTGTTATTTTAGCTGATAAACTAATCAGCTACAAAATTATTAATTAACATAATTTAAAATAAATAATAATTTCAAAATAATTGTGTACTCTGCTAACTTCAATTTGTCAACACTGCAACATTAATGCCTACAAATACCCTTTGGTATAGCCAGCGCCATTTAACGCACTCTTTCAAATATTGCCACATTCCCTTTGACTATAGAAAAGTATAATTTCTCCATGAATATTCTCCATACACGAGTTTTCCTTGTAGCTACCTACTTACCTACTTAACGACAGTATCAATTGAAATAAGATTTTTAATATAATGTAATAAATGAAATTGGGAAACTGTCAATCAATGAAATATTATTGTTTTGGTAGTGTTGGGACTTTATCCGCATAAATACTCAAAATACTCAGTAAAATATCATTTTGTTTACTCAAGCACTTACCCAGAGCAATTTATCTACGAAATTTTGTTATTGTAGAATTAAAAGTACTGCAACCAATAAAAATAAAAATTTTAAGTCATGCGCCTAAGTTTAACTTTTTATCATCTATCATTCAGACACCATAAATTATTGGGTCTTTTCTGAAAACCAGCAACATAAATTGATTCGTATAGCTAAAACTAGTCATTTGACTTGTTCAAAGTGTAAAGGTGCTGTAAAATATAAAACAAAGGTCGAATTATTAAAGTAATTACAGGATCACTCCCATCGAACTTCGATGTTATCTGGTTGACTGGTTGTGAAATGGTAGGTCAAACATTAGCGCCCTACACCACATAGACACGTTGGCTTTAACACCATCGACAGTAGGACACCAGTTTTGATGCTGGCTTGGAAGAAAGCATGGCTGCTTGTCGTTCTATTTTAGGGACTCTCAGAAATAAGGTGCTTCGGGAAGTTTCTGTGTCATATGGCCAGGGAGTCAAACGTTTGGAACATGCATGCATCTGTTGTGCAGAGAATATGGTGTATCACATCCTAGTGAAAAGCATTGCGTAAAAAAATTCTGTTTGCAAAAAAAAATACCTGAGAAATATTGATAAAAGCTTGTATCGTCAGCCCGTCACTAGTTCTGACTTGATTTTGCTAGTCTATGGAATTTGCCTAAAACAAAAAAGGAGGGCGAGTTAATCGTTGTTTTAATTCAATAAGTTAAATAATATTCATAATTGGATCAAATTAATAATAAATAAAATTTACTTAGGCCGATGACGTGTTTCATGCATGCATAGATAATGAAGTCTGACATGAAGTCCAAATTGACAGTTTGGCCAACTAAAGTTACATCACTAGTTATCTTCGAAAGGTCGGCAGGGTCAGGTAGACACTCGGTATTGTCTTCATAAATTAGTGGCTTTAACTAAAAACAGACGCAAAATGTTCTCCCGTGTTTTGAGACCCGTCGCCACTGTGGCCTTCCAGAATGGAGCCAAGAATTTTTCCACCAGCCCTGAGGTAAAAATGAATGTTCAAAAACTGGTTGAAGAACCGAATGAATTTCTTAGCAATTTTGTATTGACTTGAGTTTTCCTCCAGATGCAATTCAAAGTTATGGTTGCCGGTGCTTCCGGCGGCATTGGTCAGCCTCTATCACTGCTGCTTAAGATGAACCCCTTGGTGAGCAACCTGGCTCTCTACGATATCGCGCCGGTGACCCCTGGCGTCGCTGCCGACCTGTCGCACATGGACTTCCCAGCAAAGGTCCTTGGTTACAAAGGCCCCGAAGAGCTGCCTAACGCAATTGCAGGTGAGTCCAGCTTTAGGCATAAATTATTTGCGTGTTACATAACGTAACCTAAAATGCTCAAGTTCACTGATGTTTTGCGCCAAAATTAGATATTTCAAGGTTATACATGTCGTATGTAATCTGTGTCGTAATATTAAAGTCTAATAAGACTTGACCTTGACATTAAAAAAGTTTTTTGATCTTTTATTTGATTAGAATAATTTAGTTCAGTTTGTCGGAATTTGAACTCTGTGGCAATAGTAACAAAATTAAGTTATAATGAATACCCAATATTCTGTATTCAAAATTGCTGACAGTTGTAAATTTTATACTTCTAGACTCTTATTTAGTAGTACTGTAGTACTATGACAATAAGTAATATATATAAATAGATAAACATAGAATTAATCTACATAAGTTACTTTATGTAAGCCAACAATGCAACACTTGAAATACATAGCTACCCGTAGGAATATGCTAAAGTAATTTCTAACACTATTACTGCTAATTTCAAAACAGATTTAACTATTCATAAATTAATGTATTACATAGGTAGTTTACCTCTTTAACTGCTATGCTAGTACTAAAAAATCAATGTACTGGTATAATTCTTTAACATATCTAGTAGTGGAACAATGGTTGGTGAAACTAATAAAAATGCAAGGCTAAAATGTGTGGTACTTAGCATTTTTATAACTTTAATGCTATTAGATATACTTATAGTTATTTTATCATAGCAAGACATTTAACAGATCCTCAACATCTTGAGAGTGTTTATTTTGTTCTATTTTTAAATAAATTTCTGTGCTGGTATAATATAGCCACCCTAAGTAAATGTTGAAAATATTCTTTCTCTGACAGGATCACATGTGGTGGTTATCCCCGCCGGAGTTCCCCGCAAGCCTGGTATGACCAGAGATGACCTGTTCAATGTGAACGCCTCCATCGTCCGAGACCTGGCTCAGTGCATTGCAGTACACGCTCCCAAAGCCATCATCTGTATCATCACCAACCCTGTCAACTCCATGGTGCCCATTGCCTCCGAAGTTATGAAGAAGGTGAGTCTTTTAGAAATTATTTAATCTTCTTATTTTTCTGTTGCTATCTGAAAATGTTGTAATTTGACATTGAACTTTTATAGTCTGATAACATACTAACTATAGTGGAGTATTTTTCTAGAATCATCTTTAAATGAAACAGTGGCACATTTTTTTTTAATTTTTTTGTGGACTGATCTAGTGTTATTCCTGATCTGTCCATTTTCACTAAGTGGGAGTTTGCTGACAAACAAAAAGTTTTTTAATACTTGCAATCATCAGTTACAAGGAACCTAGCAACCTCGATATTCTCCAATTTTCCCTTTTACTTTCTCAAAATTTCCTTTCATACGACCTTTTTCTAACAGTAACAAACATAACAAAAAATGGCTTGTCAAATTGATTAAGGCATTTTTGAGTTGTGTTTACCAACACATTTTAAACAATGGACAGAATATTATTCTATGAAAATACATTGAAACTACTACGGATCAAAATGTGATTCTGTGAAAAAATATTAATATTATGGAGGATTTATAATATATGTACATGTATATTTGTCATTATAATATATTCTGTGATTCTTTGATACCTGATTGACGAAATTTTGACTTGATACCAAACAGGGATTTTAACTGAATTGTTATGCAGTTGCATTGTATTCCATCATGAATTTCGTCCATCAATATTGAATATCAAGTTGTAAAAAATATATCGGCATCGTTTGGTAGTCGAGAGTCGGTGATAACAGGCAAACACTTACTGATAACCGATAATACTGCCACCATGATTGATAACGGAGACAATGTCAAACCATGATAACTAAAACCATTACACATTAATGTATTGTCTTAAGTTTTTTAAACACGCGATTAATAAATAATCTCGTTGAATATTATCGTTAATTCCTATAAGATTCATTTAATAGTTTTTACGTGAAATAGTTAAAACATACATCTATACTTACAAACTTTCGCTTTTATATTATTAGTAAAAATTGGTTTAAATAACGAGACTAGTGATTATTTTTACAGACTCTTATTTATTAAGAAATGAAAAACAAAAATATTTGTTGGTATAAATTTACTTTCACTCAGCAGGGATTGTAAGGCAATAGGGTACCGTGGCCTCGGCCTGGAGCAGGAGAAGGAACGGGCTGGTTTTTAGTCAGTAAGATTGACTCTCCTTTTCGCCTGGATTTGGACGATTTCGCCCTTCAAAAACGGCACTGAATACACCCTAAAAAAATCAGTTTATTGCTTTAATTCATTGAAGTCGGAAACTAATAAATTACTCTACGTGTGATGATGATGTGAAATAAACAGACTAGCAAACCCGGACTCCGTTTTGCCATATGATGTATTTCAAAAAGTTGGCGCTGTATGTGGAAAAAAGATTCCAGCATTTCGGTTGAAATTATTCCTGAATTTTCAACCAGAGACCTTTTCAACGAATGCAAAACCTCCTTTCCTGCATTCTGAAGTTATAGCGTCAGGAAGGAAACTCTGACTTATTTTTATATAGTAGATCACGCAATTTTTTCGTGATCCAAGTCATTAAAATTGTTGACAATTGCTTGGACAATCGACAAATAATATTGACGTCACACATATTGTTCATAACAATACAGTTTGGCTTCTGTGGATTCTCGTCTACTTATCTCCCACGATAACTGTATGCTATATTAAAATATAGATCTTATTGGAATGGTATGCCGCGTATATTCTTAAATGTCTTTTTAATTAGCTTACGACATCGGCTTCTGTAGCCTTACTCGGATGTAAAACAGCCGACGTGTTATCCGACACTAATCTACCTATCTCTGTTCAATTTTTCATCAAAGTCTATTCAGTAGTTTTAACAAATATCCATCCATTCATTCTTACAAACTTTGCATTTATTATATTAGCAGGATTTGATTGGTGTGCATAAGAGTGCAGTTTGGGAATTTTATCTACTTTTACCTACTACTAGTAAAATTGAAGAACTCCCTACTAATATTATAATTGCGAAAGTAACTTTGTCTGTCTGTCTTTTCTCCACTTCTAAACTACTGAACCGATTTCTGTGAAATTTGGTACAGCATAGTTTGGAACTCGAGAAAGGACATAGGATAGGTTTTTATAGGTACCAAAAATCTGCAGGAAATCACTATTCCACGCGAACGGAGTCGCGGGTTTAATAAAACAATGACCGAATTTGAACCTCCTAAAAATGATAAACGGTTAGAGCTTTTCTCAGTACACTCACTGAGATTTATAAATATTCTTTTCCTGATAGTACTCACTCAAACGTACATACAGAGCCTACAAATAGAGCCATGGGAATGATCATGTAGATTGTATGTGGAGGTTTTGTTTTATCAGTGTAACTCGCGTCTTATCACTATTTAATTGGGTTAATTCCAAACTTTATTTGCGAAGGAATCTAACCTAGAACTCTTTTTGAACTGTTTACTTTTACAAATGTTGATATCAAATTTTCCTCACTCGAACATTGTTTTAAAAAACAACTGTGTATCCCAAAATAATTTAAAACAAAGCTTTTATTTCTAAATACTCTTAATAAATTATTATAGCAGAACATTGTTATTCCACGTGATTATTAAATGATGAAAGTTGAATGGCGCAGCGATTATCAAATGAGCGCGTAAATAGATAGCGATAATTATTGCATAATGGAATAAATGTCAGTCATACGTTTTACGATAAACCTAGCATATTATTAGAGCAAGTGGCGCGCAATTGTAATCAATATTCTTTGTAATAATGAGTCTTATTGGCATCAAATCAATTTAGCATCCAAAGTATAAGTTTTGATAAAAAAATACATTACGTGTCTACTGATTTTAATTTGTCCATCATCCATCAGTATTTAAAAAGGTTAGCTTAGATTAAACTATACAGGAAAAATATGTTTAATAAATTTATGTAGGTGCCTACCTACATTGCAAAGTTTAGTTAGGTACTTGAATATTTTCCTTGAGTAATACAAACAACTTAGTTGTTGTAGGTTGTTTGATAAACCACGATTTCGTCATAATCGTCATCTCTAATTTATTTATAAGTCTATTATAAGTATTTATTTATTTATTTATTTAATGATTTTTGTACACACAGTAAGTTGGACAAGAAAAATAATACAAAAATTATAGTAACGAAAATATAACACATTGTATTCTTTGTAGTAATACGATATGGGTGTATTGACTCTTGTGCATTTGAGTGCACCTAGTTACACGAGACGCGGAGACACAATAGCTAATGACTTCGCAGTATTACATCTACCTACCACACATACATACAAGCCGGCAGCAACACCAGACGTCACTAAGTTAATTAGCTTCGCTGCTGAATGTTTTCATTGTGTCCGTATAAACGGCATATGTTTAGATCACTATTGTAATACTCTACTACTTTTAAATTATCTAAATTTGTTTTAATATTTTACTTTATTTCTCCCGCTACTAGCACCGGAAAACGCAAGTTGTTATCATTATCAGGTCATCTCCGTCGATCCAAACTTCTTCAATAACACCTACTGAACTGAATCTTTAATTTTTCGTGTCTAACTTTGTGTGAATAGTTGCTGCATCAAGTTAGAATTTAGCCTTTCTTGCCTAGACGCCATAAACATTGTTTTTACAACACAATACTAGTGTTTTATAGGGAATGAAACAGCTGTTTGACTTTCTAAATGATGTTTTTGATTTCAGAACGGAGTATACGACCCTAACCGCATTCTCGGTGTCACCACCCTTGACGTTGTCCGCTCATGCACCTTCATTGGTGCCATCAACGGAATTGACCCCCGCTCTGTCTCAATCCCCGTCATTGGAGGTCACTCTGGAGTCACCATCATCCCTCTGCTATCCCAATGCAAGCCTGCCGTCCAGCTTCAGGAGCAAGGCAAGATCGAAGCCCTTACCAAGAGGATCCAGGAAGCTGGTACCGAGGTAAGTTGAACATTAAATTATACGTCATTCTTGAATGCTTGATGAAAGAAAGAAAAATATATGTTTGACACACAGACATACACAGTGCAGAAAACCACATATTGAACAATAATAGAGAAAAAAAACAATAGGTTCAGGTCAGCAAATAATGCCAGACAACTATGTTGCCTGACTCTGGCTTTCAACTGAACCCTAAAACTAAGGGAATGGTTGCAAAATAGTTTATTTGTAAAAAATAATGTATTTGTTTATGTGCAGTAAACAATATCAATCTTTACTGTTATTAATCATTATTTGTTCCTAAGTACATCCTTCTTTGTTGTCATCACAGTTGTTAGACTTATGAATACTGGTGGTGTTAAATTCATATATTATTGATTGGTATTTTTTCCTACAGGTAGTAAAGGCTAAGGCTGGTGGTGGATCCGCCACCCTTTCCATGGCCTGGTCTGGTGCCAAGTTCACTAACTCTGTCCTTAGGGGACTTAAGGTATGTTAAGAAGTATTTTTCAAAATTGTAAAGTATTCAGGAACTTACTGTTTGAATTAAATTACCTACTTAATTTTGCTTCTCTAAACAATAGTGCCCCAACTTAGGATTTCAGTCCGTCTAGTTTGACACCATATCGGATAAATAGTGTCCTGCCTTGTTTGTATTTACGTATAAATTCACAAATTTATTCAGACAGGCATTACAAAGATTGGGCATGAGACATCCCTTGCCAACCCACAAAAGGCTGACAACTTATCTCTCGTCTTACTTACAAGTCCTCTGATAGTGCGGGTCATTTACCGCGCTATCCCATGAAAAATTGATGTAAGATCCATACAATATGTATAAAATGGCTGTTAGACAAATACCCTAATAGACTTTTGTTTTGCTTTAAAACCTGTAGTAATTATTCTTAATCCATTTCTCCCACAGGGTGACGACAATGTGGTCGAGTGCGCCTACATGAAGTCAGATCTCACTGAGGCTAGCTACTTTGCCAACCCAGTACAATTCGGTAAGAACGGCGTTGCTAAGAACCTTGGCTATGGCAAGCTGAACGCATACGAAGAAAAGCTCTTGAATGCAGCCCTCCCTGAACTCAAGAAGAACATTGCCAAAGGAGTCGAATTCGTTTCAAAGTAAACACATTTCACATAGGTAATTCACGGTCGGGCCTTGTTATAAACTGTGGCGATATTACGCGCGCAAAAATTAATTTGGATCGTGTGATCAGTTGTCAAAAATGACAACTGAGTTTGAGCTCTGTGATTGGTTGTTCATTGGCTATTCAACCAATCAGGTTATACAACAGATTAAGGAAAATAATCATGATATTTTTATTCCTTTATTTATTTATTTATTCCCAATTATTAAGCCTTGATTGTTTTGTACTACTCCAGATTAAGTTTTGATCGCGTAATATTGAAACTTTAAATAAATACGTTAATATCACTGTTATTGTAGTAGATTATGAATAACATTCGCATAAGTATTACTGGTTTGTGGAACTGTTCTAAATTGTAAATGTGAATGTTTTAGTATCTGCGAGTAATATGTTCAAGTCGTGTAAAAGTTAGGCTATTTGTAGAAATAGTAAACTTACCGAACAGTATCGATAAAATAAGTCTCGAGGCCCGGCTGTTAGATGTGGTTACAGAATGATTGAAATAGGCACTGGAAAAATCTACACAGATGTAATAAAATCACTTTAAATAGTGCATTTTTGTATTTAATCATGTCGAAACAAGATGCGTATTGCAAGGTGCATAAATGGTATGTCAAAAAGTATTCGTTTAGGAAGTCACCCAAAGATGTCGCAGAATGGAAGTACTGTAAATATTGTGTTGTGTGTGTCGGTAATTAAATTACTGTGGTTATGATATTACTGGGTTTTCTTTGGACATGTAACACCTAAATTGCTAGAAATCAAACTCCCGAATTCATATTAAATTGTATTTATTTAACTTTTAAATAAAAGCCTTGAAATTCATTGTCGTTCTTTTGATGTAGTTTGAATTTTTCGTTTTTGGTAAGCATATATTCTAAAAACTGAGAGCGCACTTGTATCATTTCTCTAAGGAGTATTGAAAATCATACTTCGAATTAGAATGACCATAAAACTTGAATATTTTACCTGCAATAAAAAGCCAAAGGCTTTTCTTAAACCTCGTAGTGCAGTCAGCTACTTCTTTGCATAAAAATCTTTCAGAGTTTCACAACTATGTATTATAGTGTCTTGATAATTATTGCAATTTCGAGTTAGCACATTGACCATTGTCTCATAATCTGCATCTCCTCACACTCGCATCATGGAATACTGGTTCTGATCCTTGGTTCTGAATTTACAAGCCTTCTGACTACGTCAGCAAATATATATCCATCTCACATTCGTGTAGTAGGAGTTGTGGTGAGCTGGAGTACATCATGAAGAAACCTGGACATTATTGAGAAAATCTCCAACTTATCTTGGGCAAACGTGGTGATCAATGTTCAAACAAACACTAACACCCGGTTTCTAAAAAGGCTTGTTAACGCTAAAATTAACTAATCTCCTTCTAAATCTCTTTTCAAGTCATCTGATTGGTTGTTGATAATTTAGTCAACCAATCAGATGAAAAGAGATTAAATTGATTTTAACATTGATCGACCTTTCGGAAACCGGGTGTTCCTATATTGAAACTTTCTCCGACTGAACATAGGCCTTAGCAATTTTTTTTTACTTGCAAGTAAAAAAAAAGTTTGAATACCTGACTTTTTTTTTACTTGCAATAAGCAAGTAAAAAAAAAAGTGCTTAGTGCTTGACTGCGATCCCACCTGATGGTAAGCAGTGATGCAATGGTTGATGGTAAGGCGCACTAGTTTATTAAGAACCTATTCACTCTAGCCTTGAAGACACCTAAATTGTATTCGGACGGAAAGACTGCAGCCGGCAAACTGTTCCAATCCCTCGATGTAGTCGGTATAAATGACGAGGCAAAACGCTTAGTCCGGGCCGCAGGTGTCTCAACAACGTAGGGGTGGATATTCGCCGTACGCCGGGATGCCCGAAGGTGAAATTGGGATGGCGGAATCAAATCGTGTAATTCCTGAGCACACTCTCCAAAATGCATCCTGTAGAAAACCGCAAGGCTGGCTACTCTGCGCCTGTGCTCGAGACTTTGAAGATTGTACCCAACCAAATCTGGATCACCAATCAGCCTTTCCACTGAATCCAAAGCCGCCAGGTGGCATTTTTTTTACTTACAGACTAATGATACAGTTCGTATTAAACTCGGTCTCCATTCACTTCCAATACCGCACTATATTATTATAAATGCGTAAATGTGTGCCGTTTTCAAATATCTCTATGTATATTTCCACCATAAGAAGCACTAGGTAAGCTGAGAACACTGTCACTCCCGTCCAGGTCTTAGATTTAGGGTTACTGTAGGAAAACCTAGGACTTCTTTCCATAGTATGCTGTTATGTACTGCAGATATTTTGGCATACAACCAATTTGGTTGTTTATTTTGGGAAGACCTGACGCTTAACAAGTTGCGCAACGTTGCCTCTGACGTTTCGACGCAACATTAATGCAGCATGCATTATGAATGCATATTAAAATATAGATAGTTAATGATTATCAAAGGATAAGAGTTGTCACCTTTCACTATCACTGCGAGGGCCAAAAAGAACGGATAGGTATGTAATGTCAGAGAAAAGACGCCTCATCGAGTTTTTTCTGGACAAGGAGGCGCTTTCTCTTGCTCCACCTAAAACTGAAATCGACACGAGCCGTATTTGAATGGTAATTTTTTTATGAGAATATAGGTTTACAAACAAGCTGGCGGATTACCTGATGGTAAGCAATCAGCGCCGCCGATGGATTACGAAAGGAGAGGTTACGACGGCGTTGCCGACTTTGTAGGGATTAAGGCTTAGAGAAGGTTCGGAGACGATTGTTATATAGGTACTCTTATTCCTTTAACTCCGTTATCCCAAGAAAATGGTACTTACTTGTATTGATAGAGCGTATGCACGATATAGATAGCTATGTTTTTGGTCGGCAGGACCACTTATTATCACGAGTCCCTCTAAGTAGAGTCTAGGTACTTATACTTACAATAGGTTGCGGGTAAACGCAATGAGGCACCGCGGCCTCGGCCCAGAGCAGGAAAAGGAACGGGGGTTTTTAGTCTGTAAGTCAACCACTGACGTTTGATGATTTTCCCCTCACAAATAGGATTTTTTGTAGCAATTAATACCAATTTTATAACTATATTTTATTAGGACGTAGGTGCGTACCACACATTCTGTGCCAAGTGTGGAAGTGGTAGATAGCATGTGTTGGATGAGAAGAGCTGAACATCGAGCTCAATGGCGAAAAATTCATGTTTTGTAGGTAGGTAAGTATGTAGAAAATAGCCACAGTGTCTAGCCGTAGAAAGCTCAGGGCTACTTTTGTTCTTTCTCCGTGGGTTCCGTGGGTTTAGCAGTTAGCAGGTAAAAGTATCTTAAAAAAAGTATTTTTATATTTCTTTAAAAAACCTATTAAAGATACAGATTTGACTGCAAGGTTGGCGCAGTAGCTGGACAATCGGCTGCTGTGCAACTTGTCGCGGGTTCGATTCCCGCACGAAAAAAACACTGTGTGATCCACAAATTATTGTTCGGGTCTGGACAGCTTGAGTATGTGAATTTGTAAAAGCACCAACAAATCAGGAAGAATCATATTGCGAGGCAACGTTGTTTAAATAAAACAAATGTTGCATATTAATTAATAAGGTACCTAAGTACCAATTAGGTAAAACAAACAATTTGAATAATTTATAGATATCTGCCATGCGTTATTTTTCCTTGATTAATTTTTAATTCAACAATTGCTATGTGTAATTCTTTAATATTATATGTCTTCCACAGAGCGTAGGGGCTGTGTAATTATAAGAAAGTGTTTAATTACAGCGGCAGGGGTTTAATGATATACACAAATAAAAACATCAAATATTACAATGCTGAAAGTGACACAATAATAATACGCGCGGATAACTAAAATATTTTAAGAATAGGCGCACGTTGATGATGCATTTTCTTTTTTATAGCGATTTCTTTTGTATCTAAGTAATAAGCACTTTGTATCTACTCGCATTTTTTCCATTTTTAGATAATAGGTAGGTTTATAATGACACGTAATACCTACTTAGTGTGGAGTCTAGATTTGGACATGAGCGATAGTATATTTCAATAGGATCGCTCGCTTTTACATGGAAAGATAGCTGAGATAACTACATTTTATTAGTACCTATTTGTGCAGCTTCAAGACTCAAGTATCATAATATTGTCAGTCGTCGATCTTTTAGACTTAGACTCTGGACAGACGGAGCCCTACAGGGATTCAAAATTATGTTCAGCCGATGTTGCGGGGCTAGCGGGGCTATACTGGTTGCAAACTGACACTTGCGTGCCTGTCTTCAGAACGGGTCCACTTAAACTGGTGTGGTTCTTTCATCAAAAGACCACTACAGAATGAACTTGCACGGTTCTCTCACATTATGTTATTTTTACATTGTCTGGACTTGAAAAGAGACTGACCTCTGAGTTTGTTTCGGCATTTCTTCTCAGAGTAGTCAGATATGCTGGCTTCATCTAGTTTTTCACATATAAATTGACGTGTAAAAGTGTCGTTTTATGGCCTATTTGCATAAATAAATTCATTGTTTCATTGTTTCATAGCGCAGTAAGGAACCGTGGTCTCGACCAAGAGCAGGTGAAAGAACGGGGTGGCTTTTAGTCAGTAAGAGTCTGGCACTCCCATTCGCCTTACCCTGAGTAAGAGTAGGTAGTTATTTGAATACTTCCCTTTTACCTACAAAAAATACCTACCCATTTAGGTACCTGTTAGGATCTTGTTGCTTATACCGCAATCACGAGAGTGTGCGCCGATTCTAATGCAAATTAATAAGACTACAATTACAAAGAAAAGGTTTGTGTTTTTTCACACAGTCTTATGTAATTAAGAAAATGATACACGATACATTGTGTAATTATAGTTTAATATTGTCACGATACAACAAAAAGAAATCTGAATTCGTTGCAGAATGACGTCTCTGTTAAGAAATTTTTTCTTGAAGAAAAAATCAAAACAAAAGCTTGATGAACGAGTAAGATATACCTTCATACATATCAATATTATCTTTTCAAAGCTTTTCATAAGGAAAGTTTATGAATATTATTCGAAATAGAGAAATTATAGGAAATAGAGAAATTATTCGAGATTTTATTTTTGTATTTTTTCGACTTCCTGTCACTTTAAAAACTCCATAAACTTTTTCGAAATTGTACTTAGATAATTAGGTAAGTTTTTAGACCACACTACATAAACAGTACAGGAACCGTTTTCTGTACCTACTTACTAAGATTTTTTACTTGAAATAAAGTCCCGTTTAATGCTCTTCAAAATGTGTAGAGGACAAGGTACATAGGTAATTAGCCTACCTAGTTCAACTAAGCAGCAACGTAGGACATTAGGTACTCACATCTACTTTATACCGACTTCGTATTCTTCGTAATGTAAATAATTTCTAAACAACTGCCTAGATATACAATAAGAGCGATTACGACGCGTCGTACGCCCCGACGAAGAAAGTCCTGGGATGGGTGGCCATCCGAATGACACACAACATTTCTGAGAAAACCACGTAAGTACTAGTTAAAACAGTAAAGTATGCTCGTGACCACCCACAAGTTGAAAGAACTGCACAGAGCTGCTACAGAGACCAGGCAGCAGCTATATCTAATTAATCCAAACCTTTTAAACCTTGATGCCCCAATCCCCAATGTCAGGTGTGACTTTTTGTGATCCACAAATTGTTGTTTCGACTCTAGGTGGAAACTGGTGAAATTCAGAGCGAGCGCAGTCCAGCTGAGGACTGTGTCAAAGTCAAAGAATTTATTTGCTCTTGAATACAGTTACATAAAAGGTGTTACAATATATCAACAAGTTCAGTATTCAGTAATAAGCTAATGACATGCAAATGTTTGATAACAAGTTTTGATATCTTATTCATTAATACATTATTTTGGAAACTTATATTGCAAAAAATCTTTTATAGAGTAGAAAGGATTCTCAATTATCCATCAACGTAGGTAATGCCCTGTTGAATCGAGTAATTAACAACTCTCGAACATGGATGTGTAACATGCTATTAACATTTCTTCATTGTAGCTCTTGCTAAATTTTAGCATAACAGAATAAATCATGAATCTTGTTTTTTATTTTATAGTACCTAGGTTTTATTTATCTAGATTTACCAACATTTGTTTACACCAGTACAATATTTTAATTACATGAAAGTTCTTAAAGTAGGTGTGTATCGAATACTTATAAGTAGGTAAATACAGCATTATCAACTATACCTTACTGTTATATAGTTAGATCTATCAGTAGTTACGTAAACCTTTGTTTTTGATGGGGGATAATCATCAAATGACTGCCGGTACGGTGAGAGGGAGGATCAGACTCATACTGACCAAAAACCCCAGTACCTACTTTTAATAGCATAGATAGGCCGACAAACGAGCAGACGGATTACCTGATGGTAAGTAATGGGCGCCGCCCATGGCCGCTCGCAACACCAAAAGAATTTTATTAGGGGTTTAAGTGCAAGGGATTTGCAGAGCCATTTGGAGAGCAGGAGAAGGAACGGGGGAGATTTTAGTCAGTAAGAGTCTGTGGACTAACACTCTCTCTCGTCTTCCCCGGGCGGGAGAGGTCATTGAATGATTTTCGCCTGACAAAAAAAATTTGGTATATATACATATACATATATATATTTGCGGTTTGAGTACGTGTAACATATAACTTTGTCAGGAACTTTAAAAATGACATATTTTTACACACTACCAGCATGTTATGGGACATGTTCTACTGGTTCGAGATGATGAACTTGTTCCTGGTGGGTCCCTCGGAGCTAGTCAGTATGTTGACCACTGCTTACGAGGCTCAGACGTTCCGTGACTCCATCAAGGTGTTCAGAACCATGCCCTGCTTCGGGTGCGTTGTATTGTGTAAGTAATTATTTATTTTTTGAAATATTCATTCCAAGCAAAGAATTTTTTTCTAGTTATCTTAAGTTTTTATGTAGTAGGTCGGCAAACGAGCAGACGGCTTACCGCATGGTAAGCAATCGGCGGCGGCCATGGACACCCGCAAAAGAGGATTTACGACCTTTTGGGGATTAGGGATTTGGAAATTCAGGGATTAGGGGAGGGGAAGGATTGGGCCTCCGGTAACCTCACTCACGAAATACAATGTTGTGGTTATTTTTCACGCCGCTTTTCTGTGAGACCGTGGTTATCACTCCGAGCGAGCCGTTTTGTGCTTCTTGACGTAATTTTATCCTTTATCAAAGCTATTATTTCCCAGCTATGTTCAAGTCCATCAAAATGGTAGTCCACCGACCTGTGTACGAGAACCTGGCTAACGAACTCCGCGACATGTGGCCGGAGGGAGAGGTCTCAGAAGAAGAGCACCACATAATCAGCGCCGCGCTCAAGCAGCTCAACTTTATTGTTAAAGGTAGGAAGGGAAACAAAAAAGTTGGGAATTTAAAAGACAGAGAATTTAACTTTGTGCGGATTCAAATACGGACACAGAGTTGAAGCTAATTGATGAGAAAATCTGTACGGTGGAGAAAAAATTTAATTCCTTATATCTAGACTAGGTATTTGTTATAAAGATAAAAGATTTGATTATTTATTTGTTTGTATTTTCAAAAAAGGAGTACGCACTTTTCTTGAAGTTTTGAGGGTCGTATCGGTTCGTAAATATTGTCGCCGAAAGATCATTCCAAAGTTTAGTGGTGCAAGTCTGAAAGTCTCGCGAAAAACTCACAGTTGATGATTGCCAACCGTCTATGGGATTGAAAATGTTTTCACGTGGGACAGTGGCGAAAATATGCGAATTGCGTAAAGTGTATAAAATAGGTACATATTTCCTTTTATGCTAAATAAAAAAAAAAACAAAAAAAAAATGAAACCGAACAATTCCTCGAAGCATTCTTTATAGTTTATATAGACCACATAGCGAGGCCACATAGGGCACATCCCTTCGCAGTGACAAAGAGTCAAACCGGACCGAGACATCTGGGCAGTCAACGATTTGAACAGCCCGTCGATGAATGCGGTCCAGAGGGAGAATCTGGTACTAGGGAGCGCCGCTCAGAGATGAGCAGATATTCCATATGGGGACGAACCGGTGTGAACCGGTGTAGGCTGCTTATCATCAACATTCAACCACGCGGGCTTAGCCGCGGGCGGAAGCTAGTATATAGGGAATCAGGATATTAGATAAGTGTATACTCGGAATATCATTAATCCGTAGGCTACTACTGGTGCAACAACGCGCTTCTGATCAGCTTCCTTTCACCTCCATACTTCATTACCCTGGCGCGCTACTTCGGCTACGATTCCCCCATGGGGCTGCACTTCTTGTACTGGTTGCCCTTCGACCCCTACCAGCCTGTCTACTATGAGATCACGCTTGTATTACAAACCTGGCATGGTGAGTTGTTAACCAGATAATTTTTCATTGCAAGAGATAAAAATGTTAGGTAACATACGTCTTCTGAGAAAGCGATTAAATACTAAAATAGTAAAGGCATTTTGTCATTTAAAGGGCAGGCGTTTGGCTCCTATCACACCTGGTAGTAAGCGTTGATGCGACCTAGGATAGAGCACGTCTACCCATAAGCATCCTACTTATTCATTCCATTCCTTCCATTCAGAAGATACCCCGGTTTTAAATACCCTAAGGCGAATAAGACTGGCAAAGAATGCGATTCCTTCGCGGATAATAAAACTGGAGGCGAATCCTTTCGTGATTGTGGCTGGGATACCCTCCATAAAGTGATGACATTTCACCGATTGTCTTTTCTTAATTACTAAGATGGAAGACTGCTTTGAGTCCAACTAGATTAAGTATTTCAGCCGGGGTTGCAGGTGCAATAACGTACCGCGGCTCCGGCCCGGAACAGCAGAAGGAATGGGCTAATTTTTTGTCAGTAAGAGTCTGACACTTCCTTTTGCCCCACCCAGATCGGAAAAGGGAGTGGAAGACTATCTGCGCTTAAAAAAACAGATCTAATAGCTGTATAACAATAGCTATCTACGCTTTACAAATCCTGGCGAGATCTCTAGTTCTTTCTGGACTTTTGGCTAACTGTAACGACATTAATAACCTTGCCTTTGCGTGCATGTCTGTCTGTAATCTATGGGTCTTAGTAAGTTTCCAGACAATATCGAAAATATAGCCCCTCTTTAATCACCTGGGCGTCTTAGCCTCCATGGTTATATTTATCATTTTTGCGTAATCACCAGCGCTGGTGGTGATCTGGTTCAACGTGGCGTGGGACATGTTGTTCTGTTTGTTCCTCTGCCACATCACTACGCAGTTCGATCTATTAGCGAGGAGGGTGCGGAGACTGTTCTACGTGCAAGTTGACAACCAGCTCATCAGTTCATATCCCATGGGTAAGAAGATTAAATTACTCTGAAGATGGGCAGTATTTGCGCCCAGTATTTATCAACTATTTTGACCTGCCATAAAGCGTGTTCTCCTGGCTACTTTTCTTCTCCTCAAATAATATCTTCTGGTTGATTTCGTTGCGGGATCCAAGATTCATGTCCCTGGGAAGGGCCGACTTCAATGATTCGGTGTTTTCATGGTTGTATCTACAGCTGATACTGGATCACAGGAGTTGCAGCGGTTTTTGGAGGTTGTGTCGGGCTTGACCCGATAAAATTGGACTCCAGCCTCCAGGACTTCTATTTTATTCAGTTTAAAATGTCCCATTAGATTTTTTCTTGTACTGTTATTATTACTTACTTATTATTAGGAATTTACGTAAGTATTTCGTTTATATTGGGTTTCTGCCAAAAATATAGAATATCAGAAGGATTTTCGACATTAAAAGTTTAGGAACCGCTGCTGCTGCTGTGGAATTTGACTGCTTCTTGCGTTTGTCATGATCATATCAGCTACAAAACGAGACGACTGTTACAAACAACATATCATAATAAGATATTTATTCAAATTATTTTAATTTAGACTTGGTGAAAAAGACTTTACATACCTATCCTTAAAGTCTTAACAATATCCCAAAGATAGAATTTTGTACGTCATGTAGGTACAAAATCCTATTGTTAATCTTAAATAATTGCTTGTTTAGCGTCTGTAAGCAGAGAGTTCATCCGGTCTGAGGGGGAGCGAGTGAACTCGTATAGCAACCAGTACTGGGAGGCCAGGTACCAGAAGGAGATTACTGAAATAGTTTTACGACATCATTCCTTGATCAGGTAGGCAGTTCCTGGCAGTCCTGGTACTCATAATGTAGATTGATTTCATTACAATAATATGTGTTTTATGGAACTGTTCGGTAAACGAAAAGACAATTCACCTTTTTTTATGTCATACGTCGGCAAACGAGTAGACGGATTACCTGATGGTAAGCAATCAGCGCCGCCCATGGAGACCCGCAACGGAGGACTTACGAGTGCGTTGCCGCCCTTTTAGGGATTAGGGATTTGGAGATTTAGGGATTGTGTTGTGTTTTCTGTGAGGCCGTGGTATCACTCCGGTCGAGCCGACCCATTCGTGCCGAAGCATGGCTCTCCCACACTTGGCTCTCTCACCTGAAGGTAAGCAATCTGTGCCGCACATGAACAGCCCCAACACAAGTGCGTGCGTTGTCGGCCTTTGGGGATTTAGTGATCGGGGATTGAAGGACACAGGGCCACTAATAACCTTACTCACACAGTTATACGTTTCACCCTGGTTTTCCATGAGGCCCTGGTATCACTGCAGTTAAACTGATCCATTCGTGTGTGAATCCTATCAAATGCCAGTTGCCAGCGTGGGATAAGGTTTTGATTTAAAACTTCATGATGAAATAGGAAGTGAAAAAACGGGAATGAATAGAATTCGAGGTGTGAATAGACGCAGAAGAGGGGTTAATATTACACAGTAGAAAAATTCGCCACATCTATTCCCCCTTTTAACCCCCGACGCAAAAAGAGGGGTGTTATAAGTTTGACGTGTCTGTCTGTCTGTGGTATCATATAGCTCCTGAACAGATGAAACGATTTCAATTAAGTTTTTTTTTGTATTATATACTTTTTAAAGGTAGCTCATGTTTTTTGTGTCGGGGGATTTTTTTTTAATTTTTAATTTATTTCTTTTATATCTATTCAGCATGTTTTACAGTAGGTTCCTACCTACCTATTCTGCTATCAGCTCAATATCCTCATGGTTACACAGGTTGACGGGCGATGTGGAGAACATGTTCAGCCTGGCGCTGCTTATCAATTTCATGAACAGCTCCATCATCATATGTTTCTGTGGGTTCTGTTGCGTTGTAAGTACCTACCTTAAACCATGCATAAATATTATCGGAAACGTTGTATTCGGTTCACATCACATCTTATCATCAGCCTTTAAGTGTCCTGTTCTCATACGAAGTAGGTGTAAGCATTATGTAATCACCATGCTTGCTCAAGACCGATTGGCGATTTCAAATTTATAATTAGAAATTATTATAAGTTCAGGTTACCTCACGATGTTTTCCTTCACCGTATATCAGTGGCGTCCAAATAATCATAGAAAGTACATATAACTCGGCAAAAGTGGGCTCATGCATGAAATGCCTTATCCTCCGGGCCACCACGACAAATTTGTATTACGAAAAACATAATCATATACACAAAAAATAAATAAGAATAATAGGTACCTAATAAACGAATTTCATCAGAGTATTAAGGTTATGACTATGGTGTCTAAATAATCTTAGCATAGAAAGTACGTATAACTCTGAAAAAGTCACATTGGTACTTGCCAGATTTCGAACCCTCATAGATACATGGGATGTGAGCGCCTAACCTCCGGGCTACCAGAACACGGTATTCGATTGATGAACTCAAATATGGTTAGAAATGAAAAGACCAATAACGATACCTGCAGGTTGATTGCATGAGGAATGCTGTGAAAAAAGCAGTTTGCTGAGGGCGCTCGTACTTGCACCGCACAATGTATTACTGATTTATTTTTAACATTTTTTTCTTTAAAAATCTTTGAATATTGTTGTTATAGTTAATTGAGAAATGGAACGAGGTGGCGTACAAGTCGTTCCTCGTGACAGCACTATCACAGACCTGGCTGCTCTGCTGGTACGGACAGAAGCTTATCGACTCTGTAAGTCATATTTATCTAGTCATCCATTTTGCGAATACTTTACTAGCATTGTAAAGTGTTTAACATATTAATATATAACACGTTTGAGGCACGTAATTGGAGTTTTATAGATTCTGTGCCCTATTGATTTATTTAATACGTATTTATAATCTACCTAGAAGTGCCCATTGCTAAGCAAAGGCTTCTTCTTCTCACACAGAAAATTTTATTGGTTACTTGGTTCTGTAGAGATTAGCTGACAGGAGTTGTAGTGGGTAGAATGTGATCCGTGTATGTTATATCTATAAAATAAAAAGATTGTTTCTTAGAGTCAGAGACTTGCGGATGCTCTATACGGCTGCGGATGGTACAACTCCTCAAAGAGGGCGAGGAGTGCTGTACTGATCATGTTACACAGGTGAATACCAGAAAGTAGACATACTGATGGTACTCACTTTAAGTACCTATTTAGTATTACATGCACGTTCTTCTGGTAGATCAGGTTGTTGTGGTTCACATTTACGTAATTCATTATTTATGAACATTTAGAACATACCTGTCACTCATATCTACCAAATCCTAGTAATTACTAATATTATAATGTGAAAGGTTATGAGAACGTATGGATCTAGGTATGTTTGTTTTTCCTTCTCGTAAAAACGGCTGGAACGTGCAGTTGATAGGTGATGCCCTAGAGTAACACAGGCTGCTTTTTATCAACTTATCACACGGGAGAAGCCGCGGGCGGAAGCTAGTATTGAATTTAAAAAAAACCCTTTCTAACTGAGGATCTCTTATATGTAATACTTTTTTACAAACTTTCAGGGCCCAAAAGGGTATTTACGTGACGACACACGGATTTTCAGTGATATCTCTAGCTAGTTACAGCACGGTAATTTATTTTAGTTTTTTATTAATTACACCTAGATTTCAACAATATCTTCTGATGCCTAACAATTGTCTTTTTCGTTATTTTCCAGATTATAAAAACAGCATGGTCGTATTTCACTTTGCTTCTAAATTTCTTCAAAGAAAAAAGTGTTTATTAGGTTTAGTAGCGATCAGCTCATTACTGGTCTGCGAATAAAACTAGAAGTTACGCTTATTTATTTAATGTATATAGAATTCAAATCATGGACGCTGCGATCGGAGTGATACCAGCCTCACGGAGTACCACCGTCAAATAATCACAGCGTTGCGTTTCGTAGTAAGGTTTCAGGACACCAAACCTTTCTTCTTCCCAAATCCCTAAATCTCTAAACCTAAACCCCAAAAGGGTGAAAATAACCCCCTAATTTATGCAATAGTCTCTCGAAAACGAAAGGTCCTTATGACCTGTTTGATATAGCTGTGGCTGTGGATATAGCTTTTAAAAATAATCCCGACAGCGCACATTATTTACTTATATATATGTGTATAGTTAAACAAACAAGTTTGCCTTCTATAAAAAAGGAACCAACACATATGTAAGTGCTGGAAATAACAAGCGCTCTCTGTAAACATTTAGATATTTAGAAAAGAATGTAGATGCAGGTAATAAAATATAGAGAAACGTAAAAAAATCTTTTATTTTTGTATATGTATGTATAAAATCATTTTATGTAAAGTTTAGTAGGTAACAGGTACATGAATAGTACAGCGAGTCTCAGGCCACTCGTCAGCGGATATGGTAATCGATGCACTTTTACTATTTTAGATTATTATTGTTATTATAAAGCGGGAGGTCGACGAGTCGGCCGACAGGTCTCGTCAGATAGTCACATTGCCGCGTCGGACGATGTAAATAAAACTCAGGCGTTAGATTTGCATCTTATTTTATTGATTTGTCCTCCCAAAAGTTGTTTTTTCGCTTATGTTCGGACTTACAGGATTATTTTTTTTCTTGGGCTACTTACAGTACATTACAACGTTTTATAAAGAAATCACAATGTGTTCTCGAGCGCCCCCGCCGCCGCGCCACCCATACACTCGCTCAAAGTAAATTTAATCAGTCGTTTTTTACACATAACTCGAAAACATTTACAAAAACACCGCGCGCTGCTCAGTACCCGCCTACATTAATACTATAGTCAAGTCGGGAGGGTAGTCTTTATACAACAGGGAGGTAGTCATAAAACTGACGTGACAGGCTGGCTCCGGCGGTGCGGAGGTGGCGGGGCAGAGCCCCTCAGGGGGCAGAGCCCCACGGGGCGCGGCCCCCGCACTGGGCGCGGCTCGTGGAGCGGCGGCGGCGGCGCTCTCCTCTCCCGCTATATTTATACCGGCCTCGGGGGCCCTCCTAACTAAAAAACCAAATCAAATCTCTAATTCAACTCTTAGCTAACCTGTATAATTACAAATGCATATACATAATAACCATACACTTTTACATATGTATATAATTTATATAACTTAGGCTACTCGTAACGTTACGCTATACAGTAAGGTGTACAGTTCCCGAGTCGAGTCTGGTTTCGATTTCAATCAGCTCGGAGACCGTTCCGGACTTCGCTGTGGCGGGCCGATATACACAAACTTTACATGGAACGAACGAGATAATGGTATTTACAATACGAGAGTAACAAATGATCAATTCAACTACGCGTACACTAACCTAGTGGATGAGGCGACAGCGAAATCCGAAGCGAAGCAATACAAAAGGTGTAGTGGTCGTGAGAGTCGCTCGCGCGCTACTAATGTACAGGAGCTGGACGAGTCTGGCGCCTACTGTCGGGCGGAGATGGAAGACTGGATTTACCTTCTCGCTACTTGCGCACTCTACTCTTGCTCGACCAAATACAGAAACATCTTCGTAACTAAATAAATAACAATTCATAATCGTATTCTCACTAATCGACAGCATATAATGTTCATAAGCGTATCGAGGGCCACGTGCGTGGCGCGGACGTGGCGCGGACGTGGCGCGGACGTGCCGCCGACGTGATCGTCAAACAAATCGCTTACTACCGGACATTTAAAGCTCTCCCACAACACATGAACGGTATTTAATCCCTGCATTACAAAACAAGATATAAATATACAATTTAGTACGTTCGTGTATACATCACACGATTACATCGGGGTCTGCACTCGAGACCGAGACCACACGAAATGCACCCGGTACGTCAGGTTGTGTACAATGTCTTCTGTCAGAATACTACATACACGTCACTATAACAATCAGTTTGTAGAAAAACTTCGTACGTATTTACATGAGTTTACAATGAACGATAAACATGGAAAGTAGCGCCGGGTACGACTGGCCGTGTACCCAGGCGTCGGTCCTGGCTCGGGTGAGGCCGCCCCGCGCCCCCTACGCCCCGCAGTGCCCCCCTCTGTCAGGGCGAGTGGATGCGCGTGATGACGGAGCAGCGCCGCTGCTAGGCGGAGGCAGTGGGGGCGCGGGGGCGCGGGGGCGCGGGCGGCGGGAGGCGCGGGGCGCGCGGGGCGGCGGGCGGGGGGCGTCAGTCCTCGTCCGAGAGCGGCTCGTACTGCGCGGACATGAGCGGCGCGGGCTCCGGCGGCGGCGGCGCCGCGGGCGGCGGGGCCGACGTACTCGGCGCCGTACTGTTCGGGGCCGCTGTAAGAGATAATATCATATTAGTATACAAGAAATAGTGGTAATTTATATTAGTCACAAAATTCAGAGCCAGTCTATACTCGATTCGAAACTAACGGACGATTCACAATGAGAAATCTTAGACCAATAAGGTATCATTATTATCGTTATCATTTTCTAGATCAGAGTTTTTAATACAATTAATTATTAAAAAATAATCATACATCGACTTGACGATATACTTCACGACGTGACGTCATATGTTAGGATCTCAAACAAAAATTAAAGTATCTTTTTTCGCATTTGGATAAAAGTATTGAATTTGAAAAGTTGGAAACTACCTACCTACTAAATGTTACAAAGTTAATCAAAGAAAATTAATTTGACAATCGAATTTATGAGAAAAATCTGTGAAATAAAAGCTAAACAAACTCACCATCCCCGGCAGCCTGTACATTGAGCGCTGAATAAGGATACGCGTATGCAGTGGTAGGGAATGCGAGTGGCTTGGCTCGCTCGTCGGCGTCGGACCGCATCACCTCCACTATACGGTTCGTAACGTAATCAAACGCCGTCAGTACGCCGCCCCCCGCCCCACTACCCCCCACCCCGCTGCCCACCCCCACGCCGACCCCCACCGAGGATGAGCCCACGCAACTGTAACGTCGGTTACTGTTGTTTCTGGAACAAACAAACACGGCTGTTTAATACAAGTTAAAAAAAAAACAATATCATCACACAAAATGTTTATAGATTACTACCGACCCGCCCTGGCTTCGCACAGGCACATTTTCGATAAAAAAAATCTACATTATTTAATGTTGTAATCTTTAAAAAAACCGCGACAAAATCCATTGAGTATTTCTGAAGATTTCAGCATACATTTAGAGACAGAGAAAGCGTCTTTTTTATACTATGTCGATGTATAAATCCTACAATGAAATGTAGAGTTGTACTTTCAAATAAAAACTACTGAATGGACCTTGATGAAAATTTGCTAGCTACCTGAGGCCCTTATCGTTTGGTAACGCGAGCAAAGCTGCTGGCTTATGTAGCATTGATAGGACCAAATATCATTTGAAATAATCATTACAAATAAAATAAACTGTAGGTATTGTTGACAGGGAAATAATATTAAACGGATTTTTATCATCCATATTCGATTTCTAGAACCACGGGCTAAACAGATTTTTCATGAATTCGGATCTGCGATTTAGGCGTTAAAATGCAAGTAGATCAAAAAAGAATGTGTATGTACCTGTTAGCGGGATGGTTGTCAGGCGGGCTGACCGGCTCCAGGTAGGGCGCGTGCTTGGGCGCGTCGCGGCGCTTCCACTCCTCCGCCGAGCCAGCCACGTAGCCCTCCGAGTTGCCCACTGTGAATCTGTTACTGGAAATAGAAAATGCAAGAATTTTAAATACTATGTATCTTTTGAAGACGAGGAAAGGAAGAAAAACCTAGTTCCTAAAGAAACTGACACGAAATCATGAACATCTAGTTCTGATTTCTCTCCTCCAAATATGTCTTTGTTTCGTTTGCTTTTACAGGTATAGGTAATGAAACTGACGAAATTGGTTGTCCCTGTATCGAATCCTCAAATATTCCCAAAAGGCTTTTTCTGAGGGGAGAAAAATCATCAAATTACTTCTTTCGCCCAGAGTTAGGCGAGAAAGTTTGTCAGACTCTTACTGTCTAAAAAACCACTCCGTTTCTCCTGCTGCACCAGACCTAGGCCGCCGTACCTCATTGTGCTTGCCCCGCAAACCCCCCAAGAGTATTGAGTACTGGTACTACTTGCATTATTTTTATTTAAAAAAGTGTTGGTACATACTTGTGGTGCATGACGGAGGTGGTGGGGCTGCAGAAGTCCCGGGTGATGATGTTGGAGGCCAGGTCGCCCAGCTTGATGGACGTCGTGTGTCCCGCCGGCTCCTCGCTAGTTGGGCCTGCGCCCCCCGCCGGGCCTACGCCCACGCCGGCCCCTACGCCTACACCTACGCCCACTCCACGCTCCACGCGTTCCTGTTGCTGGAATTGTCAAATACAACATGTTATTTCTAAGAACAATAATTAAAAAAAAAAAATTCTTCCATATTAGGATTTTCGTCGGCGCGGTGAGTAGGTACGTACGGTTGCTATATAAATTGTATGCAAAATCTATAGCCACAAACGCAGCTGCGAATATTTTTTGATATAGTATTTAATAAAAATAAACTATTTCTTTATTTCAAAAAATGAATAATTAATCATGTATTATAAAAGTCTTCATATAATTTTGTCATAATGCATATGTGTTATATCCAATTTAACAATATAAAATTTAAAATTAGGTACTGAACTCACCGGGAACCTCTGATCGGAGCTCTGGCTGATCTGATGCGTGATGATGGCGTCTATGAGCGAGGCTGCGGTGAGGGTTCCCTCAGCGGGGCGCGCGCGACCGTCCCCCGCCGCCCCCGCAGCGCCCGCCGCGCCCGCCCCCGCCGGCCCTACTGTCACTGTCGATACCACTGTGCGACTGGAAAACAAAAAAATAATCTTTAGTAAATGTAAAAACATTAAGAAAACTGAAACAATTCGTAGTATCAAAAGAGGTGGTAACGTAATCAACTTATTATATTTTTACACAGATTAAAAACTTGCTTGTTTTAAGCGAATATTTCATCATATTTTTGTTTACTGTTCAAGACAACCTGAAAGTTGTTTTATGCCGTGTGATGAAGCACAGTACTGCATTCCCGATACCCGACTCTCTGACCTCTAAACCACTAGAAATTGCTTTAGTGGTATGGTTGACCATAGGAGGCGCTGGTTTCCTACTATCAGGTGATACGTACGGTCGTTGACTGCCCCGTACCACGACTCTAATTTAGTTTTCTTTTTAACAACCCCCGACGCAAAAACGACGTTGTGTTTGACGTATCTGTATGCGTCTGCGATAGGTTCTTATTTAACCTGTCTGCCTGTAGCATCGTAGCTCACAAACGGATGATCCGATTTTAATGCGGTTTTTTTGTTGTTTCAAAGGTATATCAGTCAAGATTGTTCCTAATTATATTTGGTGGAAATCGGTTCAGGCCTTCAATGTCATCAGGTCGTTTGTTAGTTTGTTACTTTTTATAGGGTATAGCATTTTTTCCCATAATAATTGCGTTACTTTTTTTTTGTTGTGATTTTTTTTATATTAGTATAATTAACTGTGTAAATAATACTTACGCATCCTTCCTGTCGATATGATGCGGTGTTTGCGCCCTGGGTTTGCCTGGCGTGCTATAAGTCACTGACTGGATCATGCGTCGCTCTCCATCCTGCGAGGATACGCTCTGAAACAATACATAATGATACCATCAGTACAACATTTAAACTGAGCCGGGATCTAAAGAAAGCAAAGCATTAAAGTATGACTTATTCTTTAAGAAATAAAGACGAAAATACATAGCATTTAGAGGCACTAGGTTTTCGTTGATATGTTTAAGTTGAACACAAGATATTTTGTTATAGATCAAGTAAATAAATGTCCACTACTGAGCAAAGACTTCTTCTCACACGGAGAAGGTTTGAGTATTAATCGGAACGCTTGCTCAAGACAGATAGGAATATTCTAACAATAATTAACAATAAGATGTTTTTCTTTTACTATCTATGAACGTTACAATAACATAAGCGAAAAAATATTATAATAAATATGATCGCATTTGCAACATCAAGATTAATTCTTAGTACAATGGCGAGAAGGCCATAGTAATAATACTTATTTATTTTTGTTACTGTTGCTCGATTGTTCTATATCTGAACATGAATTTAAAATTCAAACTACATACTGGTTAGTAGAATTTTTTAATTCGATGGGGCTCTAAGCAGAGGATTCATATTAAAAGATCGATTTTTAAAGAGACAGAGTCCCTTAGTTTTAATTACTATTGCTTGAAATCACTTAGCAATGTAACTTTTAATATTAATAAATGTAAAATTGCTTCATACTATGGTCAATCGTTTTAGGTAATTAACTAAATGTAAACAATCTTAGCATGTCTTTTTGCCTAAAAATTGTATATAAGAATGTTTACAATCGGGTAATTACCAAAAATATTTGTATGTTTTTTATACGACCTCTTTTTACGATTATACGATTGTATTGGATACATTTCGTTAGCCACCTAAAGCAATAGACCATAGTCAGCAAATTTATACAAATGTATTTTTGTTGCCTTCCATCATTTCTTCTGTTGCTAAAAACGTAGCGTTTAACAACAATAGCTATTTAATACTATTTACTCGTCAGTAGAGCAATTTAATTATATAAGACATCCAATTTTAAATTCTTACAACACAAATATAAAAGGAAATAAGCTAATTTATTCCGTAGAGTAAGCTGACCATAGAGATAATATGTTGATGTCTTGCCTGTATCATTTCTTATTGCTTTAGTTGCTCTTAACCTTTGAATTATAGTAATTCGAGTCACAATAGAACCACAATATGCGCACTTTTGCTTAGGATTTGATGAATTAAGACGATCAACATAGAATTGTATTAACAACAGCAATATAAAAAGAAAAATAAGCTAATTTAGTCAGTAAGGTAAACTGACCATAATATGTTGATGTCTTTCTTGTATCATTTGTTGTTGCTTCTGTTGTTGTTGTTGTTGTTGCTCGGCTTGTCGCTCCTGCATCGCGTGCTATGCGGAGTAACGTACGACGCATTTATTAAAAACTTATTTTTAAAAGTCGCTAAGCAGTGTAAGTTTGAGACTAAATCATAAAGACGGTTTCTCTGGCATTTTTTTGTAGATAAAACTATTATTCGATCTTTTCGAGAATACACATGAAGGTATTACTAAAATAATTATAAATCTAAATCTATAAACTGCGTTTTCAAATGATATTTATCAATCAGAGGCTTTGTGATGGCTTTCTTCTAACAAAGAAGGATCAAATCTATTAAAGATGTTCTTAAACTGACTCACATTAAGTCTGTGTCTAGTTATTTATGCTCAAAATATTACCGATATCTTGTAATAAGTACATAAATTCAACAAACGCGTAAAATCTTCATATATGTTTCTACAGGGTGTATGAAAAGGTTACCCTAAAAAAAAATGTCTTTTATTACGACGTAATTATCAGCCGCATTTGTTAAATTTTGTTGTAACAAAAAAACAATACTTCGATAAAACGAAATAATATTTAGGTTGTCATTTTAAGTGTATATTAACTTAAAAGTGACGTCATTCATCATGATATTTTCATAAATTGTTATATCGAAGCTTTAAAATAGTCTACAAGGTGGATTTAAAAAAATATTTTCAATCTTTATCCCTATTATCGGATAGTGGAATCTCTCAGTTTCGTAATACTTACAATGGAGTGTTGCATGTGGTGTCGGTCGTGCAGTATCTGTGCGGCCGTGGTGTGATGGGGCTGGTGGTGGGGCTGGTGGGGTTGATGGGGCTGGTGCGGCTGGTGCTGGCTCTGTTGGTGCTGCTGATGCTGTTGTTCCAGCGCATGTTGCCGTTCGTGTATCGCTTGGATCGCCCTCTCGCTGGAAAAGACGAAAAGAGAACATGGTAACTAAAAACACACTCGTTTCCATGAGCAGGAGGAGAAATGGAAACATGTAACGGGCGAAATCTCGACATTCTTATTGAATAAGCCCAAGGTTTTCATGAGCAACCTTACATTTTAAACCAAACCCTGACACTAAAATATTAGACATTAATTTAATTAACATATTTACATGACATAGAAAACAATAACAAAGTATGTAATCTAATATCATAGAATTAATTATTAATTACTAGTCAAGATTCTTCCGGCCGATTTCGCAGAAATTTTGCGTTTAAAGTATTTCGAGGCCGAAAAATACAACGCCTAAAATCAATTCTAAGCCTACGAATTCCTAATCCCCAAAAGGCAACGCACTAGTAACACTTCTGGTGTTGCAGGTGTTTATTAACGCCGCCGATTGCTTACCATCAGATAATCGTTTACCGACAGAAAAAAACAATGAAGGCTGGGTATACTTACGCGTCTCTCCTCTGCATTTGTAGCTGTCTATCCCGCTCTATATACTGGGGTTGGGATTGTACTCTTCTATCCATCATTTGCTGAAATACAACAGTCATCATTAGCTTATAAAATCATGTGCTCTTTAAGGACAACGAAAGGACATCCTAGTGTATAAAATGTCTTGCGGGGGTGCAAGCGCGATTATGTACCGCGGCCCCGTCTTGGAGTAGGAGAAGGAAGGAGGTGATTTTAAGTCAGTAAGAGTCTGACACTCTCTCCCACCCCAGCCAGGGGTAGAGAAGTCATTAGCAGACATCACCCCTCAAAAAAAGTATTTTGCTCGCAAAAGTATAGGTAATAAAACTGTTTTAATGTTCATATAATTAGAATTAAATTATTAACCTTTCGATCATGGTTATTCGAGACACAATAGAAGAGAAATAGGTGTGCGAACGTTTGGGTTTGATTAATATAATGATACTCACCGTAAATTGAGAGCCTAGAGGGAATTTTTGCGCCATAAACCTGAGAAAAAAAAATTGGTGTATTAATATTAAGATCGTAAGCTCTAAGGCAAAATCAAAGCACTTTTGAGATGTCACAATTAGATCTGTCAGTCTGTCCATCAGTGAAGCAACGTTAAATATATTTGTTTAAAACTATTTTTAGTTGTATCTTTTATTAATATTCAACGGGACAGTCAGAGTACATGACTTGAGCAAAGCCGGTGTGAATGGATAGTTACAAATTTGTCTCACCTGAGGTCATGATGTTGTTGCTGTTGCTGTTGCTGCTGTTGCTGTTGTTGCTGCTGCTGCTGTTGTTGTTGTTGTTGCTGCTGTTGTTGCTTGTTGTCCTGCTTACCCTCGGCCTGTGAGCCGCGAGGGACGGGTAGAGCTGTCGCCGCCGACGCCACGTCCACTAGCGATGTGAATGCTTCGTGTCCTAGGGAAATAAAAAAGTAACAGTTTGCAAGTAAGACGTTGTTACTTTCGAGATGAGCGGACTAGTTTCGAACTATATCAGAGCCCTTAACAGATGTTGCTCGTAACTAATCGAGCTTGCTCGAAATTGATAAAATGACTGTTTATATGTCGTATGTTACCTGGCGGCGGCTGCGGATGCTGGTGTGGGTAGACATGTTGGGGGGAGTGGCGCTGTATTACTGATAGAGCATCGCGTTGTCGGTACTGCGGGGATGCCGCGCGCTCCTCTGTGGAAATACAAAATTCGTTTAAAAAACCTTTTGTATAAAGTCAAAATCATTTATTTCATTAAACCCTTACAGGCACTTCTGAAAGTCAAATAAAGCCTAAAGATAAAAAAATGACAGTCTGTCGGTCAGTCCTCTAGTGAAGCTATTTGCTCGTCCAAGTGTCGATTCCGATGGAGAAGAACGAGCAATAAACTTCATGGTTACACTTTTAAAATCAGTTTTACACATAGATTCTTTGGTACATTATCAAGTTGGTTCGATTATGTGAGAACAGTGTAACACTAATATTTATTCATTATAAATTTGTAATACGCAATAATCTGTAATATGTGAATAATTTTTTTTTGACCTGACAAATAATTGTTTCATTGTTTCATAATACTTCCTCGCCTTGTGTGAACTTACCGGGTGGCGGATGTGGGTGTGCATGGTACGCATGGGGTGTATGCCTCTGTATGACGGAGGCATCCCTCGCATCCCTTGCATCCCTCGCATCCCGTGCATCCCTCGCATCCCTGCGGTATTGTGGGCTGGCTGCCCGCTCCCGGTCTCGTCTCGCCCCGCTGTGCATCTGCTGCGACGTTATGAAGTCCGCCATGATTATCTGACGCTGCTCTGGCCCATATGGATTACGGGTGTAGCCGGTCTGTGGGTAAGAATAAAAATATTAAGCTGTTTGTTTTAAATAAAATTCCTGGTTCTCACAGCCTGCTGGGTGTAATATTTTTTATTCGAAACAATTATTTCAAACGTTAATTTAAACTAGGTAAAAGACTGTTGCTACCAATTGAATTTGATGTACTTACAGGTGAAAATGAAGGGGATTGCGGCCTAGGTTGACTACTGGTCGCCGCGTAGTACGCCCCAGGTCCACCTGGACTTCTTCTCTTGTAGAACTCCAGGGTTCGCTTGTCGGGTAAGTGATGAGGGTGTACCGGGGTCCCTGCTGTGATGGACCCCGTTTTGGGCTCTGGAGGGTTTCTATGAGGCTCGAACCTCGTTTCCACTGGGGTCCCGAGCGTTATCGAGCCTTTAGGGTTAGGTGACGCCTTTACTTGAGGTCTAGGGGGCGCTCCGACGGTTTTAGGCTTAGAATTGTACTGATTAGGAGATTCCCTTTCCTGCTGTGGCCGGTATTCTGTTGAGTTTCGATATACCTGGGGGAGAGAAGCGTAGGTTAGTACATCGGATTGACGATAATCAACTTAATACGTTAATTAATGATATGTAAGTTAATACTAACCGATTTATTAGGGTGTGAGAACGGCTGATCATGCCTCGGCCGTTTGACGCTGAGATCGAGCAAGGGTTCGTGTCGGTCGTGCCGTATGAGGAGCTGTTCGTGTCGCTCGGGGCGGTCGGGGCGGTCGGGGCGCTCGGGGCGCTCCGGGCGCTCGGGGCGCGGCTCTATGTGCAGCAGCATGACGTCCTTGTCGTTGGAGGGCGCCACGTGCGCCACGGGCGTGATGGTGGCGGCGCGCTGCGGGCTGGCCGCGCCCGTCGCCCCCGCCGCCCCCACGTGCGAGCTGTTCACCACGCTCAGCGTCGCCAGCGCCTCGCGGCCACTCGCGCATGCAGACGTCACCTGTTGGACACGGGACTGTTATACTATCGTTAATACATATACTGCGGACACCCACTAAACAATGACACGTATAACGAGAAGGGCACAGTCCAACTGTTAATTCCATCATCATAACATCACCTAACATCACACCTTTATCTTCCCTACGCATACAAAGCAAATACTTTTACAACTTCGTATATAGAGAAACCCAATAATACTTTGCCCGCTCCAGGTATCGAACCGGAGACCCCTTCTCCGACGAAGCTGTCCAGTACTTCCATCGACATTCAGAAACAACTACGACTAAGGGTACAATGTGAATCCACCTTGTTATTGTAATGTATGTGTGTGTGTCCGTGTGTCCAACTAGATGAAGTTCCTACCTTGATCTGATGCTTGATACCGGGGTGCTGACTCGGCATGTCCTTGGTGAGGCTGATCTCTATGAGGTTGAGTACCACATCCCGCACGGTCTGCGGCGCGCCCGTCATCCGGTTGACCACCGGTACCGTGGTCGTGCCGGACGACACCACGGTCACCGGACTACATGACGTGGCTGCTGACACCGCCGTCGGGATTGACGTAGGGGGAACGATCTGTGAGATGATACGATGATGTTTTAATGACTTGGAGGAATGATCCTTTTAACGTGTTCGGTTTTAGCTAGCATCATCGTCATCATCATCAACATATCAGCTTGAGGTCCACTGCTGGACTTAAGCCGATTCAATGGCGTATAATGTCCGATCCCCCGTGTTTCGCATCCAGCCATCTCCGGCCACCTTAAAGTCGTCGACCCAACAAGACCATTTGCGAACCACGCTACCGGTATCATGGTCACCGATTTAAGAGAAGTCTTATTACAAAGGAATGGGTCCTTTGGCAGACATGAGCAGCGCATTTGCGTTTCAGTTTACTGATCCTACAAGCTACGTTTGGTTCTCTTGCAGATTTCCTCATTACTGGTTACCCTTCAGAGATAAAATCATAGCTCGCTGTGGATCAGCCTTGCCGTAAACATTTAGGTTTCATCAACCAACTCCATGGTAGAGCAGCAGTTTAAAAACTTGCTACTACTACTTGGATAACAATCGACTGAAAAGACTCAACGAAGTTTGCTCAGCTCTGCTTATCAGCAAACTTAAGATATGTTGAGTCTTTTAGTTGTTTTGTATAGTCTTTTGGATGACCAAAATGCTAGCTATACCTAAAGGACAGCAGCTTTTACAAGCCCTTTCATAATGCCTTCGTTATCTGGAGTTTTACTTTCGTATGCTGTTTTCAGAGCCATTCTTAACCTTACGGCAGCTACCAAGCGAGACATTAAAAACTGTCTTACTCAGATCTGAAGACCGGCTTTCCAGAGTAGACCAAAAATTTATCTTGATTAGGTCTTCATCTGGTTCTGCTGTGCGTATTTAAATTGCGCATTTAAATAGACGTCTTGAATCATCAATGTGGTGAAACGATTCAAGTTGTCTGGATAGCGTTTAGGTCTTTTCGAAAGCTGTTTTGTGAAGACTTTCAGCACTTTCATATTCATTCGCAGCTCTTATAAGGTCAGTATATGAAAAGTGCTGATCATGCCTACTCATATGCTATATCAGCCTGTTCAGAGACCGAGCTGTACAAAACTGAGACGGAACGCCGGCTCATGAGATCTAGAACCTCATATAAAAGGTTCTCAAATGTTGACTTATTTCTGCGCTAAGCGCAAGGAATCTGCGTCCCTTTATCTTAGGATGTTCTTACCAAGTTTTCGATCAACTAATTTCAGATGAAGTCATCTTTGATCCAAACCTTGGTCACATCGTTTCGACTACCACCACTGTGGTGGTGCATAATGCGATGGTAGAGTATTAATGGTTATTTTTGTGAGGGCTTTTGCCCATAGTCTTCACGCTGGGCAAAAGTTGGTGACCGGAGACGCTGAACTGCATAAACCGGCCTCGAATGACCTCTAAATGGGATCCATGCTGCTGATCTCAGCTTTGTTTCCCCAAATTAACTTAATTAGTACATTTACGTTTCGTTTGTTTGTTAATTGTCACACTTCAGACACATTTGTAGGGTATAGGTAGACTTGTTTACTGCTTTTTAGTATTAAAGTATTTACACTAACAAATTTTGAATTTTGGGTGATGCAGAGATGAAATGATGGTATGAAAGTAAGCCTTCTCGAAATAATGAAGATGTTACATGCATATATATTGAAAATACATTTAGTATAAATAAATAAATAACATATATGGATGAAATGAATATGCCAATTGTTTGAGAGCATGCTGTCTAAAGATCTACGACTCGTTGTAATCCTGATGTTCTTTAAAGAGCTCATTACATACAGGTTTTATATACAAAGCAATTTATTAAGATATCAGTGCGATAAGACACTGAGGCGAAGGCGTTTGGTTGAAGAACTATGTGTTTGTATAATTGCTATATTATATTCTATATTGAAAATAGGAAGCTACACAAATCCAGAAGGAAAGTTTAAAAAGCTCTAAGATATATTAGGTATTTGCGCGGACGTTAGGATACATAAATTGCAACCAATGTGCAGAAATACATAATAAAGCAGGTTAAAAAACGCATCCAGAAGATCTGCTGAGCTGGGATACAGGATATTAGTTATTTATTTCAATAAACGACCTAATATTTCTTGAACGAAGTTAATCAAGTGTGCCAAAAATGGTCTATCGAGGGGGAGATCTGATGAAGAATTACAAAACACCGGACGTAGTATATTGAGGGAGATCTGGATTAAAGTCGTGAATGATAATCGTTAGAATAATAATAATAATAATATTGTACGAACCTTAGCGCTTGGCGCATCGTTTTCTTCGTCGGCAGTTTCAGTAGCCGAGGAGTCGTACTCGTCTCGTCGGGGTCTCCGTGGGGCGACGGCGTCGGTGCGGGGCGCGGGGGCGGGCTGCGCGGGCGGGGCGCGCGCCGGCGAGCCCCCGCTGGCCGTGTCTGTGTCGGCCGACGATAGCGCACTGTCCTCGCTCGAGCTACACCGCGCCGACGCTGGACGGTCCGCTACTAATGTGTCTAGTTGTAACTTTCTCCTGTTGAAGATAAGTAGTAATTAGTGAATTGAACCTTGTGGATTGTCCTCATTACCTTAACTCTGCTAGTCAACTTCTTAGATTGTTAGAATATTTTCGCCTTTAATTTAAACCTTTAGTTTGCATTCAAGGTCAAATGAACAAAAGCTACATTATATCTCAATCTTTCCTGTACATTTTTAGACAGATTTACCACCAAGCAATCCATGGTCTTACCTATAAGTAAAGTAGAACGCCTTCAAGCTGGCCGGAGTCCTGCCGCTAACGGCTGCTATCCGGTCCCATGCGGTGCCGTGTTCCCTAAGCAGCGCCCGGAACCGAGCCGCCTCCTCCTCCGTGGGTTCGGGCGCTGACCCTCCCTCCACTAACGCTTCTAACCTCTTCGTTATAGTCTTGTGGCAAACGAAACAACACTTGCTTAACTCGCTTGGGATTTCTGCGAAAGAAGATTGTGAACCATGTAAAAACTTTGTACTTTGTGCTAAAGGAGGAATGCCTTGAAATGACCTTGGAGAGAGCTAGACAAATCTGAATAGACCATTATTTGAAAGAGACAGAAGACAGTCGTCCTTTATATTCATAAACATTATTAACGATTAGGTTGAGGCTTCCACTTCGTCTATTATCCTACTAAAGGGTGATTTTTCAATAGTCAGATAAATATAGTTATCTGTGGAATAATTGCTGCTGTCACTGCCTTATATAAACATTGTGACGCGACAGAATTATAATTATTCCCCAGTTAACTTTTATCTAATTATTGAAAAATCAGCCCTAAAACACTATTTGCGAAAGACACCCAACCACATTCAAACATATTAATTAACTACTTCTGAGAATATGGAGCAATTAAACAGTCTTCTACATGGCCTGCAACGCAGTTCTGATGTCGCTGGTGTAGTAAGAATGCTAAGACTTCGAACTCCGCTTACCATCAGAGTATATGCTTATATCGATAGAAGAAGATTTATAAAGAATAAACTTACCGAACTCTTCCATAAGTGGCCTCTTCTGTTCTAAACTCAAGTCATGCCACCGTGGAGGTAGATGCCTAAGTCTTTTGGGGCTGACCTTGGGCCCTGGACACGTGGGGACGGGACACCTTGTGTATCGAGACCTGACGCATCTACTATGGCAGGCCTCACAGACCCTGGCCCCTACGGCTTCTTCCTTAAGCCCGTAGTGCACAGCCTGTGACCTTGAGACCAGGTGGTTGGCTCCTGAGTTGTTACAAACGGCACAGTTCGATGATGTTGTTGTTATCGTCGTTGTGGTGATTGTGGCAGTTGAAGATGGTGTTCCGATGCGTTCTGTTACGGCTGTAGACAAATACGTGCTGTTAAAGATTTGAGAGCAAATATTTGAGGTACCTGTGCTAAGGTTGCTTAATCGTGTAAGGATTACAGCACCTTCCCCTTGGTCTATAGTAAAGCTAAAATTACGCTAGTCTATTAAAATAATCCGTAAATAAATCACAACCAAACTACCTCACCTAGAAACGAAACCACCCAAAATCATAACAGTTAAAAGCATTTAGGGTACAACAAACGCGGATCTAGTTTCCATATAGTTCATTATTCAAGCTCCAGTTGCATATTAACAAGTTTATTCAGAACAAAACGAGATGATCCGTAAATCACGACGCAGTGGAACGGGTTTCGTGCAATATTCAGCGGGCCCACGTTGGGCGCCAATTTGTAGCGAAAGCAGATTAGCGCCAATTTAGTTCCGATACCGATGCAGTGTTTGTTTAATTATTTATCGCTGTTTGTTATACAAATTGAATTACAGTCCACTCATACAAACGCGTGCGTTCCAATTAATATCTATGCGAATTTATTATTTAGTTTGCGAATTTGTTCCGTGTGTGTGAATTTGATAAAATGAAACGACCGTTGATGTTTCAAACATTTTTTACCGCTTGCTAAAACCAAATAATACTTAGAATACACAAGTGAAAAAAAACCTTAAGAACAAATATGAATCATTTTCCTATTAAAGAAAGACGACCTACTGTTTTTTAAAATAGGTCGGCAAACGAGCAAAAGGATTACCTGATGGTAAGCAATCAGCGCCGCCCATGGACTCACACAACAACAGAGGAGTTACAGGTGCGATGCCGACCTTTCGGGGATTAGGGATTTGAAAATTTTGGGATTGGGGTAGGGTAAGATTGGGCCTCCGGTAACCTCAATCTCACGGCGAAACACAACGCTGTGGTTTTCTATGAGGCCGTGGTATCACTCCGGTCGGGCCGACCCGTTCATCCCGAAATATGGCTCTGCCACAATCATTCTCTAAAGATAAAATTCTTGCAGAAAAGCTAAAAGATCCTTACAGATACTCCATAATTATTCTTTATATATCCATGAAATATATTACGTAAATCGGTCAAAACTATGAACAGACACGGAAACAGTTTAGCGAATTTACACAGAAGCGAAGGCGGTTTAACTGCATCGTTGCAAGTTAAATAATAAATTATTAGACGAACAGATTTGTGCTCGTCGGTATTAACTCTCTCTCTGCTGGCTAATTACATTTATGCAGTTTAGTTGTGAACAGAGCCGTGATTTTGTTTGATGTTGTTATTATTATTAATAGTGATAGAAGAGATTTTCCGGATACATACATTTTTGGGTAGTTTTTGACCAAAAGCTTGTTTTACAATTGCGGGCTCAGAACTTCCAATCTTTCGATGTGTAGGTATCCGATTATCAAGTAATGTCCTTCAACTTCTTAATTTCTTTTTTAGTATTGGTAAAACAAAATTTCCAAATATAACTATCATGAAATGCTTCAATAACTAGTTAGCGTTTTTATTATACGTATTTATTATACTGCGTAGTAAAAAAAAATGAAACGACGACAGTCTTGTTTAGCAGTGTGAATGATGTTATAGAAAACCCTTTCTTCCTCTCCCTTTATCTCTTCCAAAACCCTTAAAGACAATGGACTTGCAACTCATCTAATTAAGTAATTGCTTTCCATCAGGTAATCCATCCGATCGTTTGCAGTCGTATCACATAAAACATAATTGACTAAAGTTACATTATCAATAAACAACTCAACACTCTCTAAAGACGAAAAAGTCCAGCTAGGTAAAATAATAAATAAATATCAGATCAGTTCGTCTGTCTGTACATCCGTGCCTCAGAGTGCTAATTAGTGTCTGCAATCCCTGAGCAAACGAACTACGTTTGTCTTAATAGTAGCAGACTGTTACTGAGTGAATACAAAGGAGGAATAACTAAGCTGGAAGAGACTTGAGCTGTCAATGGAATGTTGTAGCTATTTTTTTAAGGATACGTTCGCGTATGTTTCTTTTTATGTAATAGGTCGGCAAACGAGTGGACGGTAGCAATAGTCTGTTATTAATTAATAGCATAAAATATGGAATAAGCAATGTGTCTATCAAAAACTTTATGATTAAAGGTCTATCGAGGGTTATGTTATCACAAATTTTCTCCAAATAACTTGAATATCTTGTACGCTTGCTTATTAAGTCCCATGAATCGATTTATAAAGGATTCTTATTAATTATACCTAGTTAGGGCTTTCCTTAAATAACTCTAGTTAGAATAAATTAAACGAAAGGTAGGTAGTTATAAAATAAAATATTATAGATCTATCTATCCTTGTTAAAAACCAGCTAAAATAAAGTTACCCTACAAATACAAAATCTACACCGTCGAGCACCGTCGATTAATCTCACCAATTACTGATATTTGCACAAGCGCTAATTGGATCACGATTCAACGTTTTATTCAACTCAAAGCTTACATAGCGCTTTGATGGAATGGCGCCCAACATGGTACTAAAATAAATTAACAGTTACATCTATTATCTTTTACTAATTACATAGTAATAATATAAACATAAATCTGGTGTTATTCACGGATAAATTAAGTAATATTCAGCGTTGGAAATGCAAGTATAAATATAGTGGAAATTATTGGCGCCCAACTGGGACTCGCAATTTTTTAAACCCCTACTCGGTTTGTACACGTAAAGTAAACAACGAAACACGTGTATACCCAATTTCCCTACACTTGATATCCCACGGGTGGGCAAGCTGTGGAGCGGGATGTCACCTCTGTTTGCGCACCGATGTTCCGTGAAGCGCGAGAATTTAACGAGTCCGGCTATCTATGTTTATTTACAGCGCAAACAACTGCAGACATTTTGTAGATTAAATGCCTTCTGTGCGCGGTGTGTGTGTTGATTTTATTATAAAAATTGACAATTTCTCGTATTTTTGTTTAATGTTACTGAAAATAGCTCTATAATATAAACCAAACTGCTTAATTTTCCTTTTGAAGTTATGATTGAAAGCTATATAGGTAGGTTCATATTCTAAATAGTAATAATTGCGATAAGTTTCAACTAGATTGCTCGGTAGATGATCCGTGTAATTATGAAAATGATTGGTGTTAAGACAAAGCGGCTCTCACGGTCTCATGGAGCATTTCATCTGTTAATCTTACAAAAGGCGCGTCGGTCCCGGTCGCCGCACGGACGACATTGGCTGATGTTTCATTTAAAATTCCGTGTGTGGTGAGTTGCTCGGGTTTACGCTGTCAACCGTGTCAAGGATTACAGCTGTCATATGCTAATGTACTAAGGATTAACTTATGTTACGATCGGGAATCATTGCCGGATTAAAAATAGTGTAACGAATTATGATATATAATATAATTAAATATTAAATTCGAATTGAATTGTTTTCTGTGGCTATTTTTGGTGTATTATAATATAACTACACTAATATTTTTTATGGTTTTATTTTTAATTTATTGCTGGAATTATGCAAAGATATTGGAATAAAGGAGTCTTTGTCACAGCTTACAAAGAGATACGGCATCATTGAAATTAAACCCTATGGTGGCCACTTGGGAATCGTGGTTTCAAATCCCCCTCTGTTAAGACAAATTACCTTCATATTTGAAATCAACCTTAAAAATGGTGGCGTCAAATTAACTTCAAAACGTTTTTAGGTAGATCGACTTATTCAATCATAGATAAAGTTATGGCGGATTTTTTTATAATTGTCCTGTTTACACTGAAACTTAACTCAAGTATGAATAGTACGTAGTACGTAACGTAAACTTAATTAGCTTAAAACGAACCATTTTGAATTTAAAATGGCTTAAGACAAAGAGACAGTCTCTCGTCTCTTGTCCTAAGAGATAATTCGAAAAAAATCCTATGAATACGTCTTGTCAGTTAATATTTTGAAAAGATGACGTTTTACAAAGTCAATGGCTACGTCAGGGGACTTGTAAGTGGATTAACTGTTTGTTAAGTCACAGACACTCCGCTGGATAGTCACTATCGTCTTGGGAACGTCTCCGAATACGCTTCATATTTCACTTTGTGTAAATAATACTCCCAAAAGACGGGAAAGGGATTGGAATGTGGTCTAGCTAAGAAATAGACTAATTCTAGGTATTCCTTTTGTGTTTGACTCGTAGCAATAGTATAAGAAAGAATTTAACTATTGTCTAACATGTTTATGTGTTTAAAAAACCTTTGCTGTCGTTTTGCATCAAATGTTAAAATACCAATCAAAATTATCATTTACGAAAATGATCATTTACATCCCATAATCCCAGGAAAATCATTCACATTGGCTGCTGAAAATCAAACTTTGTAACGCGAAGTTATGCCGTATCGCGGTGTATATAAAGAGGGTCGCGTGTCGGCGGCTCGCAGTCGTCGAGCGGCCGCGAGCGAGTATGTTGTCTCTGTACCGCGCGTGGCTGGGCCCGAGCCCCTGCGTAGCGAGGCCCGCGCCGCCACCGGGGGCCCACCGCCCCGTACCACGACGGGCCAGGGTGCCCTCGCCACCAGCGTCGCCACCGCCACCCTCACCGTCGTCCACTACGTCTAGCGAGTTGGACGTGGAGCGCATCGAGGCCCCGGAGCCCCCGAAGCGGCCAAGCAACACGGTGCTGGACATAGCGTCGTGCGACGGGCCGGTGCAGTTCAGCCGCGTGCTGAACGTGGCGTGGCGCGAGAGCTCGCCGGAGCGCGGCTGGGCGTGCCGGCACCGCAAGGCGCGCGCGGCGCTGCACTACTACCCGTGCAAGACGTGCGGCTCCAAGTTCCCGTCCTACTACTTCGTGCACAAGCACCGCAAGCGCTGCCACGCCGAGGAGACCGCCGCCGCAGACCCCGAGCCCGAGCCGTCCACCTCCACCGCCAAGTGAAGCGGCCCCGCGTAGTGAATCCGTACATATCAGTATTATGGAGTGATCTCAAGCGAGCTTACCAACTTGGTTATACCATGTTTCGGTTTAAATGTACATTGTTATAATAAATGTTTAAAGGTACGTCGCCGACCTGTTTCATTTTACGTCCCCGATGGATACAACTTCTCAAAAGATAAAGTTTCGAATTACGAATGTGATACTCAAATGTTACGTTTGGCAATAATTTTCAATGATACAAGTTTAACTTTAATATTATAAGGTTTTATCAAAGTTTCATTAGCAAATTCTTTATTTGATGTGAAAAGGTACTCATTACAAATACGAAAATGATATCAAAATATTCCACTTCACTTATTTTCAATGTGAATCCTAGTTTTTAGTAATTTCTAAATATGTTCTGGCTTTTGTTGCTACTTATCTGACATGATAAGTAGTATAATAATGATAATAATAGCTAAAATTCTAGGACAAAGTGATCGCAAAATGGTGTTATTTGAAACTAATACTAGCTATCTAATTGTGAAACAAAGTCATCTGATCTGCAAGTCAAAAGCATACATTTAAAATAATTTCTGTTTGACAGTAAAAACTCATAACTTCACACTTTCGATCTAGAAAGAAAGAGGGAGGAGCCGTAGCCTACCATGATACAAATCTAAGGATATAAACAATACTCGTTAAATGTAATTTTTTGAAATAAGTGCTATTTCAAAAAATGACATTTGGCCAATTTTGCCTACAAAATTTACCAATCATTAACTGGAATTTCGGAAATGGAGAACCTAATAAGTTATACTTTTTGATTTACCGGAGGCCGAATCCTTCTCCTTCCCCATACCTCCTCGAGCCCTAAATTTCCGAAACCCTGAAAGCCCCAGAAGGCCGGCAACGCACTCGTAACTCATCTGGCGTCATGGGTGTCAATGGACGGCGATTGCTTACCATCAGGTAATCATAGGCTACAATGATACGTGCACATACGCTATATATAAACCATTTGTTTTACCACATATTTTTGATTTTATAAAGCAAAATTCGCCTTCAAAATATAGCTATCATTAGCAGGAAATTCGGAAATGAAAAACCTAACAAAACATGACGATTAAAATATATTTAAATATGAAAAAACTTACCAGTTTCTGGTGTGGGCGGAGGTTGTGTAGGTGTGGGTGGTTGTGCCGGTTGTGGCGTGGGCGGGGCACTCCCGCTGCCACTGCCGCTGGCACTGCCGGTCCCACTGACATTGCCAGATATTGCCGGTGCCGTTAGCGTGGCGGCCACCGCCGCCGTTGACGTTATACACGTCACCGGCGCCGGCGATGATGCCGTTGCACTCGCTGCGCTTGTGGTAATTGGTGTCTGTAGAAATATTCCATGGTTAAGTACAGATCTTGTGAAAAAAGGTCGTATAAGAGAAGTTTGTGGCCGAGGTACAGTTAAACTAGTGCTCCAAACTGCCAGTAATTAAAAAATCGTCTTTCCAATAATAAAAAAAATATTGTCTTCTCTGTAATTGGTAGTTTTGTGTAGTGTATTTAACTTACCGAAACAGGAGTAATAGTTAGCGTGACTTCTGCCGTTGTCGCGGGCGGTAGCGGCACGTCAACGGCCGGGGGAGTTGGTGCTGCCGCCGGACTGCCCGCCACTGAGAGCGGCGTCGGCGTTGACGTCACCGGCGTAGGCGCTGACGACGCTGGCGGCGGGGACGGCGGTAATGGCGGTGTTCTTGTTAACTCCGACCTGTAGATAAAGGAATATCTATAGATACACTGCTGTTTATTGCCTAAAAAGTGTTTTACTCGCCTATTCATATTTGATTGTCAAAAATCTAAGTCTCGATTGATAAAGGGAATCCTTAGGAGGATAGCTAAATGTTTACTGAGTCTTATTAAGAAACAGAACATCTACTATACGAGCTGAACTTTATTGATCACGATACATTGAATTACGAACTTGTGACGAATAGCCAAGTGACTTAAAGACACTATCTTACAAAAGAAACTTTCTGAAAAAACAATCGACGCGGGCAGGATTTGAACCTGCGACCCTGAGCGTAAAGCTCATGCGCTGCCAACTGCGCCACCGCGCCTTGAGATTACGTTTTTTAAACATTTTCACGTTTATTAAACAACGTTTGGTATTACACAAATCCCTAAAAATATATTAAAAACAAGCCCACGGTAGTTTTTGGTATTCTGTATCGATGTCGTAGTGAACTAATTTACGAGAACGGGAGAACCCTTTAATTCCGAATAAACATCATTTAACATTGTGGACAAAGGTCTTTTCTTTTAAACGGAGAAGGTTTGAGCATTAATCACTCCGTTCAAGGCGGATTGGCGATTTCAAACTTATAATTAGAAATTAGAAGTCCAGGTTTCCTTACGATGTCTTCCTTCACCGTATGTCAGTGGTGTCTAAACATACTAAGAAAGTACATGTAACTCGGAAAAAGTCACATTGGTACTTGCCAGGTTTGTACCCCGCACTCTCATGTTCGAGAAGCGGGCACCTTAATCTCCGGGCCACCATAACGTCAACATAACATAATTAATAACTGAATAAAAACTACGGAGTAATTATTAAAGCAAAACACAATCAGACCGTGGTGTAGGCCGGGCGGGTGCATCGGGGAGTTATGGCAAACATAATTAGCTCAATTCGCCTCTCTTTTAATTACCAGCGGTTACCCCGCGGCACGGGGGAGGATGGGCGTATTTGTGACCGTACTCAATGAAGAATTCAATTAATCGGTCGCCATGACGGATTATCTATTGTTTTGTAGTGTACGAACTGGTTCGTTGAAATAGGGATAGATGGATTTTGATTGCAAACTGACCATGTTGTCTATCTAAGCTGTATTTTGCTTTCATACGAGGCGGAGAACGCTGAATATACGTCATAATATGACGAAATCAATAATAAAGGATGGAAAACCTAAAACAAGTTCTTTGTTTGAGTGAGAAACGTAACGTTTCATTTACGTAAACCAATACAATAAAAAATTCAAACGTCAACACGAAAAAAACCGGATAAAACCGCTTGAAAATTTGAAAAAAGAATCGCGCAACCATTTCATAGTTCCGCATTTAAAATTTAAAACCTAAACAGAAATCTGTAGCCGTTAAAAACATGGCCGCGCCGACACCAACTAACACGGTTCGTCGGTATTTGAACATCATTAAATTTTGCCCAATTAATACACGGCGGGGTGGTAATTATCCGCGGGCGAACGAAGCACCCCGTTCGACAAACAGCGGCTCGACGTCGGTAAACCTAACAATCAAATTAATCTCATCCCTTTACGAATACTAGTGCAGATACGCGACCATTTTTCATGTGGAACGTTTTTATTATTTGTTTCAATTTTTATGACGCGTGCTTTGCGTTTGGACTCAAAATATGAAATAGGTTAGTTAACAGCAGAATGGTTTATGCAGTAAAAACTTTCTTCTGTAACGCTGCTGCAGTGTTTTAGTAAAAGAACCTAATAATGTGTTCTATTTCGCTTAACATAAACCTAGCCGTGCATTCGTGATGGTAGAGATTAAGGCGCCCGCTACTCATACATGAGGGCGCGGTTTCGAAACCTGGCAAATACCAATATGTATTTTTCCGAATTATATCCACTTTCTATGGTTATTTAGACGTCACACATACATCACCATCACCATACGGTAAAGGAAAACATCGTGAGGAAACCTTGACTTATAATTTAGAATTATTATAAGTTGAAAGCGCCAATTCGCATAGAGCAAGCGTGATGATTAATGCTCAAACTTTCTCCGTGTGAGAAGAGGTCTTTGCTCAGCAGTGGGTGCTTATAGGCTGATGATGATAAGATGTAAAACTGACATAGACATTACAAATTAAGGTACACGTATAAACGGGAAAGCCTTAAATGTTTGCGTAGTACATAAATTGAAGCCCCAATCTCATCAATGGGTAAATATGACAAAATCAAACGATAGATAGTCAAAACCGTCTTATTTTTTTTATCGCCCCTCTTCACTTATATTTAGCTTTCTCGATTGGTAGATGCTTTTAATTAAGGCAATTAGAAAGATGGGTCGGCCCTGTGTTTGCGTAAAAATCTAAACAAACCGTGTCGGGAGAAACGGTGGCGGTAGTGATGTCTGTACTGTATATCGATATACCGCGGCGATTTGTACAACGAGTAAGTGTATCGAGAAGTTAAAAAAGTATAAGCCTTGTAGGCTTGAAGTAATTTGTGTGTAACTTTAAGTAATAAATTGTCAAATCAAAAATAGCGTTATTTTGTAAACGATACATAACTACCCACATTTTTAGGTGCTATCATTTTCAAATCATCGATATTTTTTTCGAAAATATAATAAAGAACATGAGAATAATATATATCGATTAAGGATAAAACTCACCAATCACCTACTTAAAAAGTTTATCGATAATCGAGTAGCGTGATCGCGTCACGTATGCTGATTGAAACCGCCCTGATTCCCGCGGGAGTCTTGTGCAAATAATCACCAAAGTGATTGTCAACACACTCACAACATACACCCATTATTATTACATATTTCTCTTTTATTAATTCTACGAAACTCCCCTATACTTTCTCGTCCGATTGAGATTGAGATCAGAATTATAAATCAACCTTATTACAGTTTCAAAATAGAATATTCCTGAACTTTCTATCGTCTCAAATCTCCAAAAACACATTCCAAATTATAAATAATCACTGTTTTTCAGTCACTTTACTTGTTCAAATGTATTTCGCAGTCCATTTCTCAAAGATAAACTTCTCGTTGAATATTTAAGCGAGATAAAAAGCTACACAAAGTGCCATAAAAGACTGCGAAACTACTAATCAAGTCACTTTAAAACTAACTCCAGTTCCGAAGTTCGTTGAGGCAATAAAATAAATCTCTTCCCTCGGCTCGATTAAAATAAAAATACATGAATTTTAAACGATTAATCTGGTCGATGAAAAATTGGCTTATTCTCATTGTCTGAAGCTCATAAAAGTGAGTGGTCGTGCAAACATACGTCCACAGGGACGGACTTCCCGATACATTCTGAGGAAATATTCCAATTTACCGTTAAATAGGTTTGAACGAATCTTTGTCGGATTTTCGTAATACGTATTAGTTTAAGGACCGGGAAGAAGATATAGAAAAAATTACAGAAACCGTGTTTTAATACCTCAGCTTGTTTAAAATTGTAACTTTTGGAAATACTTGGACACAGATTTGAGTTAACCAAAGTATTGAGTTTTGAGTTAACATAAGTATTTATTTATTTTATATCTTCGTGCACAAAAATATTGTACAATAGGTGGGCTCAATGCCATCGGCATTAACTAACAACGATTTATCCTAGATTTCTAGTTTCAGCGAATTGATTCAGATCACAAAAAAGTGGTTTACTCGTATCTCTAGTGTCAAAACATAGACCTGAGCAAGACACAGTATGTCTTGTATTGTCCCATATACTAACAGATTAGAGTAAGTCTCTAATCTAGTGTAATTTATTCCTTCAAAATTATCGAGAAATAGGTTAATATATTTTACTTTTATTCCAAATATTCCAATACCTCACTCCGGCCCTGTACCCTGAGTAGAGTAGAGGATCGCAAGCAAACCTCTGGTTAAACAATACGTCTTTTTGGAAAGAAATTTTTGAATCGTTTTATGAAAATTAGATTTGGGAATTAAATAACTTGGATAAATTGAATTTTTAATGTTACTAGTACCTAGTACCTACTATTGCGAGAAACATGTTCAAATTAAATTATGAATTTATTGATATAAATTTCTTTTAAATATTTGGCTTTTAATATCTACAAATATGCTTTTGGATATAGGTGATGTATGTATCACATATAGGATGATCTAAATTGTCTTTTATTTTCACATTTACCAAACGAAAATATTGTTGTATTTCGAACCACTTGTGCAACTCCACAATTAAGATTTTTTAAGAAGGAAAAATGATCGAATACATTATATATCTTTTTTCACCTTTAATTTGGGCAATCTCTGTTGCTCAAATCAGGGTGTGGTGTCAGACTTACTGACTAAAAATCTCCTCGTGCACCGTACCGGGGTCGCAATACTTTTAGATTTGAGGTACCTATTGCCCCATAGTTTCACTGAGACTGTGGTCTATTCCGATCCCAAATAATTCTCAAACTTGTTTAAAACCGAAAAACTGTTTCTATTTTCACCAAAAACTAAAGTTCAGACTAAAACAGCGAAAACCAGTAGCTATATCAAATCGCAAACACTCAAAGACAATGGAGCACACTGAAGTTAACTCCTCATCTTGTGAAGAGCACATTATAAGTACAAACAAGGAATAAAAAAGGCTCAACCAAGGAGTGCAAAAAAACCCTGGGCCGTCTCTCCCGAGCTATCGGTGAATAATTCATTGGCCGGGAACCGCTCAATGTTGACACGATGTAATTAAAAAGCCCGACCCGACTCCAACGGAATCGTACAGAATTTCTGTACCACAGATATTGAAGGAAAAATTATGATGGCTGGCTGTTTGTTCTGCGTTCTTTTTTTGTATCGTTTTTTTTAAAGATGGCGGAATTGGCGCGCTTTTGTATGGTATTTGCTGTAATGTGTTTAGTGATTGTGTTACTAGAGAGAAATATTTTGATTTAGATTCTTCTTTCAGCAGCGTCAGACGCATTACCCGGATAAAACGCGACGAACCCTATGTTTTATTCCAGACCATATCTGTGCTAATCAAAATCAAAATCCGTTTTTACGCAAAGGAGTAACATACGAAATTCCGCTTGTACCTACAATATTAATAGAACTACAGAATCCAGAAGATTATTGGATAGACTTCGTAAACAAATATGGTATGTAAAAAAGCATGAATCCGTATGTATTTTTTTTTTTTTTGGAGTTTATGGCCAATCCGTATGTATACCTATGTTAATTATAAGGTAAAAAATATGACGTCTTCATAAAAATATTAATTTTAAGTATTTGACAAAAAAAATAGGCCATGACGCCTTTCCACAATAGAAAAGTAACCTTAAGATGAATTTATAAGTTCTACTCCAGATACCTATCAAAGCAAATTATCATCATCATCATCACCCTGATTTCATCCACAGGTGGACATAGGCGTTGTCAGTTAAAATAAACAAACTATAAAAGCCTCAAAATTCTATAATAACAACGCAATCTTGATATATTTAGTTAAAATTGCCGAATCCCTAGAATTTAAGTGTACATATCAAAGAGAATTACATTAATCAGTACTTGTTAGCTTTTCATTTTGGTATTAACTATACGTTGGAGAGTTTAATGTGTTCTGAGAAACTGAAACACGTCACCAATCAGTACATTTCCCTATGATAACAAATACTGTTATTTAAACCTATTTGATAGCAATCTTTAATGTTCAACTATTATTAGATAGTAGACCGATAATAGACAATTACTAGCATGTAAGTATATGATGTATGTTCTACAAATATTTAGGTAATAGATTGTTTGAAATGTACTACAAGATAAAGTACTATACTCGGAATTTTAATTCCATTCCAGATTTGACAATTTCAGTGTTGCAACGTTATGACACGTAATAAATAGTGACGTTGCGAAATTATTCGATATGGAAATCGAATATTTCTGAATCGATTCCTCTCGTTTATAAATTAACTCTCGTAAACTAAGTTTATCAGGAAATAAAATATTTGTGAACCGATAATCTAGTTTTAACAATGAATTAGCGATCTGAGACTTTTCTTTTGTAATTGTGTGTGAAATTAATAAAAAATGTGATCGTGAAGGAAAACGACAAATAAAACAGAAATTTTATTAATTGTCGCCGTTATCGCTATCGCTGTTACTTTCTGTAACATTTATTATGAATTATGTCTGTGATTTTTATTGTCAATTAACATATCTAGCTTACTTATTTTTTCCTCTTCTTTGACAACATGGGATACGCATTTAGACCATTCGGAAGCCGTAATTTTTTTAATGTCTTCCTGAAACTGATTCACTGATTGTTTATCGATTTTTGTGTTCATCACTACACTGGTATATGTGGTATCATTATTTTACAAAATGACAGTAGGTCATGTCAAATCAGGAATCGAATTAAAATTCTGTTATTTACTGGGGAATGTGCTGCTATTCTGGAGTCCGTAAAGTTTATCAGAGCTCACAACTTGAAAAATTCAGTCATCTTCTCAGATTCTAGAAGCAGTCTTCAAGCTCTGGGCCAAGACCAGCTTCACTCCAGAACCTATTGTAGTTTAATCATACAAATTAAAGCTCTACTTCTTGCGTGTCACGAGGATGGCTTAAACATAGAAATCGCTTGGATTCCTGGGCACTCTGGCATAAGTGGTAATGAATGTGCGGATACGTTGGCAAAGTTTGCGGCCTCGAATAATGTGGAACACCAACATAACGTTGTGTACGGGTATGATTTACGAGCGGACACAAAACTCAAGCTTTTTAAATCTTGGGCTGCTGTGTGGGTGGACTCTTCCAAACGGAAAGGTGTCCATTACGCTAATATCCAGCCCGACGTCCAGCGGAAGCCTTGGTTTTGCAAATATACCAAACTCCCCCGACACACTATTACGACCTTGTGCAGGCTCAGACTTGGCCATTGTAGCAGTCCAGTATTCCTCAAAAAGATCCATGTTCGTGACAGCTCGCTGTGCGAATGCGGTCTTGATGAGGGTACCTTGGACCATATATTCTTTTCTTGCCCTTTAAACTCCCAATCCTTTGACCTTTACAAAAAACTTCCAAAGATCGAAATCCCCCTTCCAATCAATTTCCAATCCCTCTTAACTCACTTTTCTTATAAATTAATTAAATGTTTATCAAAATTTATTAATGATAATGATATCAAACTGTGATGGTGTGTAATATTGTAATTAATTATGGTATATATGATATGTCAGTTGTGTATGTCCTCTTATTTATCCTTATTATATAATGTAAAGTAGAATAGTATAAAATAAGTAGATATAGTTTTACTAACCCATGTGTTGTCCTTTCAGCTACTAACAACAAACTACCACAAAGTTAAAGTTCGACGGGCCCATAATCTGCCGTCACTACTTGACACTGGCAGTATAGTCGACAACACTAAATTGGAGACTCGGTTGCCATTCAAGAAAGAAAAAAAAAAAAAAAAAAAAAAATTCTGACTATAGAAGTTGTTTTTTAATAACAAAAGCATTTGTACAATTGGCTAGTTTCCGCAGTCACAAACAAATTATTTCAACATATAAAACCATATACAGTACGGCCAACGTATCTTGGCAAGTCTGAAGTTAGCCGTTTGTCTGCGCAATGGATCTTTTAGGAATAAAATTGTGAACTGCGCAGAACAGAACTGGTTGAAATAACGAAAATTAACTTTTATATTACTTAAACAGTATGTACTGATTTTTATCTAAGTAGTAAAGAATAGTCTTTGATCCAAGAAAACACTTGATATAAATTATTAAAATGATACCGAATATTCAATTTTCTGGTTTCACTACTATTAGTTTCACTATTTTTATTTTCATCGCTTGCCTAACCCGTCCCTCAGTTTCATTCACTCAACAACCGAAAGAAACTCTTAAAAAACAATCTTATCTAAACTTTTAAACAATAATGTAATTTCCAATTAGTACTTATTTAATTGAAATGTCAGTTATTGTCGTCATCATTATTCTCAAGTCAAATACTATCATATTTATTACTGATAAAATATTTAGAAAAAATCTGAAAGAAAATTAAACAATTTCGTGAAAGTGTAAATTCATTGTCTGAATGAAATGATTCAATTTTAACCTGGAAAACTACTCAATTATTGTATTTATGTTAATATTTTCATTGTCTCTCGGAAATAGCTACTCCGATTTCGATGAAATTATGATGTTATAAAGGGTTTCGCCAACGAAAATCAGTGTAGCCACTAGCTAGGTTTCTTTTCAGAAAAATGAACCTTGTTTACATAGAAAACAAGTACTATATCTACAAAAAATAGGTTGACTCACCTGGGCGGTTGCGCAGGAGCTGCAGTAGGTATAGGTATGCAGGTAACAGGGTCAGTGACCTGCGGCATACTTTCTTCCATACTCTGCTCCTTGTTTTCCGTCCGAGCCGTCGTTCCTAGGGAGACGGCTAAATAGTTTTACGTTCATATTAATATACCATTCCCACACTTTATGCCATTATAACTAAGTATTAGTAAGGTAGTTTTAACTTTTTGTTACTATATAGTTCTTAAAGCTACCACTAGAGGCGCTAGCGTAGCTAATTGTCTCGTCAGTTATTTTGTTAGCGGTGTGTTTTTGACTGATATTGGGGTGAAAAGTCATCTTTAATTTTATTTTATATTATTTAGTGGTTGAAATTGATATTTGGACAGTGCTTATAGGTATATACTTGAGTAATATTGCCCTTTTTGTTAACATTTTCTTTCATAAACAGGTAACACAAATATTGTGTTCAAGAAAGAAAACAATAAAACCAAAAAACCAATTATGAACAAAACAATTCACAATATCACTACCTAATCAAAAACACGTAGAGATCATTAAAAAAACGGCTACATAAATACATAGATACTTAAATACGACAATATTCATGGGGATTTCGCGTGTACCTTGGGGATTACAGATATAGCATGCAGACCTCTGCCCAGGAACAAATGTTAGACATGCTATTTGCCTGGTGAGAGTATCCGACCCAAGGTCACAGCGGATTAGGGACATTTAAAGCCAAGCAATTGATAGCACTATAATTCGCAGTATGGCGATCGACAGGTGCATTCATCAGTTACATATATGTATAATATTTTTAAGATTATAATTTAACAGTTTTTATTACGTAATAACGATTTATGGATCACACGAAGAGTTGTTCCACTTTGTACACTCTTTACATTTTGTACTCAAAGCCTGTTTACATAGACAAAACTACGAAAATGATATCAACCAGTTAAAGCTCATTGATTACAAAAAACCTAAACCTTATGATAATCAATCAATCAATCAATCAACCAACCATCCAAGCATACATTTTCATAGTCAAAGTCACAGATAAAATCATTTATTCCAACTAAACCACAAGTACTTTTGAAACGTCAAAATAGAAGAATTATCAGTCTGTTCGTCAGTGAAGCTAGGTGCTCGTTCCAAATTGTAGATTCGAATGGAGAAGAACGAGCAAGAAACTCTTTTTTACTACTACATTTCCAACCAGAAATCATTTCTTTCTGATAAACAGACTTTTTATATCTGATGAATGCACTTGTCTCTATCAGCATATTGAACCTGATGATGAACTAACCCTGACTCCGTTGTAGCCTGGTGGTCACTCCAGCTGGCAGTTCAGGCTCTGGCTGCGCTCTTGGAGGATTTCGCGCCGACCGCCTTTGTCTGGGCTTTCTTAGTAACTGTTTGTAATTCTCCGCCTTTTTCGATAAGTAGTAGAATCTGGAGAGAAAATGTATTTAAGTATTGTGTTTTATAATATTATTTAGGGGTATTTTTCAATAATCAGATACATGTTATGAGGAATAAAATTCATTTAAAAACATTCATTTAACTTTTATGTAACCATTGAAAAAGAAGCTCTTACTAGCCTACTCTCGCGCAGTTTCACCCGCTGATCGGCTCCTACAGATCATAGCATGATATTGTATAGCCTTAAGCCTTCCTCGATAAATAATCTACGAAACAACGCTTGTGATTCGAGGACGCTTTTTTGGGAAAATCATTAAATGGCTTCTCTCGCCGAAGGTGAGACGAAAGCAAGTGTCAGACAAGTTTCTTACTAGAATTAAAAACCGCTGTTCCTTCTCCTGCGTCTCGCCCCGCATCCCCGGCTAATCCCAGGTCTGACAATACACTTGTAACTCCACGATATTATGGGCTTTTTATTAAAACTTTCGTGAGACGAACTAAATTAATTAATTTGTTTTCGGCTATTACTCACTATCTTACGGGATAACTAGTGGAGTATCTCGTCAAAGTATTACGTGAGTAAGCCGAAAACATAATAATTAATGATGTTATGGGAGTTCATTGGCTTAGCTGATTGCTTACCATCAGGTGAGGCATCTGCTAGGTTGACGACCTATCCCATTAAAATAAGAAAACAATATTTTTACTAAAAAAAAAACTTATAGGTATACCTGACACAATCCCTAACGCTCTTCCTCGGTAGAAACGACGCAATCTGACCAAAGTTCTTCGGATGCTGCAGGTATTTCTCACGAAAGAGCTCCCTCTCCGCTTGAGACCAAACGTTTCGCAGTTGTAACTCTTTGTGTTCCGCCTCCATGTCCATACATCGTCCTGTGAAGAGATTCAAGGTTAATATTTTAAAGGAAAATTATGATAAAGATGTTTTTTTAAATCAGTAAATGTTTCGGTGATATTTTCATTTGGCCATTTACATGTAATTTAAGACACCGTCTAAGTCAAACTTTGACTCTTTTAATTCATTTTTTTTAATTATACTGAAGAGGTTTTTGTAAATCAGTAACTGTTATAGTGATATTTTCATTTGGCCATTCACATGTAATTTTAAGACACCTTCTAAGTCCTCTTTTAATTCTTTTTTTTTGGAACTATCGTGAGACAAATAGTCGTGATGGAGCGAAGTTAGGGCGGGTGCCTTCTCATACAAGAGGGCGCCGAAACCTGACAAGTACCAATGTGACTTTTTACGAGTTATATGTACTTTCTCTGATTATTTAGACACCACTGACCATCTATTCTACGTGAGGAAATATATCAATAATTTTGACTTATAATATCAATAATTTTGAACTTATATTGAAATCGCTTATCCGCCTTGAGCAAGCGTAGTGATTAATGCTCAAATTTTCTCCGTGTGAGAAGAGGCCTTTGCTCAGCAGTGGGAACTTAAGAGCTAATGATATTAAGTGATGTGAATCGAATACAATGCTTCATTGCTTCAAGTGACATTTACGATATTTTAAGGTACGTACAACGCTACAGAATCCATAGAAACATAGGATGATGGAACTGTATTTTTATTATAACTTTCGTGAGACATTCTAAATTAATTATTATGTTTTCGGCTTACTTATCAATCGCGGCAGGGGCGCGTTGGGCCCGCAGACTAGAGTAGCCAGTAGCAGAGCGACAGTCGCCGAGTCGCGTGTCGCGGAATGCTACTCATGAATATGGGCCTCTAGCATGGCTTAAAACTAGTCGAGTATCTTGTCAAATTATTACGTGAGTAAGCCGAAAACATAATAATTAATGATGGAACCTTTTTATGAAATTGAGAAGTTTCGAAGAACCACCAAAAAAATGTGTACAAATTGAATACTAACTGTTGGTATCGATGTAAACGGGCGTGGTATCGCTGGGGTCCCTCAATAGAGGAGGGACCACGGTTAAAGACCTCATCTTCTTATCCTCATGTTCCTGCTCATGCAGACCGTCCGCGATCTCCTCTAGTTCCGCCTCTGACTTCACCCGAGCACCTAACCTATTAAATCTTTCTCTTTCTTCTCTTTGCTTTCTTAATTCTGGAAATACCTGTGGAGAGATTGTTGTGATGTATTAGTATGTTGCTTAGTTGTCCATAGTTTAAAAGTAATTGACAGACTAAAAATCACTCGTTATAGGTAAAATATCCTAATATTTCGTATAGCTTTTTGTAATTAAACATGAATTCTAATAAATTTGGGTAACTCAATCACAAAATGTTTGTAAGATTTATGATTCAAATACAATGAAACGATGAATTTATTTATGTAAATTTAACATTCTATAAAAAAATATGAAGCCTTTTTTCAAATGCAAAAATCCAAATTAATATTATAAATGCGCAAGTAACTCTGTCTGTCTTTTCTTCACGTCTAAACTACTGAACAGGTGCTAAATGGTACAGGCATAGTTTGGAACTGGAGAAAGGCCATAGGATAGTTTTTATACCAAAAATCTGCAGCAAGTCACTATAAGCTAGTCATTATAATATGTCCCTTCTTTTTTAACAAGCCGAGGCAGCGGTTTTTTGCGCTTGACCGCCAACCCCAGGCTAATATATGAATCTGGCATACATATATTTATGATGACTACACAAAGAATTTATGGTCAGCATCAGCATGTGATGATACTTTAAACTTCTTTAACATAAATTTATTGTTATCCAAGCTATTCAGATATGGCCATATTGTAAAAGATTCCTCTTATGACCAAGTAGGTTACATTAAAATGTTCGTGGACAGTACTAACAGGTGCCGTTCTTTAGTAGGAAAAATCGGTCGTCGTCGGGCCTATTGATTTTATGCAAGTAAGAAAATAAATGCCGTAGATCGTCAAACTAGCAGACGGATTACCTGATGGTAAGCAATCAGCGTCGCCCAAGGACACTAGTAATACCAAAGTAATTAGTACAAGTGCGTTGTTGCCGGCCTCTAGTGGGTTATTAGGGATTAATCCCCTACGGATTAAGGAATAAAGATGGGGGGGGGGGAAGATTGGGCTTGCGGTAACAGGTGTACAGTTATATCCCTTTTAGCTATCTATATCTATATCACGCCTGTGTTCATTACTGTCCAAAAAGTGAGTGTGGGAGAGCCAAGCTTCGGCACGAAAGGGTCGCCTCGACCGGAGTGATACCACGACCTCACAGAAAGCCGGCGTGAAACGATCACAGCGTTGAGTTTCGCCATGTGAATGAAGTTACCGGAGGCCCAAACCCGCCCCTTCCCGATCCTTATATCCGCAACCACTATCCCCAAAAGGCCGGCAACGCACTCGTATCTAATTTGGTGTTGCGGGTGTCCATGGGCGGCGCCGATTGCTTACCATCAGGTAATCCGTCTGCTCGTTCGCCGACTTATACCATAAAAAAGTGTTATGTTAGTAAGTATGAAAACAGACAAACCTTCTCAAAGAACTCTCTGTTCCTCGCATCCTTAGCTTTCCTCTTTTGTCCCTGCTCTATCCTTTCCACTCGTCTCAACCAGTCCGCTGCTCTTCTGCTGTACGCTTCCGCTAATGCATCTTCACGCTGTAAATGATAAACAATATTTGTGTTGAAAAACAACAAATTTTAAACCATCTTTTGAGTATGTTTTGTAAACGCCTGCCAGCGTGATCGTTATATAGAAGAAACCCTTAAGAGGCCAGTAATACGGTCTACCACGAGCTGCTCATGTATGAAACACTTTAAGAGAGCCACCCCATTTTCACTGTGACATTTCATTTCTCCTACTTTTTATAATCCCACTTCTAAAACGGATTATTTGCATCCACTCTGTCATAGCACAAGGGATTTTCTGGGTATTGTAGTAGATTTTACTATCACGTAGGGCTAACAGATCTCGGGACTCCTTTTCTCCTGTGTCGTGAGTGCGTTTACATACAATTTCACAAACATCACACCCTGACCCGGGCCCACACTTTGTAGATCACACAAAGAGTTGGTTCATGCGGGAACGAAACCGAGACACGTAGCGCGGCAGTCATCGCGTCAGCCGTGCAGTCAAATATCAAGTAACTCCTCCGCTCAGGGTATGACGACAGAGGCAGTGTTAGACTCTTTTTTTTCTCCTGATCCAGGCCGGAGCTCCGGTTCATGCCAAGTAGTTTTGTGAATCAATGTGTGGGGAAGGATCGAGTGAATCCCCCCTTTTTTTCGCAGGGGAAAATCATAAAATGACTTCTCCCACCAAGGATCAGGCGAGAGGGAGTGTCAGACTCTATTCACTAAAACTAAATCAGAAGAAGGAGCTCCAGTTTCTTTAGGCCAAAGCCGCGGTGCCTCATTGGGCTTATCTCGTCACCCCGGCTGAAATATCCCCTATTGGAACACTAACCATTTAACATATTTCAAATAAAATTACCTTTTCAGCTTCTAGTTTAAGTTTCCTAATATGTTCAGCTAGTCGCTTCCTAAACGTCCGATGTCGCCTGATGTTTTCATGATATATTTCTGTGTCTTGGGGCTGGTTGTACAGTGGGTAGAGGACGGGCGGGCCCAAGTGGGACAGGACTGCGTGAGCCGAAGAAGCCTGCTGATACAAATTAACGTATATTATTCAAAAACTGACGTCAATTTTGACATTTAAAACAATATGGCGGAATCAAAGGGTGCTTTTTGGAACGTTTTTCGTGACATTTATCTATAAAGTGTTTTTATTAGTTAATTAATTGTTTAAAAGTCACTTACGTTTATTTTGACATACTTTTAACTTGTTTTTATAATAACTATCGTGAGACATACTAAATTTAGTTAATTACGAATTTTAGTTAATTTACTTTTAACTTCTAAGTGAAGAACAATTTTAAAGGAATAAGACTAAGAACTACAAATTGTGTTGTATTTTACAATAATTGTGTGAAATTGGAGTGTAATTGATTTTGAAAACCGCTTTGTAGTGAAGCAACCCTTTGATTCCGTGAACACAAAATTATAAAAAAAAACAACTACAGAACATTAAAAATGATAATAAACTAAGAACCTGCGGAAACATTTGTGTATTTCATTCATTTCCTTACATAATAAACTGGTGTTAACGTGATTATTTCTAATTTATAAAAAAAACACAATCTACATTATTATAAATTAAAACTACATTAATTAAGGCCGCATAAACTAATGGGTGACACAGAATTACTGAACTACACATCTAAACATTGATAAATTTTAAAATCTCTAGCCATGCATAAAATATCACGTTAACAGCAATTTTTTAACATCAAAAAAGGTTTGTTATGTTATGATACCACAGACATTTCTGCAGATATAATAAATTATAATCTGTAAACTTACATGTTTAATCTATGGTTATTATGTTTGAGTACTACATAACCATACAGACAAGTAAATACATAGTATACTTATACATAAGAAATCTATGTAAACAACATGCCAACTAATACGATTTCTGACACCGAAGAAATTACATACTTATATATAAAAAACATTGTCTACAAAAAAATGAAAACGTCTTGTCTACATAAAAACGAAAATCTCTTAGTACTTATAATAGTTTATAAAACAAATTATAAATACCATTTGCCGCTTATTATCCATGCTGATCTGGGAAGAAAAAAAACATACAATGTATCAGATGTTTTCCCGCCCAAATGTATTTTAACACTTTCACAAATTAATTGGAACTTTTTTTTAAAACATACCTACTGATAAAAATAATAAAATCTACCATCCTAATAATCAATTATTTCCTTTTTTATTTCGTTTATTTTGGATATAAGGTACGTCATGTTGATTTAACTGTCGAATTACGACATTACAAAAAGTCGAATTACGACATTACAAAAAAAAAAGAAAAAAAAGAAATCGTAGTATTTGCACAAGTAAATAACCGTGGTCCTTTAAATAACGTATTCTAGCCGAAATTATTGATCAATTTTTGATATCAAATATCAAGTCGATGCATGGATGCTTGGCACAAAACGTGCCAAGTGATTTGTCTATCGTTCGTATCCTAGTTTTGTTCTATCACGCCGCGGTCAACAATGTGGTAGCAGCTATTATCTATACTAACGCTGAAGAATTTGTTTGTTTCAACGCGCTAACCTCAGGAAGTACTGGTTCGATTATAAGAAAATATTTTTGTCTCCGATAGGTACCTAGTCCATTATCGAGGACGCCTGTAAGGCATATCTAACATTACGCTACAACTGATAGTAACCGAGAAGCAAGTGAAACCGAGAAGCAGTAGATAGTTAAGAAATAATAATTTATTGATAAACTAAGGACTATTTCTCTTTTTTGTTTAACAGCCTTACTGAACTATGAGCGTTTAAATGCCACGTTTTCTAGAACCCTATGCTAAGGGTCAGAGTAACCATTTTTCCAATCTTTTATATACATACATTATCCTATGTACTGTAGAGCATATAGTTTTTATATAACTGATACACTATGTAGTTTTTACATCCCGTTATGAGCATGGAGTGTGAACAGCTATTTACAATAGATTCTGTATAGAGTTATCACTTCAATATCTAGTTCTACGGATTATTTCGTTATTCTTTTACTTTTTCTTTTAAAAGGGAATAATTTATCTAGAAGATTCTTTACAATTAACTATTATTTAGAAAACGACACGGACGATGTTAGGAATAAAAAGGAAATTACTCTGAATTATACAGAACTAACATCCCGCCCGACTTTGCACGGGTGTAATGATGATACTAAATGTTTCCACTATTTAATGGATGTTATTACACATATAAACCTTCCCTTTAAATCACTCTATCTATCAAGAAAGCAGCATCAAAATCCGTTGCGTAGTTTTAAAGATTTAAGCATATCTACATAGGGATATAGGGACAGAGAAAGCAACTTAGTTTTGTACTATATAGTGATTCATATTATAATTTTGGTTTGATAAGAAATGTAGAAACCATCTGGAGAAATTCGTCACAATATGTAGCTACGCTATGTCTAATACAACTGAAAGCATTTTGACCGATAGATATTTCTATTTATATAAATGATTCGTAAATTCTCATGGTCATGGCATAACGAGAGAAGGACTAGACCGATTCCGATAATTCTTTTAAGTCTGTGTTTGGTGAGATCTGGAGAAGGTTCTTAGAAAAGAGAATTTTTGAAAATTAAAGAGAAACGGCAATCCTGTATATGCCATGGCGGTTCGTCTACGAAATCAATGGCCGACACCAAGGTATAAAGGTTATGTGCGAAGCTGGAACTGGTCGCTCGTATTGTTTTGACTAGCGCATGATCCAAAAACGCTTGGACCAATGTTGCCTATTCTTATTTTTTTGTGTTCGTTAAAGTCAGGAGAAGATTCTTATCAGAAAAAATTGAAGAGAAGAGGAATAAATCCGGATATTGCAACCATTTCCAATTACCGATAGCCGTGGTAGTTGACTAACAAAAGAAATGACGGACACCTAGCCCCTATTTCGCAAGGATACCTAACTAACCCTTGCGAAATACAGGCGGGAAGCTAGTTGTTGACAAGCACGAGTAGTTTATTACAAGATCTAATAACGTTCTGCCTCCCAAAAAGTAAAAGAATACAGCAAAAAATCCTCCGTAGAACTTGATGTCTGGCGATGAATTGGTTACTTTTGTTAGTCGATCACGAATGGGGGTCAATTCTGATGTCAAACTGTGGGGTTATTATTAAAGTGTTTATATACAGTATGAGTAAGTAAATTGATAAGAACCTTTTTCCTATTTTCTGCGTAAACGCATTGTGCTAAACTTCTGTGGCGTGGTACAGTTTCTTCTGGTTCTTCTGCCCGTGCCGGTTTCGAGGCAGTCTGTTCTAATTCTTCTTGTTTCTTCTTTAATTTTGATAATGTTGACTCTGATAACGCCATTTCTCTGTCCACCTGTGAATTAGATATTGTTGGAATTAGTTAACTAATTAATAAAATCTTGTCAAAGCCACTAAACTTTATTTTTATTAATTATTAGCAACTGAAAGTTATTGCTAAAGAGACATTATTTCAATGTCGACGAAATCATGTTAATTAATTAACTTATTCTTACGACTGTGAAAGTTTAGTCGTAAATATTTGGTTAGGATAGATCATTTTTTTTCTATAGTTTATTGAGACTCGGTTTTCAAACAAAACCTCTTCCAAAAAAGACTTCTCAAAGGTTACATTCATATTTATATAATAAAAAGCTGCTGCCATGTTTCAAAAAGTTCCAGAAGTTGATTCGCATCATAAAATTGAATCCGAAGCTATGTTTCCTTTAGTATTCCAGTAACTACCATATGTATACTTATGCTTTCATATTTCAAAACAGTTCGAACAAATGTATGTATCTTTACCTTGGAAATTTGTTGTAATAAGTCATCCTTAGTGGTTCTAAAGCTCTGGTCCTCCATCGTGGTATCTGATGGCGGATTAGGAGATAGGACTTCTACTGTGCTATACTGGTTCACCGGCTCCTGGAAAGTTTAAAACATATTATTAGAAAAAATATGATAATTGACACACAAATAATAAGGTGACCTGAAGAATTCATAGATGTCGAGGAATCACCACCAATATGGAGTCCAAAGATGTTCAGAAAACAGAAGAAACGTAAAGGAGTATCAAACAAAACTCCTTTCTGCTGACTGAAGTCTTTTTAGACAATTTGTCAAAGGTTTCATATGTACAAGGTGTTTAAGCTTCGTTTATCATCACATGAGATGAGAATGCTTGACAAAATTAGACAAGGTGATGTTTATTTCAGGACCAATAATAAAGTTAACAGGGTGGAACTGGTAGTATCATCTTCACAGGCACCAAGGGCCATGATAGGAGGCCATACTCCATACAAGACTTGGTGGGTAATTGAGGATATGGATTATAAAGGATACTGACCCTAGTATCAACCCTAAGCGGCTGGTGATGTGGCAGCGGTGTTCGTTCAGCTGTGAGCCTGATCTTCTTGAAAGGCGGTGGGTCAGCGGGGGGCGGGTGGTGCGCTGCGGGCGCGGGTGGCGGGAGGTAGGCCGCGCCGAGCAGAGACACTCGGCCGCCGCGGTACTCGCCAGCCCCCACCGCGCCCGCTCCCACGGCGCCAACTCCCCCCACCGACCCCACCGCACCGCCACCACGGACGTAACTACTGTCCCTGAAAACATACAAACACTGGTTAGTCTTCTTCTTCCTCATCATGTTTAATACACATAACAACAACCCTTCAAGAAGGAGGTTATTATAAGGTTTGCCCACGTTTGGTTATGTGGTCGTGGTCTTATGGATCACCAAGCCATAGAAAAAAGGAAATTCTGCCACCAGAAAACATCAGACAAACTCTTTTCTGAGGTCCTTGGTAATATATTTCTTCTAAACAGTTTATAGTAAGTACCTATCTAGTAAAATTTGTTGCATATCGTAATTATTCAACGACATAGAGGAGCGGTTACAATAACAGCTGTTGTCACACCTTGTGGTGCTTGGGGAGCGAAAAGAGGGGTTCTTTGCAAGGGGAGACACAAAGAACTGGACGAGTAATCATCCATTGAGCTGCCCCAGTACCCTTGGACAATGGGCTAAGTGATGAACAGTACGAATTTACATAAGAATTCCTTTGAACCCTAGAAAGTATAGCTTATTTCTATCTAGAATTTCAAAGGTTTTATGAAAAGAAGGTTGCATCGTTTACCGGTATAATAGCACCTTTTATTTTATAATGGAAACCTTATGAACGAATTAATATAAGATATCTACGTCTGCAACAAAAATTACGTTTCGATGGATCGATGACTGCATTAACAATCTACATGTCCCGTTTTTCGCGTGTCTGCTTTCGTGTGGTAATAATACCTCCTTGTTGGGATGCCTTTAAATGTCAACCGTCAACGACCTCAATCCGAAATTATTTCACGCCGAGCTCAACAGATGGCAGGCGTAACGCCATTTTTAGACTCCATCGCCTTTCATAGCCAGTCATGAATATTTTTATACGCATTAGTTTTTGTATTCGTTACGGCTATACTCACATGTTAATGCTAGGTGCCTGAATTATTTCTCAGTTAGTCGCCTGCCCAAAAATATGGACACAGTTTCACCATTTCAGTAATTGCTACCATCTAAGTACCAATCACACGATAACAGCTAAATTACCAATAAATATAAAATAGCTCACTATTATTAATACCTGTTACATATTGATAGAAAATTGTTAAAATATATATTTGTAAATCTTCGTTGGGACGTTTGACATTACCTGTCAATTCGACAGTCATTATTTTTAAACATTCGGACAAAGTACAATGATCGTAAAAGATACAGCCTTGTTAGAAACTAAATAAAAATAACTTGCATATCCATTGCATGTTATTTGTGTCACAAGCCAAGCATAACAGCTTACGATTAGGTTAGAGGAAACTGTTTATAATAATAAAAACTTAAGAATCCGTATCAAAACAACAGAAGTATAAATAACAAACTTATTTAAAACAGATGAATTCTTATAAACTTTCACCTTAACAAGTGGTGACGTAATAAACATGGCGAGTTGTGAAAATAATGTGTATTGTTAGTAATCCCCGTCCGATCGCATGCCGCGACGAGAAGGCCAAGGTTGGCCGCGGGGGGGCGTTGTGTAGCCGTGGCAGGGTCGCGCCGATACAGAAATACGATTCATTATTTAAACATGTGACTTCTTAGGTCTTCACTTTACAACTACTTTTTAATTTTTTATTTTATGAAACTGTACTTAATTTGCTTAGCTGTTTATAACACACTAGCGCCAGAGATGTGTCATTATTCGCTATCAGTCCACACGTCTCCTGGGGTTAGTATTAAATAATTATTACGCTTTTAATTTTACAAGTATGAAGTCATTTGAGTCATCAAAGGACTAAATGGAATTTCCCCACATGTTTTATTAAGTACTGTTTTTTTAAATGCTTATTTAGAGGTGTAACTAAACGTTTGATAGGTGTAGGTACCTACCTACTAGGTTTTCGCATGAAAACGTGGCGGTTAGTTAGATAGATAAGCTTTTAAGACTCCTGATAAAGTAATTGAAAATGAACTTGAACTAGTTTTATCGCAGAGATTAAACAAACGATAAGGAATGTATGGTATGGCTCTCGCGTTCCCAATACGTGGGCAACGGCAACCGGCTCTACGTTCCACGTAACAAGTTAGCCTTTGATCAAAGGATTTGCGCAAATCATTTATTTAGATTACAACACAAACGCTGGAGAATATTCTAGTTCATAAACTTTGGTGTATTAAATCTAGAAACCAGATCTTAGTAAGAATGTTGGAACTTGTGAACTTGATCGCATTTATTTATGAGTAGTTAGTATAAAAAAATTGAGGAAAAAGCATCCTTGTGGTATGTTTACTCATTTTATTCATCCTGTGCTACAAAAAAGTAAGCTAATGCTTTAGACAGACAGTGTGACGTAACTTGATGGCGATACGCGACAATACGGCCGAGTCTGTATTTAGCGCGCCACGTTGGTAACCACGTGGTGGCCGGGCCGCGACGCGCGCTGAATAATAATAAAAAATAAACATTGAACCGAACGCGCCCGCCAACAGGGCTGCCAACATCACGAGAATGTCACGTATTCCAAATGACGATGCGACTTTGTACTCAACACATAACAGGTAGGTAAGGAAGGAGTGAAGGTTCCAATGATTGGTTCTGAGGTTTCTTTTTGTTTTCTCAAAATGATATTTATACCTAGGTACGTAGAGTTTGTATTACATATTTATCGTAGTAACTTGTTGAAATTCTAGTTGTCTTTCGAGATTTACCTACTTATTGTAATATAATCTAATTAGAGATAAGACAAAAACTGATACACGAGTAGGTACCTTTGTACTAAGTTTTATCACATGAGTAATGTATGTAGCCGTAGGAAATAGCATATTATGTTGTCATATCATTCCACTGTAATTGTGCAATTTGTACGAAAATATTAACAGGCGAAGAATTTTTCCGTCGGAGATGACATGGCAACACATTGAAGGTTCGGGGTCGGGGCCGTGGGCCGCGGCCGTGTACGCTACGTAAAATGGCAATAAATAAAATGAAGAAGGAACAATATTTAATTTAAAAAAACAACACGCGTGCTTTGTGACGACGACGGAGGTGATTGTGCTCGTCTATCGCGTGATGCTATTTTTACAGTTTCGCGAAGAAAAAAATCGTAAGACGTGGAACTAATTCGTGAATTCTCACGTTTTTATTGTTTATATTGCAATAATTGATGAAACACTTACATGTTTTATTGCTGAGGTCGTTAAAACGATAATTTATACAAATTAATCACCGACACACATTTGAAGTGTCGTGTTTATCCTATTTTCAATATAGCCGAGCAAATAACAGATGTAATTCCTGTTAAAACATGTGTCATTCGGTAAACATGACTGGGTTATATTTCAGTAAACCTAGGGACACACGAATGCCATACTTTTTTGATATTTAGGTTTTAATTTTGTAGTAATTTACCAAAACGTAGCTACATATTTTATTACATTAAAGAATTTTTTGATAAAAATAACAAAAGTGGAGCAGTCCAAAATACCGTATCAAAACCAAAAGCCAAAACCTGCTCAGTTATTTTGCTCCGTATGACTAATGCAGGTGGAATCGCTAAAAATATAGGCGGGCAAAACGAAATGCATCGAATGATACTCGTCGGCTGTCGGGGCTATTTCTAACACCTTTCATAACAGGCTGGTTGGACCCGCTCCAGACGTTTGTTTTCAAAAAAATTTTACAAAATAAAAAAACCGCCTTCAAAAAAAGTCAAGCAATAAAAGTTCCTACACTAAAAAGTAAAAAATAACAATTTGAATTACTGTAAAAAAACTTAATTTATAGGTAAACTTACTTGACATTAATATTTTGCAAATATTCAAAATTTATTACTTATTTTTGGAGTCGGTGCCAGCATTTTGATGTTGAAACTTAATGTTAGTTAGCTTTTTAATATCCGGTGCCATTTTTCGTACATAATGCTTAAACATTTTCAATGTACTTAAAATGTTTTTGTAAGTATATATTTTTTATTTAAAAAATGTGCAAATCGGACATTTTTTGTAGAGAAGTCTAATCTGTATTTATGTCTTAATTAATATACCTATATTTGAGTATGCAAATAGGTATTAAGTAGTTTTATAATTAAGTAAGAGGTAGTTTTTCAAGGGATTGTCGCCCATTTGTATTTCCTTGCATGGGCTGGCACCGACTCCAAAAATAAGTAATAAATTTTGAATATTTGCAAAATATTAATGTCAAGTAAGTTTACCTATAAATTAAGTTTTTTTACAGTAATTCAAATTGTTATTTTTTACTTTTTAGTGTAGGAACTTTTATTGCTTGACTTTTTTTGAAGGCGGTTTTTTTATTTTGTAAAATTTTTTTTTATTTGTAGCCGTTTAGTGTTTTTTTTTTTTATTATAATGTGTTATGGCAAAGAAGTCAATATCGTTCCTACATTTCTTTTGAAAAAGTTACCAATGTCATAGTTATACGTAGAAATACATATCATAGTACATTGTTACTGTGTAATCGTTTTGATCTCGAGGAGAGATGATATGATGCATGAGATACTTATGACTTATAGTTAAAATAAAATAATAATCTTATCATAAATTCATATTAGTTCTCGCCAAATAACAAAAAACTAGATATTTTCATCAACAGACAGATAAAGTTCAAAGATACCAAATGCAATCTAATTTAGTATCTATGATTAAATACATTCGTACATAGAAAAAAGACCGATGCAATTATTGTTTTGTATCAATTGTAACCCATTAAATGAAGAATACTATTTTGTTATTACTAAGAACATTCATATATAGACAAGTTGGTAAAAATATAAAAGACCATCGCTATTGTAAATATACATTTATGACTCATTCAATGTATGAACCTTTTTTAAGTAAGTATTATCTACATATGTGCACACAAAAGAAACACAATTATTGTTTTGTACGACGCAATTATTGTTTTGTAACCCATTTAAAACGACTGTTTTGTTAAAAATGCCAATGAATTCTCTTAGCCTATTACCAGGAAAACGATAAGAACACAATGACGTATTTCACCACTAATGTGTAAACGCAGTCCACGTGGACTAATGCAAAATAGCC